TGGCTTGGAATCGAAGGATGTGGTAGCTGTAAAGTGTTGAACAGTCTTGGACACAGCGACATGCGACACGCCGAACGCGGCTGCCACGGTGCGTTGGCTAACCCCAGCTGCCACCGCATCGCAAATGGCTGCACGTGCAGCAGGGCTCAATTCCTCGTGTTTCTTGCGACCAGCCGTCAAGATGCGGCCCAAATCGGTCAAATTGAGTGCCATTTGGGGAAGTTGTGGTGGTGTGAAAAGTTCGAGGATGATAGTGGACGCGTCGAGGAGACGCGTAAAGTGGGTGGGGTGGTAACAGACTTTTGGAACCCCACTGTAGCTAGGCTTGCCGCACATACCACAGCACCAATTTTCGTACCCCCCCAAAAATCGCTATCATCCGGCTGCATTTCTTGCACTCCCTCCTCACCTACGGCCATATAGTCTAATAGATCGTATACATCCTATAGGAAGTGACCCTCCAAGCCTTATTCATCTCTTTTTAGCGCTCCGGCGCTTACTTAGTGCCTCGTTAGCCTTACGGAGCGAAGAGACGTCTCGCAAAGAGTTACCTCGTGTATCACAGCTATTATGCTCTTAGTAAGCTGGTTCAAAGCAGCTGACATCGAGTGGCTGGAGCTTATGAGAGGAGTGCGGAGGCATATAGAGCGTGATAATATTGTTCTGCTAGTAGTAGAGCTCAAATTCGGTCGAGTAGTGGCTTTCGTAGCCGTCGAGAATCAACAACCGGTATTGTTATGGGTGGGCGTAACTGACCACTACGTAACACCTTCAAAAGAGGGACCGTGGTTTAAGCTGTCCAGCCGAACCAGGAGTTGCGCACATGAACCTCACACTGTCACTACTTGTGACAAGTATTTACCCTTTGTCTGAAGCGCCGTATGGTAGTCGACGCGCTTGATCTACTTTAGGGTAATCGCATTAGTAGTCTAGCCATTGTCGGTAGTTGCGATGCGCCAGTTAACTGGGACGTTGCACCCGGTATACCAGTTTGCAAGGTGGTACTACGCAGCTAAGATGATGAAGGGAGGGATAGCCAGCCGAGAGCATTAACTCTTTAGATCACCGTTGCCCATTTACGATTGCCAGACTGGGCCAGTTTTGCTTTGCCAGGGCTATCAGAGGTCGTAACTACCATACCCGCGAAAATGTGCCCATCATAAACCCAATCTCGTCGAAGTTGTAGACATCGTCAATCGCGATACTGTACTTAGCTATAATATTCCTACAAGCGCAAACCACTCGCCAATGACCTTTGGATCCTCGCACTTAGCCCTCTGGTAGTCGTGTCTACGTGTGAAACGCATATGGGGCTATAGCTAGCGCTTGATAAACCGATGCGCCTTGAATTTGCCGACAGGAAGCGCGTCGCGTTCGCGGAGCAGTTAGTTGGCCATTTCTTCCACACCACTGAATCTCGGGGGAAATTTTCGCGTAGAGAGCTCTTACATATATTGAACAATAGCCTCCTCTTCCAATTGCATAAGCTTTCTCGAATTAGGCATGGTATCGTATCGTGCAGGCTTGCCGGCGCGTCGGTGCGCCAGAGTTCTACGGTCGACCCCGTAGACTCTGGCTGCGGCTCGTTCGCTTAAATTCCCATCCTTTTGAAGTGCTCGGAGGGCCAAGATTATCTGGCCTTCTTTTAAAGTAGAGGGCAACTTGGATGGTGGAGCAAAGTTGTTGAGTGTAAAGGTATCGCGTCGCGTAGAAAGTGGGTCACTCGCTGATATGGGTACTCGCTGAAAATGTCCGTTAGCCTTTTTTTTTTCGGTCTCTCACTCTCGTTTCTCTCTTGCAGGCAGACAGTTGGGGCAGTAGAACAGCGGAACACATGATGCTTTCTATGATGGTGAGCAAAACACATATTATACTCAGCCACGGCGTGTCAGGGGTTACATCTGAACTCGGTGAACGTCGAAGTTTCGTTACCCGAAGGGACTACATAACTGCGTCTTCACCAGCGATAAAGCTCCGATGCCCATGCTGATGTGATATTGAGGATAACTCTCGCTTACGTTGCCCTTTCTGCCTGCTACTGTATTCAAACCGGTCATACCGGATGAAATCCCAAGAGTAAATAAAAGTCAACCTACGCCGCCCTATCTCGCCATTTCGACCCAACACCCTGTTCCAGCCCTGATCATCCCACCCAAGTCCGTATGCCCTACTTGATACAACCAGCAAACTCGACTACGTAAAAGCCCAAACGCCATTGCATGCACCGAACACCCCCACCAGCATATACTACATCACATGTATGATACATGATAAGAACCCAATTTCAGGTTCAAGTAACAAACACCTTCCTGATCTCTCCCGCGTCGAATACCTCCCCAGTCACCAGGTCCTTGACCCGCCCCGCGGGCAAGCCCGACTTGGCGGCGTACTCGTCGAGGCGGGCCTTGCCGTAGACGCGGCCGTTGGGCAGCAGCATCAAGTCGTGCTCGAGCAGACGGCTCTTGCCGTGGTGGGCGTAGCGCACGTTGCGGGCCAGCGCGTTGAGCTCGGTCGAGCAGATAGGGCAGACACGCGTGGTCAGGGAGGCCGTGCCGTGATGGTGGTGGGGTTTTGGTGTTGTTCTTGGTGTTGTTGGTTGGGTGGTGCCGTTGGTGGGTTGGTGGTGGTGGTGGTCGTCTTCTTCTTTTGGGTCGGATGATGGGGTGGGAGGTTGGACTTGTTGGGACCGGGTGCTGTGGCAGGCGGGGGTTTTGAGGGCGGATAAGCCTGACGAGAGGGCGATGTGCAGGAGTGGGGTCGGGGGCAGATTGAGGAGTTTCAGGTGCGCCTCGGCAAACGAATCGGCGAGTTTCTGCCAGCGGGAGGCGCTATAGAGTGACGCGTACGGCTCGAGGGTCGTGTCAGGTCGATAGGCGAGCAGGCCTGCCATGTTGCTGACTTCATCCGGGTATGTGTCGTTGAAGGGGGTGATGTGCTTCTTGGCGTGGCTGATGGCCTCGAGCATCTTGGACGTCGAGCCGATGCGCATCATCTCGATGTACTGCTGGCAGCGGAGCATAAACTCGAGATTGGACTCCATCTTGCGCAGCTCCTTCTTGTTCTCGTTGCACCAGGCCAGCGCCTCCTGGACGCTGCCCGCCTCGAGCGATTTGCGGATCTTGCTCATGACGACGAAGGTGTCAATGTCGACCAGATCGCGCATCTCGCGTTCGTCTGCTAGCGCTATTGCCGAGGAGTCATAGCCGTGCCGGAGCATGTAGTCGACCAAAAGACGGTCAAGGCGTGTGCGTGACCAGGCCTCATACCTGACGTCGTCGACCGTGTTGAGGTTGGCCAGCTCGCGCAGATGCGCTCCGCGGGCGTCCAGCTGGCGGTAGAGCCGGTCCTCTTCCTCAGCGGCGGCAGTCAGCTTGCGCTTCAGGCCGCGCATTTTGGCCAGCATCTGGTCGAGGTTCTTGACGACATCTTGGGGCGACGTCTTGCCGTTGAGCGAGCCGTTGGCGGTTTCTTTCAGCAGGTTTTTGACTGAGGTAGAGTCCCACTCAAAGGGATAATGCACAGAGCGAAAGTTCTTGCGCAGCAGCTCGTATGGGGTACGCAGGCACGGTTGGTCCTTGGGAGAGAGGTCCATTGTTAGCAGAGCGCGAGTGCAGCGGTGTCTCCATGACGTCGTCTTACAAGAAGGAGGTGGTTGTCGTGGTTGATTTTGGACGCTTCGAGGTCCGCCATGGTAGCATCGGTGCTTCGGTCAATCAGAGTTCGAGAGGCCCATGCGAGCGCTGTTGCTCTGATGGTCTTGAATTGGGTAGGGGCACGCACTCCGAGCAAGTCGATGGTAGGTACGGAGTACGGATCCGTAGTTGGCCTGTGTCGGGCTCTGATTCGGATCCCGGAAGCACCTAGTGGCCAGGAGACCCACCGTGGATAAGGATCCGATAACGTTAGCTTGCTCACATTGCTCTCATTTGCCGGCCTCTGTGAAGCGGGGCTCTAGCTATCATCAGTACCCTAACCCTCATATCCCTGCTTTGTCCATCCCCGTTAAACTCTCCTAAGAAGTAAAGAAGTTGAAGAGGCTACCTGGGGCAAGGAGTCGGGTGCCTCGTGATCTGTTCAGAGGGTGCAATCATGTGCCAGCCTGTCTCACTCTGCCTCGACGGTCAAGAGGGTTGGTACAAGTGGGGCAGGCGATGAAGGCAGGAAGCTTCCTGATGGTGCTGAGGAAACCGATGAGTGGCTGGCGATAGACAGAACGAGGTATGGTGTGCTACCAGTGTGTGGCCGACAAACACACGTGCTGGCCAGGTGAACACCTGTCAGGCCGGCCATTCCAGGATACTATCGAGGATAAGTAGCAAGACAGGGCCGCATATGACACATTGTTACGCATGGGTTCGATTGTGGCTGCCCAAAAGTTTCGAAACAGAGGTCATCAGGAGTTTTCTTTATTTTACTCAAGATCCCAACAATTCCACCTCGACGAGAACCATAAGGAGACCGGCGGACTGTGGCTGATCGCATGCTCATGCATTGCATACACATTATTCGGTAAGTGATTGGTCCGTGCACCCGATCCCTCAGCGACCCGCATCTGCGGCCTGCGATTCCCATTTGATTCCGTGAACCTCCCAGCCTCAGCTCACATGATCTCCTCTCTCACACAACTCCGCAACAGCGACCATCAACAGGTGCCGTAAAGCAAGCACGCGAGTTGGTTATTCGAAACCAGGTATGAGGATTGCCCCTATGTATTCTCCATCTTATTTGATGGATTCAGAAACATTTGCACCGATTTGCCCCGTTTCACAGGCCCTTGCTAACTCTCTTGCAGTGACTCGTCACGTTTTCGGGCACGTTCTCTTTCTTCACATGACCACGACCTTAGACTCGGCTGCTCCAACCACAGAGAGTAAGGAACCATTTCTCGCAGGTCAACGTACCCATCAAGATGGGCATGTGCCGTATCAATCTGTCCGCTTCACTTGTTGCGATGCCTGGTGCATGGCTATCGCAGGCGCCGATGCGAAACATTCGGCAATGGGATTCTGCGCGGCAGTGACCTCTCAAGTGAGAGATGCGCTGAAACTGGCGTCGTCTCTTCGAGGCCTGCATCGCTGTCTCAAAGCGACAAGTCGCTTCTCTCGGACTGCCACTTGATGCTCTCCGAGATGTTACACATGGTTTTTCTCGACACTCCTTCGCTGTCCTCCGAATCCATTTCACAGGTTTTCGCGCCACGCGCTTTGCTAGTGAGCAAATTGTAGCCGGCAGGCCTCAGTTCGCCGTCTTCCCAAGCATCACGGAGCTAGTCGGACAGTGCTGCGTTGTCGCTGAGTGGCCTCATTGCGAAGGGCTGGCATAGGCTTAGATACAATGCTTCAGTAGTTTAGTTTAGTCGACACTGACCTCTTTCTCTAGAGTTGACAAATCCACAACCCACCATGGCCGCGACTGTCGGCGTCCCACATCCCAATATCTCTGAGGTTTCGACCAGCCCTGGCCACAAGCGGAAGCGCGCGAGCGAGTCTGCCTCGCCCGACTCGCGCCGCAGCAAGCGCGGTGCCCCTGCCGCAACCATGTCGGCGCCCAGCACAGAGCCCCAAGCATTCTTGGGCGACACAGTGAGCATCCAACCCAACTCCGCGCCAGCACCCGCCTCAAATCCCCTCGAGGTGGCCGCCCAGGCGGTCGCTGGGCTCACCCGCAGCGAGCATTACGCGCAGGCTGCGCATGACCATGTCAATGTGGAAGACTTCAGCGCTCTCGCTCAGGCTACCGCCGCCGAGCACAACGATGCGCCCGACACAAGCAACGCCTCAAGCACCGCAGCCGCAGCATTGAATATCTATCCGTCGCTCCATGTGCCTCAGTCGACGGAGGAGGCGTTCGCCAACCAGCCAACGCCAGATAACCACCACGAAGACAACACGTACAACAGCCATGCCGTCAACCAGCCGGCGCCGGAAGACTTACGGTTGCCACCGCCCCCCACAACCATACAGCAGCCGCCGCCGAATGGGGTGCAGCAAGAGCAGCGGTACAGTGCTCCGCCGAGCACAAAACCAGCGGTCGGCTCCGAGGAATGGCACAAGATGCGCAAGGATAACCACAAGGAAGGCAAGTCATGCCCTCCCCCTCATCGCCCTGATGGTCTAGTATTCTGACAATTATGCAGTGGAGCGTCGCCGCCGAGAGACAATCAACGAGGGGATCAATGAGCTGGCCAAGATCGTTCCAGGCTGCGAGAAGAACAAAGGTTCCATCCTCCAGCGGGCGGTTGCCTTCATCACGCAGCTCAAGGAGAACGAAACGCAAAATATTGAGAAGTGGACGCTAGAGAAGCTGCTCACAGAGCAGGCGATCGCCGAGCTCAGCCAGTCCAACGACAAGCTCAAGCAGGAGTGCGAGCGCCTGTACAGGGAGCTTGACACGTGGAAGCAGATTGCGCAGAATGCCGGGCTGCAGCTGCCGCAGCAGAAGGAGGAGCCGGGGTCCAGCAGCTAGGTACCTGATGGTGCCCTTGCTCCCTTTTCTCCGGCGGCGGGCGCTGATTCTCGCCTCCTAGTGGATCGATTGCTATTCACCGAGCTGGAGGCGGCGCTCAACCGGCTGCGTTCGGAGCAGTTCGATCCGACTGAGGAAAATACTGGGCTGCTGGACCGGCTGTACAAGCTGTTTGACCAGGTCTGCCGAGAGCCTTTGTATATTTCGGAGCTCGCTCGCTTCCCGCGGCTGGGAGCGGTTTTCTGCAGGATGCGGCTCGTGGCTCTGACCGCGGCGCCGGAGGCTGGGAAACCGAGTGTGTGAGGTCTGATGGAGGGTATACCCCGGAATGTTTTTCGTCGTGTTTGGTTTTATGTATGGATACGAGGTTTCCTTTTGCTTGGAAGAGGTCTTTCATCTCCCATGGATCTGTCGTCGCGATGATGGTGGTAGCAGTCGGGCGTTTGCTAGCTCTGGTTTTGGCACATCTTAGGCTAAGGTAGCTTATGTCTGGTCTTGTCTAATTCTCTCTGTTATTTCTGCGAGCGTTTCCTTACAGTTCTCTGGGAATCAGTCACGATGGACCTTGATGGTGGTGGGCGTTGGAGGTTTGATGCAGGCCATGCCTTTCGGGGGCGGGCCGGCATGATCTGTTAGCGGGACGGCCGCTTTCTTTTGCAGAGAGGACTTTGATATACACAGAGTTTAGGTGTCTTGGCTGGGTTTGCACTACGAGGTCTCCAAAATTTATAAAATACATTGACACGAGGGTGATAAGATCTCGGCCGATATCCGCAGCACATAGGTACTGTGAACGCGGTGCCGGTAGTCTTGTCCCCTTAACCGTTGCCTGCGGTCCTGTGGACAACCTCATTTGCTTGGGCGTATCGGCTCCTTTTCGTATTGGGTTATCGTGCAACGCTGCAGAGATGCGGATTGATTAGCCTTGGTTACCTTAATATCAGACTAGTACTCCGTCTTCCCACGGAAGCTGCCTGGCATTCGGCGCCGAGGCCGAGTGGTCTGTCTTTGCTTCCTGTTTTGCGATAGCGGGCCGGGTCCTTGCCGAAGGTGCCCCGCACCGCGCCAATGAACTGAGCAATTGGCGCATGTCCCACTGATAAGCACCAGGCCGATTACCAGTTCCCCGCCCAACTGACCGTTCCTTGCAGGCGATTCGCCATTGGCCCCGTTTGATCGACTTGTTTATTGGCACAGCGCCCTAACCTTCGGTGCACAAATGGTGAACCCCATTGGTACAGAGCCCCACCTATAGGCGGCTGGGCCAGGCCAGATGTGGCGCCGAGCCCGCAAGCTCTAGCTCTGGGTTTTGGGCTTGCGCACCGGAGCCTTGGAAGCCATACACTAGTGTATCAAGGCCTAGAGTACATATTACATTGTAATGGTCCCGATCTGTTTGATTAAATCTGTTCAGTTAAAGTAGCTAAGTAACGTCATTAGTGGCCTTGATTGAATAGGGTAGGTGGTGTTGGCTGTAGAATCTCAGTGCAGCTTATAGGTGGGCCTGAAACCAAAAGGGGTTCAGCTCCTGTTCACCGAAGCAGGGGGTGCTGTGCCAATAGACAAGCGAGTTTGACCAGATATGTGCCGTACCAGAGCAATCCGAAATGCATTGCTTTCTGAAACCATCTCACATGGACACTTTGACGAGGCTTTCTTGAATTATGCTTTCAGTTGGTGGCCATGAAGCTGTCACTGCCGGAAACAAAGTACATTGTGCCGCCTCTCTTCTTGAAAGCGAGTTGAACGTTGAAGAACTTGGACTGACGTAATTGCATTCCTGCTCCTCGACATCTCCCCATGCCACCGCAGCTGCCCCGCACCCGAACCACGCCAACCGGACCCTGGCAACAATGAAAGGATGACGAGGACGGCGAGCTAGGGCCATCGATCGAATATAAGCCGGTGATATCCTTTGGCAAACTTCCCTCTGGGTTCATTTTCAACCTGAACACCTCGTGGGGCGACACAAGATTGGTTCATCCGGTCATACGTTGGTTGCTCTCCTCAGTTGGGTTCTATCCGAGTCTTCCCTGGCTGAGAGCTCGCGTATAAAACCACAAGGACATAGCCCATAAGGCGGACCATGTCGGCGTGCAGAGCACTCCGGGCCAGCAAGGCTCTCGTGCGCTACTCTGCCGCTCGACTGACCAGACCGGTTGCGGTGCCCCTCGAAGCTCGCCGGCGGTTTGCGGTCTCTGCTCCTACCATGTCGTCCTTCTATCCCGACTGGGAGCCCGATGGCCCTACGGTCAAGACCGAGATCCCCGGCCCCCAGGCCAAGGCTGCCATTGTCGAGCTCAACGAGGTGTTTGACACGCGCAGCTTGAACATGCTTACCGACTACTCCAAGAGCACTGGCAATTATATTGCCGATCCGGATGGCAACGTGCTGCTTGATGTGTAGGTCGGAGGCCCTCATCGCAAACCACATGTTGCTGACACCGCCGTTCCAGCTACGCCCAGATCGCCTCCATCCCGCTCGGCTACAACAACCCGGTTCTGCGTAAGGCCGCCCGGACCGACGCCATGATCAACGGTCTCATCAACCGTCCCGCCCTGGGCAATTTCCCTCCGGCCGAGTGGGCCGAGATCCTCAGAACTGGAATCCTCAAGGTTGCACCCAGCGGGCTCAACCAAGTCTTCACCGCCATGGCGGGCTCCGATGCCAACGAAACGGCCTACAAGGCCGCCTTCATGTACCGACGGCAGCGCGACCGTGGCGGGCCCAACGTGGAGTTCACCGAGGAAGAGATGAACAGCGCCATGGTCAACCAAAGCCCCGGCGCCTCCAACCAGCTCTCCATCCTCAGCTTCAAGACGGCCTTCCACGGCCGCCTCTTCGGCTCGCTCTCCACCACGCGCTCCAAACCCATCCACAAGCTCGACATACCCGCCTTCGACTGGCCGCAGGCCACCTTCCCCCAGCTCAAATACCCGCTCGACGCCCACGCCGCCGAAAACGCCGAGATTGAGCGCACCGCCCTCGACGAAGTCGAGCGCCTCATCACCACCTACCACCTGCCGCCCTGCGCCGTCGTCGTCGAGCCGATCCAGTCCGAAGGCGGCGACAACCACGCCACGCCGGCCTTCTTCCGCGGCCTGCGCGAGGTCACGCGCAAGCACGGCGTCCTGCTCATCGTCGACGAGGTGCAGACGGGCGTCGGCGCCACGGGCCGCTTCTGGGCGCACGAGCACTGGGACCTGCACGACCCGCCCGACATGGTCACCTTCAGCAAAAAGGCGCAGACAGCGGGGTACTACTTTGGGAACCCGGAGCTGAGGCCCAATAAGCCGTACCGGCAGTTCAACACGTGGATGGGCGACCCGGCGCGAGCCCTGTTGTTCCGCGCCATCATTGACGAGGTGGAGAGGCTGGATTTGGTGAGGCACACGGCGCGGGTCGGCGAGTACCTGTACGAAAAGCTCGAGCGGCTCGCGGACAAGTACCCCGGGGAGTTCAGGAACCTGCGCGGCAAGGGCATGGGCACCTTCATCGCGTTTGACAATCCGCGCCGGGACGAGTTTCTGGCCAAGGCCAAGACGTTTGGGGTCAATATTGGTGGGAGCGGGCAGAGTGCCGTGCGGCTGAGGCCGATGCTCATCTTTGAGGAGAAGCATGCGGATATTTTGATCGATGTGTTGGAGCGGATTGTTACGTCGTGGTGATGTCTCCTGGGCTGAAATTGGGGTGGTTGATAGCAGGGGATTGGAGGAACATCGGGAGCTGGGGTTGGTGATTTTTTTCAAGTGCTGAGGGGTGGGCGGCTTAGAGAGTGTTAGGTTTGCTAGGCTGGCATATGGGGTACTATGCGCGTGGCATGTAAGCAGTGATAGTTGTGCTGGGGTTTCAACCAGCTCTTGCTGTTTCTGTAGCGGTCGTGAGAGTTTCGGCTGTAGGTAGTGATGATGTCTCTACCTCGGACAAATCCAGGTTCTAAGTTGGCGTCTATTTCAGCCAAAGCTCCCTAGGCCTGCGGCGCTTGCAACCTGGTGCAAGCCGAAAAGGGTACGCACCTCCATTGCGTGCTGTTATTCTCTTCTTCATTCATCCACCATACGTCTGTCGCCTTTGCCATACCAGGTACAGTACATGTCGAATATCCGGGGTATATATCCCACCGCAGTAGAGCCCCGTCACCGCGAGCGCCACGCCCACAGTGACCTGGCACCCACACACGCACCCTACCCATCCATCCGTACCCAAGACAAGGTCACGTCCCTCCCATTCTCGAAGAGAAAGACAAGTATGATCCAATCTATGTGTGCCTCGGGCCATGTACACTGTACTTTGTAAAGGTATGTATTGTAAACTCCGTCGTTATGTTTCCCTGGCCCTAGCCCTCCCTGCCCCTGACCGCGGATGTAGTGTCCATGGCATGCATGCATTATCTTGAAAACCGATCCATCTATCCACCCTATATGATATACACCTTCTCCCGTTACCGCCAGAGGGAATTGAAGGCTTGAAAACAGGAGGAATGATTACCAACGGGAACAAGCGATGCGGTGGAATGCCACCGCAACCCTAGTGCAACCCCCATCCCCTTCAAGTAGCCGCGAGAATAGCGTCAACGGGGATTGCCGTTCATGCTGTAGCACCAGGTAAGTACAGTAGCATGTTGTCGCCCTTCAAGGTTCAGCCCCCTGCCGCCCCCCTTTCCGCGGGCCCCCCCCCCCCCCCTTTTCCTCTTTTTCCACCCCTCAATCCCACATATTTGACACCTAAAAAATGGCACCAATGCCTCAATGAGCAGACGAGTAACGGGTTTAGAGTCCCTCCGTCTAAAATGATATTTGTAGTAAGCAGGCATCGTGTCCATGTTTGTCCGAACCATGAAAAACAGAAAACAGATCCTTCCATTTCCCTTTCCTTTCCATGGTTAATTCCGAGATTTCCACTTCATGCAATAATAAACATCCGTCTATGCCTATCAGGGCCAGCTAAAAAGACAGGAAAAGCAAGAAAATATTAATATATGTTATATGTACGTCCCCCAGCTTCCTGGCCCGATTTTGAACAGGCAAGCTTTTCTTCACCTGCCTTCCACTCCTTCCCAGGAGCATTTTCAAGCGCAGCTGCTAGTGACTCAGCACGGCCTGTTGTTGCTTCCGAGCCTGCTGCGACGGCTGGTCCATGTCCATGTCCATGCCTATGTCCATATCCGTCACCGGCGCCGCGACACCATTCGCCGCGCGATTCCCTCCTCCCTCGTGGTGGACCTGCGCTTCGTCCGCCAACCGCTGCGCCTCCTCGTTCTCGCGCATCAGCGCCTCTTCCTGCTCGCGCATTGATCTCTCCTCCTCGGTCGGCGGGGTATCCATCGGCGGAGGCGGCGGTGTCGGCGGGCTGGGTATGATGGTGGTGGCGGCGTCATGGCCGTCGGCATCGGCGTCGGCTTCGTCCTCCTTGGCGCGCTTCACCGACGGCGCTTCGGAGAGGGGTGCCTTGGGCGACTCGGCCTGGTCGTTGTCGTCATCGCGTTTGCGCTTGAGGCCCGTGGTGGAACTGCACGGGCTGCTGGCGGCACCGTCGTCCACGTCCGACATGGCCGCGTCGTCCTTGAACGGAGTGGCGACTGAGCTCGGCGCTTCACCTGGCTCACGGGGCTTGGAAGACGTCATACCGGAGGCTGGCTTGACGGAGCTCTGGGCCTTCTTCTTTTCGTGCTCTGTGTACTTGACCACAGCGCGTTCGAAGAAGTCTTGGACGTACGCCTTGACCTTCTTGGCCTGCTTGGGCGTGATGAACGTCGGGTCTTCGACGCGGTTGTTCTTGTAGTCCGAACCGACAAGCTTCTTGTTGACTTCCCGAGCGAGCTTTTTCAAGTCGTCCTTGGGCAGCATGCGGTGAAACTTGTCCACAACGTGCTTCACATGAGGGAATAGCTAGAAATAGTCAGGCATGCGCCCACAGTCGGTACGGGACAAGACTCACGGTGTTCTCGTAGATCTTCATCTGCTTCTCGATGGGCAGAGAACGCCACTTTTCCTTCTTGGGCTCGCTGGCCGGTGTGCTGGACCGCTGCGGCGTGTGGCCTGCCGAATGCCGCGGTGTCGGTTCCTTGGTCAGGCTGTCGATGATGCTTTGGAGTGTCTTCTGATCCTGTTGCGCCTTGGAAGACGCCTTGGGGATCTCAATGGCGGGCTCGGTAGGACGCTGCCACTGCGTCTTGCCGTTGACATCGTAAAAGTAGTACCGACCCGTCTTGTCAGTGTGCACAAACCAGCCTGCCGGCAAGTTGGTAGGTGGTTTCCGGACTCGTTGCGAAGCGAAGTAACTGGCGTTCCGCTGCGGGATGCTGCTGCGGGGACCTGTGGGGATTACGATATTGACAAAGGGGTCGGGGGGCTTTGCTGGCTCATCGCGATCCTTGTTTCGCCGCTCTTCTTCGAATGAGTTGATAGTGCTTGGCCCTGTATGGTCGTGCTTCTTTCGCGGGATCCGGTACGCTGTTTCCAGCTTGCTCCATTCCTCAAGCAATCGTTTCGCAGCGAAAGCGACCTCCTCGTGCGGCGACGAGGTGAGGGGCTGCACAGCTCCTTCAATCTTGGAATCCGAGATTTTGTTTTTCGTGATCCTGGGGAGCTGGTACAGGATTTCGAGAATTTGCAGGACGACGTTGGTGTCGTCTCTGAAAGTGTTGAGAGTGCTCTTCAGGATCTGGTATCCGTGCATCCTCACCACCCTATGGCGGAGATGCTCATCCTCAGTGGCTTGAAGCCGCGAGAGTAGCTTGACGGCAATCCATTTCTCTTTGCATTGCATGAGTGTGGCCATGACCTTGTTGACGCCATCTTCGTCAAGCGCACGGGGCTGCAGACTGTTGATGTACTCCTCGTCATCCTCATTCGCCTTCTTTTTGCGGGGCTTCTTGGCAACCGCCGTGTCCCAGCTGTCGCCATCGTCGATACCGAGCGCCTCGATCGTTGCAATCGGCAATTTGGTCGCGCGCTCTGTCTGCGTCTTGCCGCCGATGAAGCCGACGCAGTTGGGCTCGCCGCAGTAGCAGGGCTGCGGGTCGGCGCCATAGCGGTCCACGTTGTAGTTGAAGACCAGCTCTTCGCCGGCCCGAATTGCGCGGGCGGCAAAAATGCCCATGCGCAGCTTCTCGCCCACCACCCACTTGTCCACATAGCAATTCGGATTGCACGAGTGGTTGCAAAACCGGCCCAGGTTTCCTTTCTTTGTAGCGTCGACAAACTCGGACTTGGTCAGCGACATGAAGTAAAAGTGCTTGATGCCCTCCATGTCGTATTTCATCATCCGGCTGCGAAATGTCGGCTCGTTGATGACCTCGCCGATGTACTCGAATACGAAGTCATTAGGCTGCAGGTCAGTATCCGTCCGGAGGCCGTATCCCTTCTTCTCCGTCTTGATGACCGAGACTTTGGCATACTGCTTGCGCTGGAACCGCTGGTTCTGACAGCCATCGCCGCAGTTGCAGTCGCCGTCGACACATTCGATTTTTGTTGCCCGATTGATGCAATCCGAATCTTCACCGCAAGCGTGGTTCTGGCCGTCGCCTGCAAGGGGAAAGAAACCAGTGGGTTAGGCTGGCCCATTACCCAGGCGCCGGGGCGTCAGGGAAGACAACTTACGCCAATCCTCAGCACAATCGCAATCCAGCGCGTCGTGGTCCGAAGACCCCATATTCCTAGAGCCATAGAGACAGTCGTTGATTACCTGAAATGTGCGGCACGCATCTGCGGTAGCATCTGGGAGATGGCCGAAGAGCGGAGGGGGACTTCTCGACATCTTTTGCGACGGCTTGCGTGATAGTTTCGGTGCGGTGCCGTTGCCGAGCTCGGAAATGGATGCGCTGTCGGCGGCAGACTTTGCGTCGTCGAGTGACATGCTGGATGCGGGCGAGGCCATTTTAAGCCCGTTTGGCGTGGGGGAATCGCCCGTGTCCTCCTTTTTCACCCTGACTCCATTGGGTTTTGGTCGTTCCTCGAGCCCGGGCCCCGCCGCCATGCCCGAAGCACGATTGCTTCCCTCCATGCCAACCAAGCGGTGCGCGCAAAAGCGCCGGCTAGCAATTGGGGGTCGAGTGCCAGGTTGAGAGGCAGGCGAAATTGTTGCTAGTCCGAGATGCGCGTTCAAAGGATGGAGTTGGTAATGTGGAGTAGAAAAAGGACAAAGCACATGAAAGCAGTACGTGGTGCCAATGGTGCGGAAGAAAGTTGGGGAGAGTTCGGGGGGGCGAGGAAGCCGGAGTAGGTTATGGAGGAAGCTATTCTGTTGCGCGCCGAGGGTGCTGCATGGCAATTGGCAACTGACGACTCCCAAACCGACAGCGAGCGGGTCCAAGCGAACCTCTCGGCGATGCAGTGAAGGTTCCGTCGCATCCAGAAACTAGGCTTGCTTTTACTCCTCGACCTCCATATCAGCGGGACTTGATATCCCACAAGCGGTGCTCCCGCCCGAAGTGCTGCGCAGTGTGCTGGGGGTTATGAGATGGCGTCTCAATGTCGCAAAGTTTAGACAATCCATCACAGCGCCAATCCTCACGCGGTCACGCACAGGCGCACAGGTGGGGCTGACCCGATTAACTAAATTCAACGCAGTGGTGGACCAGAGCCTCCGTTCTTGCTCGGTTGTCGGTTCAAGAATATTCCGGCCCTTACCGCGGAATGTGTCCCGGTTCTTGAACGGAAGCATCCAAGTCAGAAACGGCGGAAATTGTTCCAAAAGCCCAATAAACCAGGCGTAATCCAGCTGCCAAAGGTATGATGATCATGACGAAGACTCCCGTTGCGTACTGAGGGTATATTGAGTTTCCTCTAAGTTTGAGAGCTATCCGGCGTGATCTCCAAGACATGATAAACCGGTCTGCCATGTAGATTTCACATTACGTGCCTTTCATCTTAACTGGCCGGCCCCAGATGCCCATGCATGAGTTTGGATTGAAAAGAACGGTTGGCCACCTTCCAGTGTCAGAGCCAGCCATCGACTCCATGCACATGCTTTGCTATGGTAAGGTACTCGATGGGATAAGTGAGTTTGGCACCTCCGGGCCGGTCCTGTCCATTCCTCGAGGCTCGATTCCAAACCCCCATCCGTAGGTCAGCGTAGGCAATTTAGTTTTAGTTTGCATTTGAGTTCGCCGCTGACTTCCAGAGGCACAAGGTACTTCGTGCTGCAGATGCTGGCAAGCTGGCATAAGGTTCATGGCCCTCTGCCACGGAACCTTGCAGGCGGACGGGAGCGGTGTGCATGGATATGCAATGCGGAATGATATCTGGCCGTCACAATGGAACGTCATGACAGTCCTAGCCCAGAACGACCCTCTATATAGGTAAGTAGGCATGGTAGGAGGCTGTAACCTGTAGGAAGTAGGAGATCCTCGCCGCGAGCCAGTCCCGATGCCAGCTCATCGTGCAGCAGGCATGTGGAGCGGTGCCCAAGACACAGCCCAAAGGCACATATTTAGAGAGGCGGTTCGGTGCTGATAACTTGATGTCTTGTAATCCTGACTTGGTCTCCAGCTCTTCACGAAGATGTCGTCAATTCTCCTACCGACTAACGGTGCGGCTCTTTCAACAGCCGATCGAAGCTCAGGGCGTGTGACAAGCTGATTGCCGCTCTCAAGAAACTGCCATTGGTGAACAGTCTCGCCGTTGCAGCCAATGGGCCCGCCTGAATGGGCCACTTCCACCTCTGCCGGTGGGTACCCTCTCTGACTTACAAGACCAATTGGGCTGAGTCTTCGGAATAGCATCGACTTCACCTCTCAAGCCGCTGCGTGCGATTGCCAGAGTCCATCGAGACGACGCTCGATTCCATAAAGAAATCTTGTCGACAGCTGGATGGCGCGGACCGGAGATTCCAGGTTGGGCTCTTGATCAGGCCGAAACCTGAGATGTCTCTTCCCCAGACTCCTACACCCTATCATGGCCGGCAGAGCGTTAGGGTCACATGTGCAGCTGCACGCCTCTCCATGGTGCAGATGGTCCGCCCATTCATCAATCGACAATGCTGCAGCCACATGTTGCGAGACGCTGATGTACTCCCGCTACTGCAGGCCTGCAGAACTGGCAGTCGCTGCCGCCCTTGAAAACTCGAGTCAAGCGAACACCTTGCCGACGCACGTCTTCAATCGCGGAAGGAAGGTGTTCGCTGGGTCCCGGACGAAGCCAAAACCAGGAATCGCTGGACCGGTTCGCCGTGCATTCGAATGGAGCCGGGAGATGGAAGCTGCCTGAGGAATCGCCATAGTCGGACAGTCTTTGCGGCTTGCTTGACCGGGCGCCGATGAGAGCAGTCGACTCAAATGCCCCGTGCTTGCCAGACGACCCCAACGGGAGGGACTGTGATTGCCCTCCGTCGGTCTGGTGGACCGACCACGCACAGGGCTGCATTGATGTGCACACCATCTCGCCTCGATCCGACTGCACTCCACTAGCCACCTGAGCAGTCACTTGATCTCGCTGCAGCTGCATGCTCTGTGAGACACCCAAGGAAACCACCAAATTTCCAGGCGGGACGCAGATGCGCGACATATGCACAGCGCATCCAAGGCATTGCCAGGTGGAGATTTGCGCAGCTGATCATGCCGAATCCGTTAGCTGACTCGGGGGGAGCATGAGATAATCCAGTCGCTCCCATGCGCTCCTCTCGTGGTGGTGGCCAGGAAGATGCCCAGGTCGCAGAGGACTGGAAGCACACACGGCTCAGCTTCCATTTCAACACTGATAGACATAGTGGGCCGTGCTTTGAAGCTTGGGCTGATGAGGAGGGGGTTTTCCAGCACTAACAGGGGAGCATCTGTGGGTTTTCGGTGGAACTCTGGTCGCTTGTTTTGCAACACTCAGGCCCCTTGCACCGAAAGACGCGCGCTTCGCACGGCTCGCGTGTCTTTGCCGCCCACGCTCCCATCCGCCCACCTGTCAACCACTCGATTTCCCAGCTTGCGAGCTTCTGACGCCTGGGCCGCGAATGTCCTTATCCAGGGCGGCACCTCTGCGCTGACGGTTTGTCTCCCCTTTGACAGGTCTCGACACTCGTTTAATCTTCGGTCTCTTCTTTCGCCTCGATTCCTTTTCTTATCGCCAGATGCAAGGCGCGCGCACGCTGTAACCAGGCGGCTGTTCACCCCCTCATAAATCTCCAGAAACCTTGCCTTACCTACGGCTTCGCCACTGCGCCCTAATGCTACCACCAGAACTGGGATCACGAGCGGCCTGTTTCTTAAGTGACTGATCATATCCGCACTCTGTCAAATGACTGCCCACCGCCGGCTAATGACACACTTCTTCCCTTCCTTGTCGTCTTCTTCACTTCGAAGGCACCGGGGACTTGATTTCAGCCATGGAGTCCTTTAACGAGGCCGAAAAGGTACGGTACTGCCGTCACTCAACCCCCGCTTTTGCCCTTCACATGACTCGGCCTTACCGTTTACGCAGCGCTTTGTTCTCGCGGAGATGATCAAGCTTAGCCAGGTGGACGTCGGCGTCCTCGTCGACTTTGTCAAGTCGCATGGAATCGAACCCGACTGGCTCCATATGCAGCTCCCCAGTGGTAGGCAACGCTCCTATTTTTGATCTTTGAGCTCGAGAGGGCAGCCCGGTTAACCTACGGCGGCAGGTCGCACCATGGGTCAATGTCTTCATGCGGCAGAAACCATGTTCAACACGCCCATGGCCCCTCCGCCCATGATTTCCTCATTGAAGCGAAAATCACTGGGCGACCTCCCCGACTTTGAATCCTCCAAACGACAGGCCATGGCCTCTCCTGGCGAGGTATCCCCGCGCGGCTTTGCACTACCCGCCAATCTGCAGCCCGGTCTGCCCGCAAACATACAGCCTCGCCCGAATGGCTTCGCTCCGGCTCCGTCAGCTCCCATCCCATCAGTCTCAGCGTCAACGTACAACCCGACCCCGGTAGCCCGTAAGCGGGGACGCCCTCCCAAGGCGGTTCAGGGGGCCACCTGGCAGGTGTCGACTTACCCCCCCATTACGCCCGCCCCGATTGCGCCTTCTCCGGCGACGACTACCGCTCCGCACCCACGCAGTCCGGGTCTGCAACAGCCGCCGGCGGCGCCTCAGGCGGCGTCCCAGGGGCAAGACACGAAGCCAAGAAAGAAAGCGCTGCCCGAGATTGCGCCTCGACCGACCCTCGGAGCGCCGGGCTCAGAGACAACTGTCCGGTCTCCAGCAGCGGCAGGCGGAGAAAATCAGTTCTGGCGAGACGAAACGAGCCGTAGGGAGTACTACCAGGCTCAGGGTGCAGACGCTCCAGTCAGCGCGAAGGATCGTCCGACGTCGACGTATGCTCCCATCTTGCCGCGCCCACATAGCCCACGGAGTCCTCTCCCGCCACCAAGGGAGTTGGTGCGCCCGGCGTCAGCAGGACCACGCCATGATTTCAGGGAACCACTCCCAACGGCCGCTCCGGAGCCGTTGAAGAACGAGAGCAGGCCAGCGACAACAGAGCCGATCAAGACTTAGATCGGCGCTCAACTGATACGGGAGGGTTATCATGCTAGGAGGTGGGGCAGCAGCCCCTTTTTGTTGCTTCTCTCTTTCCGTACGCACCCAGGGTATACAGGACAGGGGAAGTCTTTGTTTTCTTCCTTTCCATGGATGCTGGAGATATACGCGCACTTCATCCTACCTTGGGACCTTAATGCTCTTGCCCGCCACCGTATACATCGGACATGGCGGCACGACAGCAACGAAAGCGCGACGACGCGACGGCGGCCACGGCCGACATACTCCATGAATCACGATTCATCCCATAAGTACCTTACGTTGTACGATATGGACGAGATGGCTGGCTCATGTGAATGGGCACGAGCACGACACACTCTGCATATTTCTTTTGACGAATCAACTACGATACTAGACGGCCGGGAGCGACCATTGATCTGGGCTGGTTTGTTCTGTTCCGTCTCTTTCTCTCTATTCTTCATCTCCTGTTGCTCTGATGCGCACTCGTGCGTTCTCCTTATTTGTATGGAGGTAGTTCTCGCACTCTCTCTCTCGGCACTCTCTCTCTCTCACTCTCTCTCTCACTCTCTCTCTCACTCTCTCTCTCACTCTCTCTCTCACTCTCTCTCTCACTCTCTCTCTCACTCTCTCTCTCACTCTCACTCTCACTCTCTCTCTCACTCTCTCTCTCACTCTCTCTCTCGCTCTCTCTCTCGCTCTCTCTCTCACTCTCTCTCTGACACTCGCTCTGGTGGAGATGACGACGCATCAGCCATTCGGCAACGGCGGTAACAAAAACGTTCATGAAGGAGGGCCAGCTGGGTAGTGGTTGGTCGACATGGAGCTGTGGCATAGCTGTACCAAGACCTGGGGAACTTCATCGGGAGAAGGAGGGCTCTGGGTTGGTAATTGTAATTCATATTGGCAGGCAGTATATAGCGGCAGCTGGAGGATGGTTGATTCCTCTAGAAAATCCAATTAGATGTGTTTCTGCCACTGGGTACGTTGCTCTTCTCGGAGTACGTCAAATGAAAGGAGGCAAATCCCATTCGTCAGCCAACAATAAACGTATATTCATACCTGCTTAGCTGATACTGTAACTTGTTAAATGTCACCGGACACTCGGTTCAGCTTTATACTGCAGGAGACTTCGCCCTGCCAAGGCTGTAGGTAGTCTGGGCCCTTACTACATACCACCTTAGGTGCCCTTGAGCGGTGCTGCGGATTTGGGGCGAGATTGCCTACCTCGTAGACATGGCATACCCGCGGACTAAACCGGCTCTGCAACCAATCAAGGCGTATCTACCCGCCTTTCCTGTCCACCAACCAACTGAGTGACAACGTAAGTGGTATACCAGGTATTCTTTGTTTTAGATGCCTCCTGACCCCATTCTCAGTTGGCCAAGATGCTGAGAGAACGTTGAAAAAGAGGAGTGCGGTTTCATCTGCGGTCGAAGGCTTCAAAGATATAGGAAACATAGCGCTCTCTCATTATCAACTCCAGTCCTCCACTGCTCGCAAGATACCTGCCGTATAAGCGTGCTGTAAGGGTCGAATACGGAGTGCCAGGTCCCTGGAAATAGGAGGACTTGCCGCTGATCAAGTTAGATGGGTTCGCTATGTCCTAGTGAGGTAGCGTAAGTTAATTAGGGTAATGTATTACGAATGACCCTGAGTTACGGTTGATGTGGACGATCCGGGCCGGCTGGGAGAGTATGACCCTGGGTAGCCAAAGCCCATCAGTCTGTCTTGATTAGGGATGATCAGCGTGAAGCTGAAGTAGCGTTTGAGTCGGTACTTGTATCCTGACAACCTCCCAATTGGAGGCCTTTACCTTGGTACTTTTCAGGTTGCTCTGAAGCACTCCTGGGTTGACTGACTATCAACAGAGTGAACGTAAAGAGATCTCTGTTTCATGCCTGACAGACTTCAAGTTGGATCCGGACTGTAAATTGCGTGTGTATATACTCCTATTCATGCCTCCGACTACGGTAGATGCGCTGTTCTGACAGCAAGCCGGAATGACTAGGGACGGTTCATCACCTGCCAACCTTTTACTAGAAACGAGGTACGTTCATTTTCCAATACACTTCGACGTGGGTTATGCACCTTTGATGAGCCTGATTTCGTTGATTTCGAGGCTCCACCCTGTCACGTACTAAGCGGTCTTCTTCCAGTATGTCTATCACGATACGCTGGACATGGCCAGCCCAAGAGAAGTAAAGTCGAAGGAACTCGATATCATAAGTCAAGTCAATTTTGGAATCGAAATGCTGAGTCCGGGTCCTTCGTCAGCGATGAAAGACAGCAGCGCTTGGTTCCTGAGATCCAAACGGCGACTGAATCTTCACTTAAAGAACAAGGTCTCGTACCTTAGTTGGATGATCAACTAGTGTCAAGTGAAATGCTGGGTCTTATTCCAATGTGTCTTATCATGATAAAATAAAAAATGCCAGGGCCCAACCGGTGACCTCTACGACATGTTTTGGAGTCCATTTCTGACAATATACACTTTCTTCACATCAAAAGTGGTCTCCAAGTCAGGGTCGCGGACGACGTTACAATGTTGACCTCAAGTAATCCGTACATTACAGCCAACTTCGGATGAACCATTCCTCCACGTCGCAGACAACGCCGACTTGGATCTGGTCAATCCCGTCTGACATCTCGCCTTGGCAGCCAAAGCAAGCAAACCAAGACGTTCCTAGCAGGATTGGGTCAGCACTGAGAGAAAAGCCTGAGGACGGCGAACGTCAGAAGCTTGAGGTCCTGACCGTTTCCGTCCCAACACCGACTGTTTTGGCATGAACACAACACACCCGTGCCCACTCGACACTGCCCCTGAGAGTGGGCCTCTTCTGTTAGGGACTCCTTTGCAATGAAACAAGCTTGGCTAGCGTCGGAGATGCCCGCTACCTAGTGCAAAACTCCAGAAGACGCCCAGGAGAAACTGACGTTTGGAGGTTGCCTGTTACAGAAGGTTTAAAAAGCTGGTGAGTGACTGTCCGTCAGCACCGCAGAAGAATAGAACACCAGCAAACAAACGCCCTGCAGGAGAGAGAAGAAAAGACCAACGAGGTATCCGTAAGCAACTGGGATGAGATCCCTCAGCTCCACGAAGAACATGGGCCTTGGATCCAATCACGGGGCGTTCTTCGGGCCGCTTTGAGGAGTGGAGTGGTAACAACAAATGGATGCCTGAGACGCAATGCGCGAAATGTCATCAGTGACAGGGCGGAACAGGGCTTCAAGATTACACCTCGAAATTGACATGAGAAGGGAGTGAAGAACACGGGGGAGTTTTCCAGGTGCTGGTGTCTGTCTGAGGAAACGAGAAACCGGAACCCTGTGTGCGTGCGGTGGAGCTGATGACCAACAGGAAACTTGAAGAGAAAATGAGAAATGAGGGAAAAGAGCCTGTCTGGGAGAAAAAATCCGACGGCATTTGGCCTGCCACGGGCCGCTGTACCAACTGTTACGGAGTAGTGCAGCCAAAATTTCGTTCTTCAAAAGTTGTCCTTCCGACCACCTCTCCTCACTTTCTTGAACCAGGTTCTGGGACGACCGGGTTGTTCTTGAGCAAACAAAACCGCCTGCTTATCCTCGAGAAAATACCATCTCTGGAGGTAACCGTGAGTTTCCCGTCTGCCAGTTGGGTATCAGGAATCCGCTGCCATGGCAAACATGCTTCGAGTCCTCCAAGTGTAGCATTATCAACCGACCCGAATTTGGAAACAGCTCCGTCCAGTAAACAATTGACTCCGAGTCGTCGGGGTCCCTGGGACGGACTTCTGATCACCGATCGTCGATCGTCTCCAGCGCTGTTTCCAGAATCGCTGTGGCTGATGCCAAGCAAGCCAAACTCGCGGCTTTGTGGGGTAACACAAAACAAGATGGAAGCCCTCATCCCTCACCCCAGCTCGCACGGTTTTTGTCTCTTCAAGATCGATCGAATGCTACCTCGACCGGGCATTAACTCCACAAAGAGACACAATAGCGATGAACGGGACAAGTCCGAGGATTAGGGCACCCATTATGCTGCAAAACGACGGTGCGACCCGGTAATAGTTGAAACAAAGACAATTGTGCGTCGCGCGCGGTCTGGGTTAGTGCTGCTTACGCTCTGACGCAGGTACCGAACGTTTGCCGGCGCTGGGCTGCATGGGGCCTGACCCACGCTGTCAGGACCAGTTAAACGGTCCCAAGAATGGTAATTGTATTATACATACTCGAGTACTGATACGTGCAACAGGGTTTTCTGTGGCATCTCTCAGCTACAAAAGCCGGGAAAAGATTCTTCGGGGACACACCTAGCCTCTTTTGAGAAGCAATCCCTAAGCAGCTCAACTGCGAGTTACCGCACTATGCACACGGTAGATGTCTCCTTTAGATACCTGACATAACACGTTACCTGTAGCTTACGCCAAGTTCCTGCCGCAGGCAAGCCCCTCTGATTCGCCAGTTCCCGCTCTCCGCTCTCCAGAGTTGCTCCGAACCGCCGTTGAGTTCGGTGCAAACCAAGGAACGGCGAAATTGCGCTGCTGAACTACAAACCCCGGGGTACACACCCTACCCGTACCGATATACCTACACGCGGAACATGCGCAGCTGAGGTTCTTCCTCGGTAGTTTGTGCTACGAGGACTAGGTTGAGTCGGTACACCCAGAGGGGCTGCGATGACTTTCCACATGGGAACCCAACATGGAGCACTCGAAGCAGCAAGACAGCCAGGATGCCGTCATTATTGATAGAGAGAATCCGAGCCGAGCACCAGTTGGCGATTGAGAGGGAAGCGATCCAGTTAATTTACAAATACAGCACAACAAGTGGTAGCTGACTGCATAGTGCCTGGGGTGACACCCCTCTCACAGACGCCTCTTCTGCAGGTCAGATCAATCCGTACGAACGCGCCGGATGGCTTTGGGGTGGGGGCATTGCTCGTGTAGCTCAATTCCCGCATTGGTGCTATGGTCTCTGCGGGATCTGGTATGATCGGGGTGGTTGCTGTGCCCGATAAGGGATGCCGTGTTCACTTTGGATTCTGGTACGTGAAGTATAGTGAAGCCACTACCAAAGGCTTTGTTTACCTTAAGTTTCCCCAAGCCACAGGGCTGGCCCTTAAAACCGGGGTCTGAGGAGAAACACTCGAGCCAACAGCTCCTGCTCTCCTGACTGACTTTGAGATGGCAATGCAAACAATCGTCAAGTTTGGGTTTCAGCTAACCCCCGACGTGTGCGGCTATGCATCGCGATCAAACAGCTCGCGCTAGCATCGTACATTGTAATGTGATCGTCATCGGGATGGGATCGGTTCCGATCTGCCTTTCGCTCTTTGCTTCTTGCTGAGATCAAGTTCTCGCTTGAAAACAACCCCCAAGTCTCGACGGAGCCCGAGCACACAGCCCATCCAAGGGTGGCCCTTGTTAAACGGTCCGTCGTCTCCCAATGCCACGCAGCCCGCCCACACCACCCTCTTCCACACCAGGCTGCCCAGCAAGGCACGGCAACTCCAACCTGCAGGTTCAGGGCTGGGCAGACAACAAGACGGACCCAGAGGGCTCCACGCGACCCGGACGCGTCTTACGCAGTGCCTGGTATCTATTTGTGTGCGGTTGCTACATTTAGCCGGGAGAGCCCACGTCCAGAGAGGGCCGCCGAACGCATCCCAGTTTTTATGTTGAAATTCGTACACTTTCTCTCATGCCGTTCGTTCATTCATCCAACACAGCAGCGAGATATTCTTCGTTTGACCTCCTACTTGGGGCAGAAAGGAAACCTTTTCCAAGTGTGACACACCACACCCACACGGACGCTACGAAGCAAGAAGGAGCATCAGCCTTCTATTCCTCGCGGCCGCCTACCATCCAACCACTCATTCCCACGGTCTCACCCGGGCACCTCGACCAACTCGTTTCCGTGTAGCCCAGGTCGGATTGCCTACTGTGGCACAATCACTTAGTGACTAACCCAGACGGCAAAAGACTGGAATGCCGTTGTCTCGGTGCCGGGCCCTGTGACCAGCCGCATAAACACACGACCGTAAACACCAGCCCGGCTGATATCGGCGCCGCCCCGCAGCAGCCGTGGACCCGGGGAGGCTCCGTTTTTGCCATCGTCTTCCGCCATTGGCGCCGCCTGGCTGCTCTTTTTCCTCACCATCAGCCCGCGAAGGGTGACGCTGGTTCCCGCTTCGTTGCCGCGGCGGAGAACCGGGCGTTCGATCGATCGCGGCCAACGAAACACCGCCAAGTGCAGGCTGGTCCTTGCAGTGACCTGGGGCATTCGGCGTCTGGAAAGGCGAAAGACCGGCAATATTCTCTTTTGTTTAAGGACTGAGGGGAAAGGAAGAAGAGGGTGGAATAGCTGGCTGGTGTTCGTTGCGGGGCGACACATCCGCACGGCTGCGCGCAGGCGTCTGTTTTGTCAACAGACTGTACCGTCAAGGGAGGCCGATAAGATCCTGTTTCATCACCCATCGGTTCGACTGGGGCTGTCTCACCTTCATATCGGCACCCCAGAGTTTGAGATATGGCAATCCCCCGCACCCTCCCCGCCGCGCTGGGCGCGGTCGCATTCCTCCCGACCACGACCATGCTGGCCATTCATGTCATTCTCGCTCGCTCGCAGGCGGACCGGGCATCCTCGGTCAGGACAACAGCCATCGTTGCGGCGGTCCTGGAAGCCATCATCTTCATTGCCATCCCCTTTCTCAGCATCTCCCATGTGGCACCATGGACTCCGAAACCGAGGTGTTTCAAGACTATTTGGTTCGGTACAGGCTTAGGCTTGTCCGCAGTTGCCTCTGCGGTCTCGGTGTCGAATATCGTCTGCCTAAGCCGGGTAGTTGACGATCCTCTAAGCACCATTCTGGGCTGGAAGGCGGGAGAATTTCTGGTGGGCTCGTCAGTCGCTCTAGGGCTGGCATTTGCGACACAACTAGTTTTCTTCACCTTGCATCTCATCGTCGGGCGGACACTGGGATCACATCCAGAGATCTCGACCTATCTCGACCAGGCCAACCGGTCCGCCCCGCGGATCAAAACCGTGCCGTACCATGAAACGACGCCGGCATCGGCCGCCAGGACCCGAGACAGCGCGTCGTTCGATTCGCCGACTCCTCCAAGGTCGAGCGGTGGGCGCTCGGCAACCGAAACCATGAGCTCAATACGGACTTCCCTCTCACACGCCATACGACCCATCACATCCAGGACTCGTCTGCTCTCCGTCAGCCGGCGGTCATCCAACCGGCCCCTGTCCCTTGACCTGGCCGCTCCGCGCGAATCCCGGTCGCGCTCGACAGCAGAAGAGGGCTTCGACACCTGGGACACATCCGCCGTGGACCCCGACAACCGCCAAACAGTTCTCGAATCCTCCTCCCCACCATCCACCCGCTTCCTCGAGACCATCCCCGCCAGCCCGGCACCAAGCCGCAGCCCGAGTCCCGGCACGGCGCTCGACGTCTGCCTCAACGCGCCGCGCACCCGCCGCAGGAGCCGCAGCTACAGCCCGGTCTCGTCCCGCACCATCCAGGCCCAGCGGGCGGCCTTCACGCAGCAGGCTTCGCACAGCGAGGCCCACATCCACCCGCTCTTCCGGTCCGACTCGCCGGTTCCGCCGCCCAGCGCGACCCCGGGGACCGTGGTCGTGGCGGCGCCCAACGCGGGGCAGGTCATTTCGGACCGCCAGAGCATCCGCAGCATCGCGAGTATGCAGAGGTTGAGGAGCGAGAGCTCGCCGGTGGTGCCGAGCCCGCTGAGTCGGGCCGCGTCATCCGAGTCGTTTGTTGGTGTTCGTGGGAGGAGGAGGGCGGAAAGTAATGCTTCCCCGGAGATGAGGGAGGAGGAGGAGAGGAAGAGGGACGGAGAAGGGGGATTGCCGGTGATGGTTGCTGAGGAGGATATGGAGAGGAAGATGACGCCGCCGATCCCGGAATGGATTCTCACTGCTGGGTCGCGGTCGAGCTTGACGGGTTACAATAGCCGGAAAAGTGTTCGGACACCTGGGGAAAGCGAGGATGGTGTTGAGCTACATCCGTCGTCATGATCGTTGGTGGAAAGGGCTGCCTATCGGCCATGTGGGGGCGTTATTTTGATGCACCATTACTGGGACTGCTGTGGACTAGAAGAGGTCCGGGCAGCCGTCTACTTTCCTTGGGTCTTCCAACTGGGTGGGTGGTTTTGTGGCCGGGTGTCTGGGGGGTTGACAAAAGATACCACTGGGTTGATACCTTAGCACGGCGTTGAATTAGACGGGGTAAAAGGAAAAGGACAGGATGGCTTGTTTTGACACAAGTGGGAGCCGTAAGCTAGTCAATAGACGAATCAGGCAAACCACTGGGTTTGTTGTTGGCATGATGTAGTTAATAAAGGGCAGTGTTCAGCGTATGAACAATGAGAAGGAGAGTAGATGGAACTGTAGAATGCAAATACGGCCTGGACAAGCCACACGGGAACTGCAAGGCGATTTCCGTCACTTGGGTTGCCCACAGTCGACCTGCAGGTGAACTGAAGTCAAACTCCCAGATTGTGGGCTCTGTTGCATTTATTGAATTAATTCATCGGCCTTCGATATTATTTTGAATATTGCAGTTTCGTCGTTGTGAAGTGAGCGAACTCAGCTTGGAAACTCGGAGACGCTCAAGCTGGCTTCCACCCTGAAGGTGGGGCATCCCAGCTGCGTTAGGCGGCAGCATGCCGCGTGCTTCTCACAGTTCCCCACCCACCACAGACTAGCTGCAGTCGGTGCTTCTTCCGAGCCTCTTTGACTTTAGCTTCAGCACTCTGCTGCCTTCCTGTCGCCACAGAGAACCAAACCGCAGCGGCTGTCAATTTGCAAAATCACACATTCATCGACAACTGTCTGAATCATCCTCACTCTCTTCGTCGTGGTTATTGCACAAAATATTCCCGAAAACCAGCTGTCGGCGGCCTCGATTGCCCACCATGAAGGTCACGTTCAAAGTACGTTGGTCGGACCCATAGAGCTGGCAGCAGCTCGCGCCCGCCCAAACCGGCGCGGCTCTGTCTTCATCGTACTACGTCGGTCGTCATGTACCGATACTGACTGTGGCCTTTTTGTTCAGGATCTCAAGCAGCAAAAGTTCGTGCTCGATGTCGAGCCGACCGATCTCGTAGGCTACCCCTCCTCCCATCTCGATTCACGCGCTTCATCCGAGCCCCGCCACCCGAACCCGTTGCCCGATGCGACATCTATAACTGCAACTGCGATGGCCGTCGCGGATGTTTCTTAGCGCACCCATCTTCTTCACTCAAACTCCCGGGCTGACAGGCTTGTTAGATTTCGTCTGTCAAGCAGAAGATCTCGGAAGAGCGGGGTTGGGATCCCAAGCTTCAGAAGCTCATCTACTCCGGTATGCCATTAGCCCTATACTCGGCCTCCCGATACGATAGGCTGACCCAGTGTCGCAGGCAAGATCCTCAAGGACGAGGACACCGTCGAGTCTTACAAGATCGAGGAGAAGGGTTTCGTTGTCTGCGTCGTGAACAAGGTATGTTTGGAGATCGATATGCGCCGACTGCTAACTGTGGCTAACCGTTTCCACCTGCAGCCCAAGGAACCGAAACCCACACCAGCCCCCGAAGCATCAACGTCCGCAGCGCCTGCTACCCCTGCGCCGGCACAAAGCTCCACCCCAGCGCCGCCTGCTGCTCCCGCGCAGACTTCTGGCGCCGCCGCCGCGGCTCCCGCCACACCGACTCCTTCCCGGACCGCCGCCGCCGCGGAGGGTGGTGCCACCGACGCCAACACCCTGGCTATGGGCGAGCAGCGTGCGGAGGCTATCGCCAACATGCTGGCCATGGGTTTTGAGCGGTCACAGATCGATGCTGCCATGCGTGCCGCCTTCTACAACCCCGAGCGTGCTGTTGAGTATCTCTTGAGCGTACGTTGGCCCTCCAGGACACAAGGTTGCCTCTCTTCGTGCTTCTATGGCTGATTCTTAACCAGGGTATTCCTGAGCACCTCCAACAACCCGAGGCCGCGGCTCGTCCGGCCGCCGCCCCCGCTGCCGCTGCTGCTGCGGCTCCTGCGGCCGGCGCTGGTGGTGATGATGATGGAAACGTGAATTTGTTTGACCTTGCCGCCCAGGCAGGCCGAGGTTCCGGAGCTCGCAGCGGTAGTGGTGTGGCTGCAGGTGCCGGCGCCGAGGCTGGCCAACAGCAGGGCCTTGGGAATCTCGAGTTCCTCCGGCACAATGCGCAGTTTCAACAGTTTCGCCAAGTTGTGCAGCAGCAGCCCCAGATGCTCGAGCCAATTCTTCAGCAGCTCGGCGCCGGCAACCCGCAACTCGCCCAGCTAATTGCCCAGAACCCGGACCAGTTCCTCTCTCTTCTCAGCGAGTCGGCAGGCGACGATGATGCCCCGTTGCCCCCCGGCGCTCACCAGATCTCCGTAACCGAGGAGGAGCGCGACGCCATCGAGAGGCTTACTCGCCTGGGTTTCACGCAAGACCAGGCAATTCAGGCCTACTTTGCCTGCGACAAGAACGAAGAACTCGCCGCGAATTTCCTCTTTGATCAGCCGGATGACGACGACGATGTGAATATGCAGTAATTCACTCACTCGCCGTTTTCCGGTCTTTTCGGTGGGGTGCTACGATTTCCTGGCTTTACGATTATCCGTGGGAATCTGGATGGGTATGGGGATTTGGCCTAGATGTTGGAGCCAGGGCTCTGGGTTGCCATGGCGAGAATGGGCGACGGAGTACATCTGACTAGGGTTTTCTCTGATGATGGTCCCAAGCGGTGCATCACTGCCTCCTCCCTGTGACACTGCGCCGACTGGGGGCGGCAGCTGGCGGACTGGCTGGTTGAGGATGGTTGAAGATGGCCAAACAGGTTGCATGAGGCGCAGATTGGGATCTGGCTTGAGCGGATCAGCGGGGAGAAAGGATGGAGGTTGTCCTGGACGCATCACTCGCTCCTTCCCTCGTGCATCAGCGCGGTAGGTATGGCCTGGGTTGACTCGGACATGGGAGGAGTTTGGGCCCCTCCGAGGATACCGAGAACCAATAAATCAATGAGTTTCCAGCAAACCGATGTGCCTCGGATGGGAAATTAATTGTATCTCAACCATGATGTGCTGATTGTTGTCCTACATCATTTTGTTGGTACAAATACAAATGTACCATCAGCTGGACCGCTGACGGAAAGAGGACATAGCGGCCCATGAACCAGGATATCAGGCAGTGCCATCTTATAAACGAGATAAGGGTATCAAATAATCCGTCGTGGTGGCAAAATCCTCTCCTCCCAGGTGTCCGCCTTCTACCTCTCGAGTCGTCTCGCATGTTTGCCGTTGTTGGCAATCCATCTTGCTGCTGTGGTCCCCATTACCTAGGAGCGAGCAGCACCTGCCTCTGAATGTACCGCGCAGCCCATTCCTTTTGAGAACCCATTGCAATAACTGAAAGCATAAACATGAATATTCCGCCCGAGACTCAAAACCCCATGAATGCCACGAATTGCATATGGACATTCAAAGTCCCATGACAGCAGGCGCCTTTTTCTTACGCCCGCCCTTGCGCCCCTTCTTGCCATCCCCGCCGCCGTCGCCGCCGCCCGCTCTCTCCCCATCAACGGCGCTGTTCAGCTGCGCGAGCACCTCTTCCTTCTTGCGCCGCACCTCCTCAGCCTTCTCGTCCTCGAGCGCCTTCTGCTTGGCCTCGAACTCCTCCTCGGCGCGCTTCTGCTCGGCGTAGATGGCCTCGGCCGTCTCGTACTCCTGCCCGGTCGCGCGCTGGTACTGCTCCAGGTCGATCAAGACCGTCTTCTGGCCGACCAGCGCGGCGGTGATGCGCGCCGGGTTGACGCGCTCCTCGCGGTTGAACTTGAGCTTGATGTGCTTGCGCGTCTTGCCCTTGAACATGCGGCAGATGGTGTCAAAGTCGGTGCCGAAGGCCTGCAGGGCCTGGTAGAAGAGGTCCGTCTCCTCGTCGGTCCATTGCTGCGGCTTCAGGTTGCGCCGGAGGTAGGTCGCGGAGGTGGTGTGGTGGGTGAAATCGTTTTCTTCCACCTCGACAAGCTCGCCGGCTTCTTCCCGCGCCCGCGCGTGCAAGTCCACGCGGAGGGAGCGGTGATCCAGGACGATTTGGCCATCGATGATTTGGTAGGCTTCGCCGATCGTGGCGCGTGAGGGCCCGTCGGCGGGGGTTTCGGCACCTGCAGACTCGGTGGTGGCGGGGGTGGCTTGGGTGCTGTTGTTGGAGATCGAGGCGGAGGTCCCCGCGGAGGTCTCGCGGTTTGATTTGCTGCCGTCGCCGTCTTCGCCGTCCTGTTGCCGTTTCTTCCTCGCGCTGAATCGAAGACGCTTTGCGCGCTCGCGCTCCATAAGCTCGTCGTGCAGGCTGAACTTCTTACCGATATGCATGTCCTTGGCCAGGTCAGCCATCTTCACCTGTGTGATGTCGATTTCGACGTTCTCGGCATCAGGCGGCGTGGCTTCGCGCTGTGCCCTCGGAGGTCTTCCCTTCGATTGCCCGGCGCCCGATTCACTGTTGTTTTCAGGTTCTCCATTCTCCGTCGCAGCCTTGCTGCGCTTTCGGCTGCGTGTTGCTCTGGGGGCTGCAGGCTGGTCGCTTTGCTCGTCTGGCGGCGGAGCGGCCTTCTTTCGGGGTCGCTTGTTCGCAGGTGCTGCAGTGTTTTGTTCGCCAGAGTCTTCACCGGTCGCCGCGATCACGGCGCGTTTCCGGCATCGCTTTGGCTTTGAAGCTTCAGAAGGCCCCGACGCAGGCTCGGATGTTGAACCGGCGGTTGGCTGCACTTGTTCGCTTGCGGGGGTCTCGGACGGCGGGATGCTGGGTGTTTCCGTCGAGGGTGGAGTGGGAGAAGTGGTGTCTTCACTTGAAGTAGCGGTCGCAGCGAGAATCGTGACGGCTCCCGGTTGGCCACCTGCGCCGGATCCTGCACTAGCATTGGCGCCCGCAACTGGGGTCTCAAGCGAACCAGTCTCTTGCACAGTCGAAATCTCTCGTGATGAGGGCTGCTCTGGTGTAATACCATCCTTTGTCCCGCTATCAGGCACGCCCGTCGGTGTTGTTGTATCGGCGCGCTGGTTGCTTCCTTCCGAAGCGATTTCCGTACGAACTAGGGTTATCGTAGCCTGCGGCGGCTCCCCGGCAGCAGATTCAATCGCCTCCTCCTGCACTGGAGCAAGTGTCCCAGCTTGCTCGGGTGTGCCATTGGCCGAGTCAGGGTCTTGGGCAGGCTGCGGTTGTGAGGAAGGGATATCTTGCGGTGCAGGCGTGGAGTTGGCGGACGGCTCGGAAGTCGAGGGACGCTGCGAGCCCCGAGATGTCGGACCAGGAACTGGGCGGCGGATGGCCGCCTTTGGCTTGAATACGGATTTCTTGTTCAGCATCTTGTCGTTTCTGCCCCGTAGCAGGGTGTTTGGCTATTGAGGGGAACGCGCGCAGTCGCGCATTGCCCAGAACCGTGGGACAGCCAGTACGCTGAATTCTCGGTCAATGGCAGGTAGCAAGTTGGCAAATGGGTCGATGCAGGACAACTTTGCTTCTGTTTCCAAATTGAGGAGCTGGAAGTTGGGACGTCGAATGTCGAAGTCGAATTGTGAATGGGTTTGGCTCGCAGTGCGTTTCGCGTTGAGATGGCTCGAAAAGCGGGCGATAGGCGGGGCGCCGAGTGGGATAGACAGAAAGACCAGCAAATCGGCTGCCAGACGCTAGTACTGAAGTGATTTAGCGCACTGCGGCCGCTTGCAACCCGAAAGATCCATTCTTTCATGGTTCTTTCCCGGTCCCAAACCGCACGCTCCTTTTCACCACACGGACTCTCGCTACCTTTCAGCTTCAGCTTCATTTCTCGGGAGGCGTCGCCGACGCTGCGGACGACAGGCCGCCATTCCACCACCTTAGCGCTCCCAGATAGCGATTTCACATCTGTTTCTTTTTTCTTGTCCCATCCTTTCCTGCTTTCGTCTCCCTTCGCTGTGCGTTTTCTGATGCCGATTGCCACCTCGCCGTCCGCGCTGCCCCGTCCTGCCACCTTCGCCAAGATGGAGGACAGGAAGAGACCCGCGTCTGGCGCGGTTGACGACGGCGCTCCTCCTAGCAAGCGGCAGGCTGTAAACGGCAGCAGCAAATCCAAAGACGACTCGGGCGACATGAAAGAAGAGGCCTGGATTGAGGTGAGTGTGTCACACGACGCTCCCTGCGTCATCGTCATCCCGCAATCCTGTCCCTTGATCAGGTGGAAGCCGCCGTCTCGCCGACTCGATAGCCTTCTGGCGGCAACAGCAGGCAGCAAACGCAAATCATCTTGTAGCGTTTCCTCGCCTTGATCGTGGCTAATGCGCGGCTTGCTGGCAACAGCATGCCCGGCTCCTCTCAGGCTTCTTCCTGTTTTCAGTGCCCTCCTCCTACTTCCAATCGCTCGCTACGATGTAACACGGAGATCCCTAGCACGGGATTTGAAGCGGCGGGCTGGCTGACTTGGGCGTGTGCAGGAATATCAGAAAGGCGCCATCTATCGGCAGATGCTTGAGTACAAACGGGAAAAGATCAATTTAGAGGGTCGCGTCCAGGAACTCGAGAAGAACTCGACTGATCACGACGACCATATTCGAATAGTAGACGCATGGGTACTCCAGGTACGTCCAGGAATCTCACGATATCCTCGTTCTCGCTGACGGCGCCTAGCTTTTGCAAGAAATCGAGCTGCTTGTCGATGGCGCAATATCATCACCGCCTCCAGCAGACTTTTCCCCAGGATCCTCCCTTTTGTTTAAGGATAGCAAGGATTTTCAACGGCATCTTGGCGATAAAGGGAAGGCCTTCAAGTCAAAGACGGACGCCCTGTTCAAACGGCTAGCGGGCGCGCGAGGCGAGGTCAAGCCCGAAGTAGCGCAACTTGAGTCGCAGGTCAAGTCTCTTCTGGCGCAACAGAAAGAGTTGCTTGTCAAGGTCGACCGGCTCGAATCCCAGAAGGCATCACTCTCGGAACAGTACGACAAGGCTACCCTCAAGGTCATCAAGGCGGAACGTAAGCTGGACCGCGCGAGGAGCGCCCAAGTACAAAAACTGGAGCAGCAGGCGTTGGCAGGAGCCACAGCTCATACCGCTTCCAAGGACGACAGTGGGTCCAGTTCCAGCGCGGCGAACGGGGACAGCGAAGCGTTAAAGCTACAGTATCAAGAAGCAATGGCTGTTGTGGCTAAGCAGAAGCAGCAACTCGACGCCGCGTTATCCGAAAACAAGGCCCTGACCGAGGAGAATTCGACCTTCAAGATCAAGAAGGAAGCCGTGACGGATGAGGAGTATGCCCGGACTGAGGTTTTCAAGCAGTTCAAGGCACAAAACGAGGATCTGATCAAGCGCATCAACCATCTTGAGGCCACAAACAAACAGCTGCGCGAAGAAGCCGAAAGGCTGCGTGGGGAAAGGACCGAGTGGAAGACCAAGCTGGAGGCCGAGGCGCAAGTCGTCACCCTGGAATTGGAGGACCAGCTGCAGCAGAAAGACCAGGATCTCACTCGCATCCGCTCTGCCCGCGACGAGCTCCTGGCCGAGGTGGCGATGCGCAAAGCCAGTCAAGAGCAGGAGAAGACGGCCATTGCGCAAATGAAGGAGCTTGTGGAAGCGCAGGTAGATCGGATCGGTCAGCTCGAGTCGGAACTAGAGCGGTTACGGCCCGGCGAGGACACAGCCATGATGGATCCGCGTCCCGATCTCGAAGCCTTGAGTGTCGAAGAGCTGCGGCACAGATTCACGAAATTGGAGAAGGACTTTGAGGCCATCAATAAGGAGCTACCGCTTCTAGAGAAGTCGTACAAGAAGTCGATGGGACTGGCGCACAACAAGGTCATGGACTTCCACGCGCTCGAGGAAAGAGTGGCGGCGCTTACGGCCGAGAAGAGCAAAGCGGATCAGAAGTATTTCGCGGCGCGGAAGGACATGGATATCAGGACGGCCGAGATCCGGACGCTCCGGGCGCAGAATGGCAAGAGTTCCGAGATCATCTCGCAGCTCAAGGATGTTGAGACGCAGAACCGGGCTCTCATTAGCAGCCTCGAGAAGCAGGTCGCGGCCTTGAAGCAGGACATATCGACGGCACTGGCAGAGAGGAAGCGGTTAGAGCAGCTGAGCGCTGAAGCGACGCGACGAGCAGACGCGTGCAAGTTGCAAATATCGAGTCTCACCGACCTTGTGAAGGCCAAGGATGCGGCAGTTGCATCGATGAAGGAGCAGCTCCACAAGGCCGAGACGGAGCTGGAGAAGGCCAAAGTGGATGTCAAGGAAATCACCAAGGACTGCAACAAATGGAAGGCCAAGTGCCAGAGCAACTCGTCAGAAGAGGAAGAGGCGTTGAGGGTGAGTAGGGCCTGCTTTTGTTGACTTAGAACCTTGGGACTAACCTCTCACAGAATTTGGTCATCTGCTCTGTCTGTCGGAGCAACTTCAAGAACACGATTCTTAAGGGGTGTGGCCATGTCTTCTGCAACTCGTGCGTTGACGATCGGCTAGCCAACAGGATGAGGAAGTGCCCAAGCTGTAACAAGGCATTTGACCGGTCGGATGCCATGGCTGCGCATCTTTGAGCTTGCGGCACCAGATTTGAGAACAGCAGAGCGGCAGAGCAAGCCACTGCAAACGCTGGCGTGGAGCGCCAAAGGTGGAGGACGTATCACAGTGCCGCGATACCGCCTCAACAGTACGACATACGGAGCGGACGGGAAACGGCTGCCGAGCGGAGAATTCATGATCAAGCGTGTGTACGAGCGGAATTGTTGGATCTTTAGCAATGTATTCTAGCGGTGTGTGATTAGGTTCCCTCTCGTGGATGGGAATGTGGAGGCGGGCAGGGCCAGGTATTTTGCTCGGGGCCATTGTATTTTGCCAGATGAGCAGGATATAGAGCCGGCGTTACGAGGGGTTGCTGCGCGCGGAACACTGTACAGAGTTTAAGGACTGATATCCAGCATCAAGAGTCATCTTGCTCAACGGCGGCTGGTCGATCCGTACCCCGTGCTTTCGTGCCGTGAACTGGAACCGCTCGATCCCGACCGTCGACCACCCCAGCCAGAACCAGAGCTAGAGCTGGAGCTCGAACCCCAGCTCCCAGAACCGGCGCCATTGTTCCCCCACAGTCCGCCGCCCCGGCCGTAGTTCATCCGCTCATCATTCCTCTGTCCCCGGTTGCCAGCCATATACCCAGCCGCCGCACCACTTGCCAAACCGGACCAGAACCCAGGCCTCCACCCCTGCTGACTCGACGATGGCTTCGTCCCCGGGTACGGCGGCGGCGGATCATTCCATCCATCATTACCGCCCCCTCCTCCCCCTCCTCCAGGTCCCCAACCAGGACCCCATCCTCCCCATCCCCCTCCACCACCACCACCACCCCCTCCCCTCCAGGTGTTACCATTCCCATTCCCACCACCTCCCAACCGCCTGTTCTCAGCAGCCCTCGTCCATGCAGACCACACAATCCACCCCGCCACAGCGACGAACAACCCCATGAACAGCCGCCCAGCCCATTTTTCCGCTCTACTCTTTCCATCATCATTATGCACCAGCTCAGGGTACCTCTCCCTCCCTTCCTCGGTGAGCCGGAGCGTATACTCGACCCCGCAGCTGCCCCGGAGAACGTAGGCGTCGTCGGCGGAGGCGTAGCCCTCGCAGATAACCTCGGTGCGGTCCAGGCGGAGCGTGGAGGGCAGCGTCGCCGTGCACGCCCACTCGATGTCCTGGGCCGTGTACGACGAGCCCTGGTTGGTGCAGCGCATGGTGCGGATGTTTGCTAGGTTGCAAATTGGGCGGGGGGAGCGGCAGGTGAGTTGTGGGACGGGCGGGAGGCGGCGGGAGGTTGTCTTTGCTGGGGAGCGGAGGGTTAGGGATTGCACCTGGTGTTATACACAGTAGGCGTTTGGGTTAGTATTCTGACTATGTTTGAGAGGAGATATGTGTGAGGGAGACATGGTCGGTGGAGGACAAAAAGGGGGGGATTTACCTCGGAGAGAAGGATCGCATCTTTGGGGCGCGCGGCGAGGGAGAGGGATGGAAGGGTAGAGAGGGTGAGCAGCGAGATAAAGAGCGAGGTCGTCATCGCGTTTGGGTACATTGTGCAAGTCATCGCCTTCGGCGGCGTCTTGCTGCTGTTATGTGGTTGTTGAGGTGGTATAAGTTTGGAATCTGGTTGCCAGCGTGAAACGTGAACCAGCACCTTGATGGGCTGTCCATGTGGCAACGGTTCCAGCTGACGTGGTTTCACTCCGTAGATAACGATAATAAGTGTCGTGGTACTGTATTGTACAATACGCTTCATGAGGAGATCAGGGCACCAGTTACGGTATTAACGCCATACAGATGTAAAGTATTTCCCGCCAGGAGGTTTATCAGCTCGTCATACGCGTTTGACTTCATTTTTGCGAACTTAAATCTCTACGAAGCGCCACACACCGGCAGCAGCAACTCGGGCTTGCAATCCACTATGCACTTCACCGTAACCGCGCGAAGGATTTGAACCCCTTGATGTCCAAGTACGGGAGATTGACAATTCAGAGTGACAAAAAGTAAGATACTAATGGGCTCGAACCTCACCGTCATTCACCGACCGCCCCATTTGCGCCTGAAATTGGCACTTATCTTGACCAGAAGTCAGCCTCCTTCAGGGAGTCTCCATGTGTCAGTTTCCACAATCTTATCCAACACGACGAGATAGTTTGTTTTCGCACATCTCGTGTAACTTCTTCTAGCCATTTCAGTCCGCCATCTGTTTTCGCATTTGGAACCGTGTTTAGTGTTGGAGTCCCTTTCCCAAGCGGCAGAAGGTGATGACCAGGGAGAGGACTCCCGCGACGATGGTCGTCGCCCCGGAGCTGCCGCTGATGGAGTCTAGAGAGGTTGGTCGATTGGTTGGGGGGAAGGGAGGAGGGGGGGGGGGGGGGGGGGGGGGGGGGGGGGGGGGGGGGGGGGGGGGGGGGGGGGGGGGGGGGGGGAAATGGCCAGGTCATAGTTGGTTTCCAACGTTGACTGGCCCAGAAGAACTGCTACGTGGCCTGAGAGTTCCAATTAATATATGCAGGGCGCATACTTTCTGCATTCAACTGATTAGCCATCACATTCCCAGCTACATACATGCAACGCCGAGCCCATTTCTACTCAGCCAAGTCTAATGGCCGCCCCCTTCTCTTGACTTGGATGAAGCTCTATCAAAGGCAGCCCTTTCCTTCAGTTCAATGCCCTACCTTGCCCAAGCGCACTGGCATTGGCCACAAGTTTCACTACTTGCGGATGATCGTGACTGACAGTTGAACGAACTCAAAAACACTCGGCAAGATGCCGTCGCTTGACGAATCGGAGTCTCCCATACGGGACCCTTACACGGCATCAGACAGCGAACGAGGACGAGGACAAAGGATGTCTTCTTCGAAGAGATGGACGGCACGAGCCCCGCCATTGAGGATACTCTCGGCGACTTCATGCTGCATAATCCTGGGGCTGACCAGCGGCAGAGGTACTTCATTTCGAGGGACAAGACGTCTAACCCCGTGTATGAACGGTGGCACCGGCGCTGGATCCATCTGTCTCGGAAGAGCTCGCGGTTCCGCATGACCGTTGGGACGGTCCTTGTCGTCCACGGCTGGGAGACGGAGGAGAAGAAGCAGCCCATGTCCCTCATCGTCCTCGGCGTCAGACTCAACTGCCACGCCTCCGGCGTCCGCATCCAGTCGGCTCGCATGTGGTTCACCTTCCACGAGGACGACGAAGCCAGCCCGCCCAACGCGGAGGAGGCTGGCTCCGAAGTTGTTGCCTTTGCCCCGTTCGTGGAGCAAGAAGTGACCAACGCGAACAGCGAAAACAGGGAAGAGGCTAACTACCTTCGGGGATATTTTGGGCTTGAGCAGATCATCAGCACAGGCCTGGAAGCCTCGAGGGGGCCCACGAGCGCCTACACACGACAGCACTTCCATCGCAGGACAGCCGACTGCATTGTCCGGGACGACAAGGGTTGCGGCGTGGACTGGTTCTGTGAGCAGAACAAGTTGACCAAGTAGGTATTGTTTCAGCTCAACTTGCCTGCCGCCGACTCCTAGAAAACTAGTTACTTATCTGGGGGAATCTCCTGAAGATGCGGGGTCAAGCCCCATTCCCACCTCGCTGTCTTTCTCAAGCGCAACCACACCAGGGCGAACAACAAAGCCCATCTCGTTCAGCGACGTCTTCGACATGCGCATTGAGGCCGGCTCCGTATATGGTCTTAACGACAACATTTGCCGTGCCTTCCGCCTGGGCAGACCAGGAGCCGAACGCATTCATTACGATCCACGCAAGGATCCTTATGAAAGGCGGTTTCGAGGGGTTCGGGTAGAGGCTACTAGCCAACATTGAGTGAACAGCCTTGGGAAGTTGATGGGGAAGGGAAAACTTGAACAGACTCCTGGACCCTGAGAGAACGTAGGGGCTGGAGCCAATGGCCCCAAGCGGCGCTAACACGGGGCCCAAAGATGCTCGTGAAGTAGGATTGTTATTGTGTGGAGCTTCCTGACACCTTCGGTCATACATATTTTCGGCTATGCTGCTGGTTCTAATTCAAGAGAAACTCTCAGCCTGTGGATGCAAACGCCAAGCTCTGATGGCAAGAAAGGCGGGGAGGTCAATGGCGGTGCATTCTTAACAGAATAACCATGTCGATTTCCCAATGAAGGGAACCTAGTTAGAGCAGCGTTGTGTTTCAGTCTATTTAAGTTTTCCTGTTATGTGGCAGACTAGCCAGTTGAATAGCTTCATGTGCCTTGTAGAACCACTCCGCAGTCCACCATCGCTCGAATCCTGATCCCACTGACCATCGGGCAGTCCAAAACAGTTTTGATAGCCGACACCGGAAATGCCAGGTTAACCAGCTGCCATTTGAATGGAGAGGCAACAACGAAACTAACAACAAAATTCCTACACCAGAGCCTTGCAGAATGGGCCCCGTGTCTATCCTGCGACAGATTCCTCAACGCCAAATAACAGATCTAAGATATATGCGAATATCCCTCCCTTCCTATTACCTCTTTTATCACCGGTGTTTCTCCAAGCTCTGCAAATTCACCAGCTCCGCATACCGCCCGTTCCGCTTCATCAGCTCGGCATGCGTGCCCTGCTCCACGACACGGCCCTGGTCAAACACATAGATGACATCGGCCTTCTGGATGGTACTCAGCCGATGCGCGACGGCGATCGTCGTGCGGCCCTTGGCCGCCTTGTCCAGCGCGGCCTGCACGACGTGCTCGCTCTCCGAGTCGAGCGCGCTCGTGGCCTCGTCCAGTAGCAGGATCTTGGGATCGCGGATGAGCGCGCGGGCGATGGCGATGCGCTGCTTCTGGCCGCCGCTCAGCAGCGCGCCCTTGGAGCCGACGACGGTATTGAAGCCGTCGGGCAGGCTGAGGATAAAGTCGTAGATGTTGGCCTCCTGGCAGGCAAACTTGATCTGCTCGTCCGCCACCTCGTGCGGCGCGCCCAGGAGGATGTTGTCGCGGATGGTGCCCTGGTAGAGGGTCGGCTCCTGCGAGACGAGCGCGAGGAAGCTGCGGTACTGGTTGATGTTGAGGCTGCTGATCTCCTTGCCGTCTATGAAGATGCCGCCCGCGAGCGGGTCGTAGAAGCGCTCGAGCAGGGCGATGGTCGTCGACTTGCCGCAGCCCGACGCGCCGACGAGCGCGACGTACTGGCCCGGCGAGATGGTCAGGTTCAGGCCGCGCAGGACGGGCTGTTCGGGCCGCGTCGGGTAGCGGAAGTGTACGTCGCGGAACTCAATGTTGCCTTCAACCGACTCGACTTTTTCGCCCTCGGCAGACCACGTGTCGATCGACGGTTGGCGGCTAAAGAGTGTCTTGAGCTCGCGGGACGCCTCCACGGCCTTGCCCATGTCGGGGGCGAAGCTGAAGACCGTGCCGGCGGACTGGGCGCCAAAAATGACCGACGAAAAGACGATGAAGAACTTGAACATGTCGTACTCGTACTTGGCGATCAGGGTGCCGCCGTACCAGAAACCAAGGGCGAAGGCCAGGAACATGAAGGATTGAGAAGCCGCGTACAAGAGACTGGACTTGAGCACCGAGATGAGACTGGCCCGCTGCTGTGCCGCAAGGGACGCCCTGTACTGGCTCAGGACATCCTCTTCGCGCGTCAGCGCGGCGACAGTCCGCATTGCCGTGATGGCCTCAGATGCGTAGCTAGCCGAGCCGGCATACGCCTTCTTCGAGCGCCGCTGGTAGTGTGCCAGCATCCAGAAGCGGAAGAAGCCGCAGCCTATGACGATCGGCATGGTGGCAATGCACACGAGCGCCAGCTTCCAACCGATTGAGAGTGCTACAGCACACGCGGCAATCAGGGTCGTGAGGACCGATATTATCGTTCCAAGGGTGGAGCCGCTGAGGCCGGCCACGTGCGTCGTCTCGGTACTGAGGAACGACGTGAGGGCGCCGGCTGAATTCTCGTCGACGTCGAAGAACTCGACATCCTGGCGGAGCATGGACCGGAACGACATGTCGCGGACCCGGTGGATCAGACGCTCGCTGGCCTTGGCGAAGATGACGCCCGAGGCGATATACGAGAAGAACATGACGAGGCCCAGCATGAGGTACATGAGGCACCAGAAGGACGCTTCCGACTGGATGTGGGGAATCGTCTGTTCGTTGACCGGCACAGAGCTACAGCTTCAGTCAGCATATACGGCTACGGAAGCCAAAACCAGAGACACTCACAGGGCGCTGATAAGCTTGGCGAAGAAGACGGCCTGGACCGGATTACCACCACCGGTGATGACAGAGAAGACCAGACCGACCATCATGAGAGGCCACTCCTGCCTGTTGAATTTGGCGATGGTCTTGATAAGCGTCCAGATCCCATACTTCTTCTTCTGCGCCGCCGTCCGTCTGGCCAGAGCCATTGAGCTGGCACTCTGCTGCGACTGGCTTCGGTTGAGCTTGGCCTGCACGTCGTCATCTGGGTCTTCTGGCACAGCACCCTCCTTGTTGTGGGTCGACGCCTTGCGGATAAGCGCCTCGGTCTCCTCCTTGTCGATGGCCTCTTGCTCTTCGGCTGTCAGCTCGCTGACTGCGGCGATGGCCTGGGCCGTGACGAGGTTGTAGTACGCGCCTCGCTTCTCGAGAAGCTCATCGTGGGTGCCCTGTTCGACAATCCGGCCCTGCTGCATGACCACAATGTTGTGGGCATCCTTGATGGTGGACAGCCGGTGCGCGATGGTGATGGTGGTGCGCCCCGCCGAAGCAGCTTCCAGAGCAGCTTGAACGACGCCTTCGGATTTGGTGTCCAGGGCACTCGTCGCTTCATCCAGGAGAAGGATTTTGGGGTCCGAAACCACGGCACGGGCAATGGCGATACGCTGCTTCTGGCCACCGCTAAGTAGGAAACCGCGCTCGCCGACGTTGGTCTCGTATCCTTCCGGGAGAGAGGTGATGAAATCGTGGGCGTTAGCCTTCTTGGCAGCATCCTCAATCAACTCCCGTTGTTTTTCCGGGCCTTCATGTTCCCACTTCGTCCCGATCAAGCCATGGCGAATGTTCTCGTAAATAGTTGTGCCGAAGAGCGTGGGCTCCTGAGAGACCAGCGCGATCTGCTGCCGCAACCAGCGGAGGTTGAGGGTCGATATGTCCACATCGTCCAGGTACACGGTTCCCTCAATGGGCGAGTAAAATCTTTCGACAAGGCCGATGATGGTGGACTTTCCGCTTCCAGAGGCTCCAACCAGGGCTGTCGTCTTGCCGGCAGGGACCGTAAGAGAGACGTCGTCCATCACAACAACTTCAGGGCGCGAGGGGTAAATATGTTTGACGTGCTCCAGACGGATGGTGCCGACAACCTCGGGCAGCTTGGCACCCTCGTCGCTGGACGGATCGATAGGCGACTTGCGGTCGATGGTGCTGTAGATCTTGGCGGCCGCGCCGAGTGCTGTCGTGAAGGCCTGGATGTTCGGGGCGACGTTGCCGAGGTTGAAGGCGCCGATCATGACGCTCATCATGACGGTGAGCACTCTGCTCAGCGAGACCTCGCCATCGACGAGGAAGCGCGAGCCCATCCAGAAGGCCAGGCCGTAGTTGAGAAAGAGGATGCACATCATGCCGGCAATCATGACGCCGAGGGTGCTCTTGAGCCTGAAGCCAAAATACTCGGCGCGGACGAGGTGGCTGTCGTACTGCTTGGCGAGGCGGTCCTGGGTGCCAAAGGCGATGGCATTGCGGACGCTGCTGATGACCTCCTCGGCCACGGAACCACCCTGGGCGTACGCAGCGATGTTTTGCCTCGAGTACTTGACGATGAATCTCGAGCTCGTGCCCATGCAGAGCAGCAGGGCAACGACAGTACTCAGCAGGATGAGCGTCAGCTTCCAGTAGCTGACAAAACCAATGACAAAGGCGGCAATGAAAGTGGCAATGGCGGCGAGCGTCAGGCCAACCTTTTCCGAGATGCCGTCCTGTATCAAGTTGGTGTCGGCCGTGATGCGGGTGGTGACCTCGCCGGCACCGAGCTTGTCGAAGAAGCCAATGTTTTGCTTCATGCAGCTCTCGAGGTAGTGCTCGCGGATCTTGGCGCTGATGTGCTCGCCCGTGTAGATGAATCCCACGGTGGAAATGTAAGCCGTAACGAACTCGCCAATCGCCAGGTAGACAAAGTAGAGCACCAGCCTGCTCATCTCGTCGACGAAGTCGTCGTATGTCATGGAGGTGCCGGGCGTGAAATACGTCTGGAAGGTCCCCTGGAGGTTGCCGAAGATGACGGTCATCAGGGGCAGGGCAGCGCCCGAGGCAATTGCGCAGATGGCCGAGATGGCGATGATGATCACGTCGTTGCGCGAGGAGTAGCGATAGAGCGTGGCCATGCCCACTTTGACATCGGGCGTGTAGACCTGGTCCTTGAGGATCTTGGCCTCCCGCTCGGGGAGATGGGCATACGGGTCAGCGTCGGCCTCTTCATCTTTGGCTTGGACTACCTTGCTGTCGGCCTTGGCGAGGTCGATAGGACGCTGCTTCTCGGTGCTGTTGTCGGTCGAATCGCCGTGGCTGGAGTCGCGCCCAGACGGGACGGCGTCCGGCATGGCTGCCGCCGTCTTCTCCAAGTCGTTCGAGTTGGCCGCCATGGCAAAGAGACGCGCGGGCGGGGAATCGGTTGAGAGCCGCCCGACGCAGGAAAGCTGCGTGCGCAATAACTACCAACCAGAAGCACTTTGGGGGTCGATGCAGGCCTTGAACCGAGCAACTGTTGCTCGACTTCACCCAACGAGTCGCATCAGTTATTGTAAGAGATAACCAAAGAGAAAGGAAACCACAAGGAACGTCAGACGACGATTGCAAGGCTATATCTATGGGAGAAGCGAAGGAAGAAACATCGGTGTTTTGTATGGACCGAACTTGCATGCGGCCCCCAGATAGGTATTTCAAGTTGACCGGCCCCCTTACGGATTCTGCTGTTCTCGAAAGATCGGTCGTCAATTCATCCCGCAATCCTAGCGAGGGATTGGGGTCCATTTTAGCTGTACGTGTACTTCTTCCTGCATCCTGCGCACCGGAGTTCGCACTTGCCGACCGGCCCGAGCTCTGAGCCAACAAAAAAGGAGGGATGGGAGAAGCGGTTGCGACTTGCGAATGCGTACTCCGTATTCTTCGTTTGCGGACGCGCTGTGAGGTCCTGGTCCCCACCTCGCAAATTACAAGGTGCCGTCGCCGATTACCCGATTGGGGAGTTCATTGGGGGCATTTGCACTATTTCATTTTCATTGCACCTAAAGACCTGCCTCGCGAGCCTGGGAAAGTGAGTGAACTGCCAAACAGCTCCTTTCCATTCCAGAAGAGTCGTAATTCAGCCTGCCGAGAGCGATAATGAGAGAAAGGACAGTCAGGAACTTTCCGATGTGGTATTCACTTCCATTGTCTCCGAGGTGACGACTGTGTGACGCATCGGCATGCCAGAAGGATCCCCCAATAGAAGGGTTGTGCAACCAACCATTCGCCTAGAATTGGTAAATGTGTGGGCCAAGCCGCCCTGATGGGTCGGGGAACCGGGGCTTAACAATGCCCGGAGGACTTTCCATCTGACCTTGGGGTGGAGTGCAAGCCGTTGCGACAAGGCATTGCAGGATCTTTGAACAAGCATCGCGTATCGATACACTCCCGCGACTTGGCACTTGGCAAAGCCATGGCGACGATCGAGCTAGATTTCTGGGACACGGCGCGGCTTATGCGTATAACCTTACGGAGGCCAGGATATATTGTGGCAATTCCAACACCGTGGGACGCTAACGTTGTGTTGGCTACCTGGCTTATCGGGTCCCGTCTTGCTGTACGGAGTACCTTATGCACACGATGCCCAAGGCGCGAAGACTCTCCGTTTAAGCGGACATAACCGGATTTAATATGACGCCAACAGTGCTACCGGCCGAGACAGAGCTCACCACTAACCACCAGACGGATAGTTACCATACGAGACGCAGCGCATCCCAGCAGACACGTCGTCTATTTTGATCGGACTCTCCTGACCACGGGATATCAGGATTCGGTCCGTCCGGCCCCAACCAGATCTGTTGAAGCTGTTTCACGCTGATACTCGAAGCGGACAACAGCATTCAACCTACCGCGAACACAAGGTCCTCGACTGAGGCCTCCACGAGTCCGTGCAGGGACTCTAAGCTGCAGCAGTGCAGTAGTCCCAGCAAATCGGAGCAACCATCTGCAGTGATATCCTCACGTACAATCTAGCCCTGGTGTGTCTGTTAGCGTGGCACATCGTAGGCGATGGATAAAGACATAAATTGGATATAAGTAAGAGATCCAGAGATACAAGGAGAAGGGGAAAATGCATGGAGGATTTGCGTAAGTAACAAGAGAAGAGTCGGAAAATAGGATGAAAGGGAAGGATACAGAGGAAGTAAGGCTGAAAGAATAATAAAGCGCTGTATAACTAGATAACGTTACATTAAGTTCCACGCTAACAAATGAGCGAGGACTGGACTAACGTATATATTATAACGAATACCGCCAGCTCGGTTTCGTTCTGTTCACAGGTGGATGAAAGTACAGTAGTGCCCATTGCCCATGCAAGTGTCTTTTGTCCCCTTGCTTCCGTCAAGCCAAGCTCAAAGCCCGGTGTTGTTCGGACGGAAAAACCATAACGTATCAACCTATCAGAGCGGGGCCGGATTGGCAAAGCGAGACCAACCGACACCGCCCAAAACTTCCGTGGCAGAAAAATTCCCAGTTAGCGGTTGAATCACTGAACTGGCAGACGTTTCAATAACGACAATCCTACATTGGGACAATTTCTCTCACACCAAACTATCCCCCACTGAGAATCCAATCTTTTTCGGGCCTTTCGTCGAGGCAATTGACCGACCACACAAAAGAGTCAACCCAACTCAGAGCCGCCGCCATGCCCAAATCAAAACGAGCCAAGGTCTTCCACCTCACCCAGGTGACCAAGAAGACGCGCGAGCAAAAGGACAAGCTCTTCTCCAACATTCGCGAGTGCATCCCCCAATACCAGCACTGCTTCGTCTTCAGCGTCGACAACATGCGCAACAACTACCTCAAGGACGTGCGCCACGAGCTGTCCGACTGCCGGTACTGCCCCCCACTAACCCCTCCCCCCTTCCCTCCCTTCTTCCTTCTCTCCCATCTAAAAGAAAAAGAGACTAACAACCCAACCCAACCTAAAAAGCATCTTCTTCGGCAAAACAAAACTCACCGCCCGCGCCCTGGGCACCACCCCGGAAGACGCCCAAGCCGACGGCCTGCACCGCCTGACACCTTACCTCTCAGGCTCCGTCGGCCTGCTCTTCACCAACCGCTCCCCCGAAGCCATAACCACCTACTTCTCCTCCCTCACGCACATCGACTTTGCGCGGGCCGGCACTGTGGCCACGCGCACCATTACCGTCCCCCCCGGCGTCGTCTACTCGACAGGCGGCGAAGTCCCCCCGGAGCACGACGTCCCCGTCTCCCACACGCTCGAGCCTGAGCTTCGGCGCCTGGGCATGCCGACGCGCATGGTCAAGGGGAGAGTGTGCCTGGGCGGCGACGAGAGCGGGGCGGGCAGCGCGCAAGGGTACACCATCTGCAAGGAAGGCGAGGTGCTCGACTCGCGGCAGACGAGGCTGCTCAAGCTGTTTAGCGTGTGCATGAGCGAGTTCCGGGTCGGGTTGCTGGCGTATTGGAGCGCGGCGACCGGGGAGGTGACGGAGCTGGAGGCGGGCCGGGAGCGGATGCTGGAGAGGCGGGGGAAGGGCGGGGATGGGGCTGGGGAGTGGATGGAGGAGGATGGGGAGGAGGAAGGGGATGATGACGAGTGAAAAAGGGTGGGATCAACCATGTGCCTCGTTGTGATTTGGTTGTTTTCGCTGTGCATATAGGGTACATTTGCATGATACCATAGCTATTGCTGGGCTGGGTTTCGGGTACTGGCGTCTGGGCGGACAGGGCAAAAAAAGAAGGACGGAAAATAGACCAGTCCATCAGTCACCCACTTGCGAGTCTACCGCTGGCGTGACTGTTGGGTACCTTAACGGCGATCGCTTTAAGCCGGATGCTGGTCGCTATACCAAGCTCCTAATAATACTTGATAGCTTAAACTTACAAGCCGATGGGCAAGAAACAATTGCTCTAACTGATTGATTTCAGGCAGCCTACCGAATCCCAAGCCAGTAGTAAGTAGGAAACAGTAACGAGTCCCTTACCTCTGACTTTACCTTGTCCCTCAATTCTCATTTCATAACAGCTATTACCTATGACCGCTTCTTTTGCCCGTTCCTTTTTTACAAGCTGAAAGTAAAGTAAATACAAGACGAAGTGTGGTTACCTTCCAGCAAGGTTTTTGCTGCAGAGCTGTGGCATCGTGAACGCCACGGAGAGCTAATTCCAATGGTCGAGAACTCTTTCTGGCTCCTTGGACGATGGATAAGCAAATAGACGGGCCGTTCCCAGTTGCCTTGTCCCCGCAACATTGGAACTGGTAGGGATAACTTTGATCGGAGAGGTATGACGGCGGTTTACCTTGGCGCTTCCGCTGCGCGTGCTGAAGGGTCCCCGCTGGCTGCTGGATGATATGTTCGATTGCTTCCGGGCAAATGGCCCCGCCGACAGACGGCTTACCCTCATTGTCGAGTCGAGTGACGGGAATCAGGGAGAGACGAGGAAGAACGATGACAGCTGAAGAAAGTGATACCCACCACAAGACATGAGGCCAGGTCTTGCTAGTAGCGTCGCAACTTCCTAGGGTCTTCGTAACCACCGCCTTCGTAGCCGCGCTTCCGGGAGTCGTCATGGTCTCGGGGCCGGTCGTAGTCCCTGGCGCTGCCGCGGCTGTCGCCGCCGTGGTACCCACCATTCTCACCGCGAGGCCGGATGGGCTCCATGTTGCTGCCAGACTGTCGGGGATTGCGGTCGCGGTAGCCTCCACCACCAGACCTGTCATCATATGAGCGCGAGGAGCCGTCACGGCCATACCCACCGCCTCCGGGTCCATCACGTCGGCCGTCACGACCGCCGTAGCCACCTCCCGGTCCGCTAGGCGCGTTAGGGGGCCCGTTGGGACCGCCAAAGCCACGGTCACGACTTCCAAACCCTCCGCCACCTCCTCCGGGACCCCCAGGGCCAGAGCGAAATCCGCCGCGGTCGCCAAAGCCGCCGCCACGGAATCCGCGATCGCGTCCGCCCCTGAAGCCGCCGCCAAAGCCGCCCCGGAACCCACCACCAAACCCGCCGGGACCCATGGGCCTGACCATGGCCGCCTTGGTGTACCCGCGGCCGCCGAGACCGCCTCCTAAGCGTCGCGGCTTCCAGCCCTTCACCGTCCTGCCCCGCTCGACGTCAACCTTGATGCGGCGGTCTTTAATGCGGATGCCATCACAGCCATCCAAAGCAGCTAGTTGCGCAGCGCCAGATGCGCATTTGTCAGTAACGCCTTACCATGAAAACATTGCATTACCTTGGCGGTAGAGGGGGGGAGCGAGGAGGGATGAAGGAGAGGAGAAAGGACTGGCAAGCTTGAGGGCCATGGATGTCCTGGGGGCTTGGGTTCCGGCAAGCGGCGGGATGGCAGTGTCAAGATCAAGGTGGCAGGCATTACCTCTCATGTCTTTTTCGCGCTCAAATACGACGAAGCCGTACCCGCGGTGGGGTTTCCGTTTCTTATTTCCCTTCTCGTGGGCATGGGTATCGCGGATGATGCGGATCTGTGGGAGTCAGCACCAAAAAGAACCATCGTCACGCTTGGAGGATGGGCGGTAGGACATACGCGCTCAATGGGACCGAACCGCCCAAACTCGCGCTCAAGATCCTTCTCATCAGCGCTGTAATCCAGTCGCGCCACAATAAGCGTCTTGAACGCATCGCCGCGAATGTTGGGATCTTCATGTGGGTTGTCTATTTCAACTCTCAGTCAGTATTCACCGCCACGAAAATGATCCAAAGTCAAAATAACACAAGGGAAAACGCACAGAGTTTAGGCGCCTCAGTCAAGAGCTTTTCCACCTGGGCCTGCTGCTCGCGCTTCTTGCGGTCGCGCGCCTCGAGCCAGCTCTCGGTCGGGTGGTACTCGTACTCGCGCTCGTACTCGGCCAGGGCCGGCAGGAACTGGGCGACGCCCGACACGGCGGCCGTCTTGCGCTGCTCGGGCGGGTGGTCGATTGGGGGGACCCAGCGCAGCGGCGGGCGGGGCGCGAAGAGCGCGAGGAGGTTGGGCGGGAGCCGGTCGGTCATGGTGGGTGTTGATGTGTGTGGGCGCTGTGCTTTGGTCCCGGTTCGAAAGTTGCCGATTCAGTGGATGAGGTTGCCTTATGCCTCGAATCCCAGGTATCGCTCAATTCTCATCAATATCCAGAATGGAGCAGCGCCAGAGACGTGGCCAGCCCTATTGATTGCCGGCGATGGGCGAGGGCCAATAATGCTAGAACCCGGATTGACGCAGTCGCCAAAAATTCAAGTTCGCGCGACATGAATGCAGCTTGTCTGGCCCTTCTGTCACGCGCCTGTCGTGCCTGGTGTGGGACCGTGCACCGCTCAATCGCTTGTGAGCCAATAATTTGAGGCCCACCCCACTTATTTTCTGCCGTCCTGAGTTGGACCCTGGCCATTTTCTGCCGCTGGAACTCAACTCGCTACCCCAGATCATGCTCTCCGGACGACGGCGACGACGATGACGATAAAGGCATTACAAGCGGTTTCCGTCGGCCGGGTAAGACTAATCGATCAATGCATTTAAGTACGATCATAAAACTAACAATGCGTCCCAGAACGGCGTCGGCGCCTTCGTCTTGCAATGTAAGAAGATGGACTTTCACTACTGCGACTGGGCCGGTAGCTCCCGGGGCATGAAGTACGTCTCTCCGCTCTTCCTCCTTCCTACCTGACTATTGCTCACCGTCTCTACAGCGGCTTCATCAAGTCCCTCCTCCCCAAGTTCGCCGCCGCCCACCCCCAAGTCGAGTTCACCGTCTCGCCCCGGCCGTCCAAGCATCCCGTCATCATCGCCCACTACATCAACGGCCGCGAAAAGGCCGTCTGCGTGCGCAACATGGAGCCCTACGATATCCTCAAGAAAGCCGAGCTGCTCCGCGACGCCAGCGGCGAGAAGCTCAGGCGGGTAACCAAGCCCGTGCAGAGTGTCAACGAGTCCGTCAGAGGCATCTGGTCTCCGTACCACGGCAACGGCATGCGGGTATGAGGGTAGGCTGGATAGTGCGGGGAACGTGTCTGTGTATATGGCGCAGTTGTAACAACACGAATGGTCATCACACACTACTTACTGTCTTGGCTGGTGTTGCTGTAACTGTGCATGGCTTGGATGGATGCCTGGATACTGGATTTAGGTGTATTGGAGAATTGTCGTTCGTCTCTATATCTTCGCCCAGCATGCTTATGCTTTTTCGTAATTCCTGAGCAATCCAGGGCGAGCCTTGCCCACTTCCATTCCTCAGAGGTTGGAGTTGATGATATCGACGACTGGTTTGACGTTAGCTTTCCCTCAAACAAACCAAATCCATAGGCCAGCACTCACACTCGGGCTTCAGCGAGGCACCGCCGACCAGGAAGCCGTCAATGTCCTTCTCTTTGGCGAGGTCCTTGCAGTTCTTGCCGTTGACGCTGCCGCCGTAGAGGATGCGCGTTTCGTCGGCGACGGCCTCGCCGACGTTGGCCCGGAGCCACTTGCGGATGGCCTCGTGCACCTCCTGGGCCTGCTGGACGGTGGCGACCTTGCCGGTGCCGATGGCCCAGATCGGCTCGTAGGCGATGACAATCTTGCTCCAGTCGCCGGCCGAAACCTTGGCGGCGACGGCCGCCAGCTGGCGCTCGACAACCTCGACCGTCTTGCCGGCCTCGCGCTCCTCGAGCGACTCGCCGCAGCACCAGATGACGCTGACGCCGCCGTCGACGGCAAACTTGGTCTTGGACGCCACCACCTCGTCCGTCTCCTTGAGCAGCGTCCGGCGCTCCGAGTGGCCCAGGATGGTCCAGTGCACGTCGAGGTCCTTGAGCTGTGACACGCTGATCTCGCCGGTGTAGGCGCCGTTGGGCTTGTCGTAGACGTTCTGGGCCGCCACCTCGACGCCGGCCTTGGTGAGCTCGTCCCGCGCGAGCTGGAGGTAGAGGGCCGGGGGAGCGATCACGACCTCTGTAGAGAAGAAAGAGAACCCTGGCTTAGCTTGGGTGATTCCTTCCGTGTCCGGACTTGTCTAGCAGAGGGCAAGGTGCTGACTCACCAACGTTGGAGTCCAATTGAGCCTCGTTCAGTCCCTTGACGATGCTCTTGATGGACTCTTTGGTCCCGTTCCTGCATGTTGCGGTGGTCCGATCAGCTCTCCGGAGCTCCAAAGGTAGCGCGGGGTTTTGCAGCGTCATGGCGGGGTAATGCTGCTGCCCACGTACATCTTGAAGTTGCCGCCGACAAAGAACTTGCGAGCCATGGTGGGCAGTTGTTAATGGTATCACAGGAATTCTGTCTAGGAAACGAAGGCTATAAGCTGCAGCGTGAGGATTGTTAGGCGGAGTGGTGTTTTTGGAAGACAGAGCTGAAGCTCTGCTCGTCTTAGGGTGGGGTTGTTGCGGGACTAAAAAGTGATGCAGCTGAGGACCATGTAACTGCCAAAGCACACCTCAAACCCACTGTTTCTATTCGCATGAGAAACTTGTCGTCTCCAGGTATTGTACCATTGTTGATTGAACGAGCAAATACCAGGTTTGTTACAGAGGCCCCTTTTCCCTATTCCTGTCCCAATGGTCTAGCTTGACATGTCCCAAGGAAATGCGTTCCTTCAGTGTTAAACATCCAGTACGCCAGAATGGCATGCGCATCAACACGTTTGTCCAGCTTCTTACCACACTCTAGTGTCCCGATTCGGAGCTTTTATGCTCTCATCTCGACTGCCCAGGCCTCACAAGGGCCAGATGTGTCCGGTCCGGCCCATGAATTTCCGGCCTATTTCCCCCAAATAACCCCGAGAGTCTAGCTGTGAAACTGTGGCCTAGCGGTTCTTCACGAAAAATTCCCCTCTTGGCTTGGCTACACGATCTCTCCGCAGGAGCGTCTCCCTCAGACTAATCGCCTGCTTCTTCACCCTAGGGGCCAACCGCGGGTCGCCGGTGCCCTTCACCACCCGATACGCCGTCGACCCCAGCCGTTTGTCCTTGGGAAGCCTGGGCTCGCGGAGGAGCGCCTGTTCCGGGCCGCCCAGCTTCCGCCGCTTGTGCTTCCCATCGGTAGAGGAGCTTGGTTGCTGGACGATGTCGTCCTCGTCGTCTGACTCGAGCAGTTCGAGAGGAAGGAATTTTGGCACTTCTCTCTTCCCCTTCTCGGTTTCTGAGGCAAGCTCCGCAGGACTCGAGGTTGCCTCGTCCTCTTCATCCAGCTGTGTCGATTCCCGGGCCCGCTTTCTCTCGGCGGCCTGCTTCTGGAGGAGAGCAGTCCGCTCTTGGTTCTTCCGTTTCAACAGCTCGGATTGTCTCGAGTAAATCAGTAAATGACCCAGCGTGTCGTAAGAAATCAAGCGAACTCACTGCTGCGCCGCTCTCCTTTCAGCCTCAGTGGCCTTCAGCGCCTCTGCTTCAGCAGTTCGGGTGGAGACAGCCTCCGGTGGCGCATCGTCGTCGCTCTCTTCCGCTTCCTCCGCTTCCTCCTCTTCCTCCCCGCCATCTTGCCCAGCAGCTTCCCCGTCCGGCCTAGCAACACTGGTATCCAGCGAATCCCTTGAGGGGCCTTCTTTGGGCGTGACAAACTCGTCGTGGTCGCTGTCATCGAACGTGATGCGCCTCCTCTCACTGGACGTTTTCAAAACATCCTCCCCGTTGCCCTCCTGGCTTCCTGACGTCTCGGACTCGGCCTTCCTACGACGCAGCTCTGATGACGTCGGGAGGGGAATCTCGATGCTGACATGTCTATGCTTGGCAGACTCGGTGTCTCTGGCCCGCATGGCCAGCTTCGCACCCGACGGTGTGCGATGCTCATCCTGTGGCGGCTCTTCTTCTTGTGTTTCCTCGATCTTGTACTTGATGCTGGCGGCCCTGGAGAGTGGCTGCTCATAGTCGTCTTCGTTGTCTGGGCCTGGTTCTGACACGTTGTCTTCGGCCTCTGGCTCCTCCTCTGGCACTTCTGGCTCAGAATCTGATGACAGGATCTCTATGACAGCGGGTGCCTCTTCAGTCTGCTCCGGTTGCGACCGGGGCGATCTTAGGAGTGCCATGGTGCCGCAAATTACACGGAATTGGTGATGTCCTTGCATAAACTGCTGAGTTAGATCTTTCTCCCTGGGCGTTGCCAGCGTCCGGTGGAGGATCGCAATGTAGCGTAAATTTCGTTTTATGAAAACGCAGAGAGGGACATGAATGAAGAAACCGATGAGCTGCTGCTAACACATCCAAGTCCTTTGAACTTTTTTCGATGAACCAGAAGGCATGTATGTGATTGGTCGCGAAGCTCCCAAAGTGGATCCCGCCGAGAGATGGACTGACAGTGAGCTGAGGCCACTGACGGTCAGCCAAGTCAAGCCCCTGCACAGGGAACTCTCAAACTGCTCGGATCCACACAGTGTCCTCGCCATACAGCCGTTCATTTTTGTTTACCTTGACTTTGTTACCTTAACTTTGGTTTTCCGTGAAGTATGTACATCACTACTCTTATATAACACGATCAGTGGGGATTCCCAAGCGCTTTCAACGGAACACCGATCTCATCAGTGATATGGTCTACGATTTTCATAGATTGTATGGTCAAACTCACTTAGAACCACACAATCACCGAGTCGGTCCTCGCTGTTCCATGACCGGCCATGTTCTCTTCACGAGCCGCAGCCCCAGCACGACGAGCTGGTCAGGCAGTCCTTCAATACCAAGCGTCACCATCCCGGATTCCTGACCTTGCAACACACAAACAGTCCCGACAACACCGCCAATATGCGACCCGTGCCCCCATGCGTGCCCCTTCTCTGTCGCGACGATCCCGGGCCCGGCCCGTTTCACAGGCCGACCTCACTACGCTTTTCAAGAATTCAGAGATTCCGCAAATAGACATCTGGAGGGAATTCAAGTCCCGTAAGGGACTCGGCGACTTGACTCCCGAGGACGCCTTCAAAACAGCAACTGTGTACCGCGTCGCCGCCACCGACAGCAGCTCAACTTGGAAAGGCGCGCTAGAAAGGGGTATGACAAAACACCCTACCGGTCCGTCTCTCCAACACAGAAGAAGAGCTGACCCTGCAGACCATAACATTGACCCCTACACCCTCCACTACACCGCCCTGCCGCTGTTCCTGTCGCGAGTCCGCAACGCCGCGGTGCCTCTTGAGGCCATGGGGCTACACATGCTTAGTACCGCCTCAAGCCTGGGGTACACGCCCTCGACGCTGACTCTCATGAGCAGCCTTTTAGACCAACCCCCAGAATCCTTTCTTAGATTCCGACAATTGCTACGTGACGTCGAGTCTCGTTTCAAGCGGTTGCTCCGGACCGAGAATAACCCCGACGCCTTTACACTCCAGGGATGCTTACTGCTAAAAGACGGCGGGTCCGCTCTCGAGGCACTAAACTACTTCAACTGGGCCATCAAAGCAGCGCACAGAATTTCACCCAGCACTGCCGTGCCCGCCCGGGACCCCAGCAATCCCACCAACTCATCGTCCCGCCAACCGAGATGGACCTTCGAAGGATCCTGCCACCTGAACCGCGGCCGCATCCTTCTCGAACAAGGCCAGGCGGACAAGGCGCTGGCCTCGTTCACGGTCGTCGCGCTCGAGCTAGACCTCGCCGACGGCTACGTCGAGCTGGCGAAGCTGCTGCCCCGAGACACGCCCGAGCGGGAGACGTACCTCCTAAAAGCCGCCCAGGCCGGCAACTTTGAGGCCTGCCGGCTCCTGGCTCTTGGCTTGGCGGACAAGGCCTTCGACGCGAGTCTTCCCTCGGTTGACAGGGTTCGTGCCATCATGATGGCAACTGAGTGGGCCCAGGTTGATCCGGACTCAAGCCAGCGGGAGGGGGTGGTTGCGCAGGTGGAGGAGAAGATGACGGAGTTTAGGAGGGAAAGGGGGTGGCTTAGGGAGTAGGTTGTGGGAATCGCGCCTAACCCAGGATGAGACTATTCGGTACTACTATCTTCTTGTTGGGCGGTGAGAAATGGATGATACCCTCTGGATGCCGATCTCGCCTCCCTTCTTTCTTCTTGGGAATCTCTTCCTACGCGGCAGATGTCGTTGTGGGGATGTACTTGGCTTTCGCATACCGCATCTCCATCACTGGTGTTAGTGGCCAGCCATATGCCACGCAATGCTTCGTTTTCGGTCATTGCTTATTAGTACAATAACCCACGTAACCCCTGTTTTCGATTTGAAATGGTGGTGGCCAAAGTCAAATAGGGTTTGAAGAAGGAAAAAACAGCAAAAATAGACTTGGCCAGAGTCGAACCAGGGTGCGACTTCATTTTGCATGATCCATAGTGGTGTCCCGGGGGCTCCCACATATTGCGGTTTAAACCACTGCGCGAATCACCTCGACTCTGGCTGGAAGAGATAACAAACCGGCAGGAAGATAAACCCCAGCGAGGGTGGGGAGTGGGCTTCTCATGGTGTACACGTGTAGGAATCACGACAGTTGGGATGGAAGGGGTAGACAGGCCAGGAGAGACTCTCTCCAGAGGAACAAAGGAACGCAGACCGCGGTCTCTGAACCTCAACATGGGTAGCAAGGAGTTAGAATCCATGCACACCAGAAGAGACCCAATGCCATCAAGGTGCAAGGGAACTACACCCCCAAATGCAGCTTTCTTGAGACCAGCAGGGTCAACTTCCCACCAGGTGAAAGTGAGAAACTCAAACCTCCCAATGCGCCTGTTCCACCACTCGAATCATGGAGAATGTGGATCCATTTACAGAAATGTCCAGAGGGTCCAGGGCAATGGCTGGGGCCATTGGGGTTCATGAACGATCATGGACTGGCCCGAACCCGAGCCAGTTGAGCTCCCACCATGTGCCTTATTGTACACACTCCCATTTGTATCACGAGCGGTAAGCCAAATGGAACACCACCCCCATCAATGATCAATGATATTCGCCACAACAACGTAAACATTCTGCCAGCCTGAAGAGAGGCTCACATTAGAAGCCAACAAATAGCCCAACTTATACAACTCCATAACCGGCCGACCCATTCCTCGAAGGTATATTTGTCCAATCCTGCACCAGTATCCAGAGTCGCCCAAAACGCCATGACCGACCCATTTCGTTGAACCCAGCCGCAAGGATAAATGGGATTCAAAAGCAAAATAACGTTAAATAAATAAAAATTAAATAAAAGAAAATCCCAACACGCCATGTACCGGTAGGAATAAGGTAAGATAACCAGCTCTACCTCTTAACCCGCTTCCTCGTCCTCAGCTTCCCCTCTCCGCCATTCCCATTCTTACCACCGCCTCCCTCTTCCCCCATTTCCCCCTCTCCTTCCTCATCCTCCTCATCCTCCCCTCCTATCCCCTTACCACCATCACCACCACCACCAACCTCCCTCTTCTCATTACCCTTTTTAATACTAATTAAACACCCCTGCTCCTTCAACCTCTTCGTCAGCGTGGTACTAGCCTGCATCCCCGGAAAATCCTTAGCATTGAACACCTGAAACCGCTCACTCATAACCGTCGCCACAATCGCCGACCTTTCCCCAACAACCATCCGCGCCGGATCCAGCACGACGAGTGCAAACTTAAGCCTAAATACCCCCGGCGTCCGACAACTCAAGTCCGGAAAACAGAAAAAACAACCCTCCTCCCCGGTCTCATCTACCCCGACAAACGGACTAGCGACTAACGTCCCCATCAGCCGGCGCTGCTGCCGGAAATCCTCGGGCATGCTGCTCATGTCGCTCTCGCCACGCTCGTCCCAGATGGAGCAGTGCACCACGCTGAATTGGTGGCGCAGCCGTTGGCTCACGGCGGGCGGCGACAGGGACGGGTCGTGGATGGTGAGCTGCACGATGGGCGGCGGGTCGATGACGCGGCGGTCGCGCTCGCCGAAGCCGCAGCTGCGGGCCGCGAGGGGCTGTTGGCGGACGGTGATGCGGTAGGTCGAGTTCGGGGTGGCGGAGGGCGGTGGGATCGGGTTGGTTGTTATGGTTTTGTTGCTTGCAGACTCGGTGGTGGTGATGGTGGTGGTGGCGCTGCTGCTGCTGCTGAGAAGGTTGGAGATGCTCATGGATTTGGGTTCTGGGCGAGGCGATGGTGAGAGCTGTGTGCTTGATGGGCTTCGGGGGTGTTGGGATGCGGTAGGCCGGCCGTTGGGTAACGCTGCTGACGGGGATGAATAAGGGCCTGCTTGCGAAGCTTTTGCTTGAACTGTGGGTAAAACGCTGTCATGCTGCAGAGAGCCTCCTCTCGACCGCGGAGACGGGTATTGCATCAGCTGGCGTGGTACGGAGCCTTGGCTGTAGTCGTGCAAGCTGCTCATCTGCCTCAAACGCGATTCCTGCGCCATCTCTTCAGATGACCTGTCGCTGGCTGTGGACGAGAGAGTCGGGGAACGCCGGATGTCTACCGGCCGCTTCGACATCGGGTTGGGGTCGCTGTTCGGGATCGGGAGCTGCGGAGGTGTTTGCCCCACTGGCGAAGGAGTGGCGTAGTCGGAATAATGAACCGTCGGTCTTCCAACATGATATGGTGCGTCTCGTCCATTTGCGAGGACCGGAGAAGGATTCGACGCCGCGGGTGGGATCAAGGTCGCCATGGGCGGCAGCCGCGGTAGCTGTCTTGCCTGGGATGGATGTTGAAGCCGATGCTCTGGTGCATAGTGCCCATGAGCAGGCGTATATGGCTCGTGGTAGCTGTGGTGTTGGGCCATGCCGTCCAAATGAGTATGGCGGCCAAGGTTGTGAAGAGCGAAGTCGACGGCTGCAGACATTTGGGGTGCGGTCCACAGACGAAAAATAGGGCGTGATACGGTCCTAGCCTATTCTCGTCAGTCTGTGTTGCTCGGAATCCGGCCGGCAAGTGGATCAGCACAGAGCCCGGCAGCCTTACAGAACGAGCGGTCACGTCCGGCAGCCACAGACACGGATCCGGCAGCCGGGTTCTGGGCCGGGCGCTAGAATGTCTTACCGGGTGGCACGGATAGCGGGATAGTCTTAGCCTAGACGGCGCAGTTCCCGGCGAAAGGCAGCCAGTTCCTGGTCCAGACTCTCAACGGCAATTGTTCCGATGCTCGTGGCAGAGCGCCTCTTCACGATTGAGGGTTCGGCACTGGTTTCAGGCAAAGCTGCGGGAAGCTACGTCGAGTCCGCGCTGGTGCTGCGTAGTACGGGACCGCCACCTTCGGAAAGCCGTGTCACACGTGGGGTCTGGAAGGTTGGTGATCGTCTCTTGCCGCCACCGCTCTGGGAGGAACTGAGACCTCTGTCCTGCTAAGACCTGCCGTGAGGTCCTCGGTGCAAACAGGGAATGACCTGGAGGAGCAGCGAAACAGAAATCCGATCGTGCTACACACCGTTGGAATGCCGGGTCGGCCGCCGTTTATCATGTGTTCCGAGGCGTCCAGGGCCCCGCTCTCGATGGATGGGCGCGCCGGGGTCTAGGGTACGTCGAGACGTCCCCGGGGGTCGGGTCTGGGAAACAGGGCCGCCACCTCAGATGGCGGCAACATCTATGGGGATGCAGTCAGTCCGGATGTGTCAGACAATATGGCAAAGCCGGGCTGGTGGGTTATTGGGCGAGATTCAAAGAGACAAGGTCAATATGAGGAGAGCGTATCGGCGGCCTGCTGTCGCCGGGGGGAAGAGCTAGCCTACCCTTTTAAGCATCACTCGGTGTTCGGGTTGCCCTGGCTGGACGGGGAGGACGACTGTGCAGATTGCCTTAGCAGGGATGTCAGGGGCCGACCGTGACAATCGACCAGGCGGATCAACGGGTCAGGGCAGGGCCGGTGCCAGACAAAGTGCCGTTGTCATAACGTGTTTTCCTGGCGCGCATCACTTCCGCCGATGTATTGGGCGTGGGAACGGGGATGGTGTGTTTTGGAAGCGACCCTAGAAGCCATCGAAGGACAATGCCGGCAGGGGTGCAGGATATGGCCTGCCATGGGCCGACAATGGCTGCCAGTGATTGACAGGATTGGGACCTGTCAGCGTCCGATGTAGTCTCCTCTTTGCCGTCTTTGGGACAATGGTATTGTTCATACGGCATACAGGTGGCACTTCCCGTCCGTACGGAGTACCTACCGCACTCTTGTGCGTGGGCGTGCCAGGACCGGGTGGTTGGTCGGCTGCTGCAACTCCTGTCCGATGTGACCCCCGCCGACCCGCCCCCAACTGCTCAGAGGGCGACAGCAGAGCGGGAGAACTTCCCAGCCATATCAGAAGTCAGCTGCATGGTGCCTATACCTATTGCCACGACGGTGCAAAGCCCAAACCGTAGGTGCTCGAATTCACAAGAGACTTGGGCTTTGTAACGACAAAGCAAGTCTGTGCATCCGTAATGCTGAGATGTGAGGGCATGACGGACACATGCATCCAGCGCCCAGGCAATGCCTGATGGCCAACCGGAGACCGGCTGAACTTGAGATCCAGCAGCTCCTCCAAGCAAGTGAAACCAAGTTGCTGGACCCACTGGCCGAGGGGGGAGAGCTCGGGTCGGGTGCGTGTCTCTGCTGGTGCCGAGCTCTCCCAATTATTCATTTCCAAAACATGGACGAAGCCGGCAGTCGAGACGATGATCTGGTAACGTTGAGAGGCTGCATGGCCGATCCGCCCTCCAAGACGGCTCCAGATGTCCAGGTTCAGCGGAGCCAGCACTTCCACCTGGGAATCCCTGCCTGCTTTGGCAGGTAAGTTGAGGCACCGGGTAATAAAGCATTTTGAAAGGCAGGCCGACGGTTTGCTTGCATTAGCAGGCGGGAGTGGCCCTTGGACTGGACGTTCTGCCTTGGGCTGTCACTTTAGAGGTCGTTTAGTCTGTATTGAACTGAATGCAACGAGAAGTTGTGGGAAGGACGTCGGGTCCATGGGACAATGTGGGGTACGGCAGTCGCAAAGAGCCATCCCATTGGAGCCAGCGACGTAAAAGTGGGCCGGAAGTTGAACCACAAGTTCTGCTCTTCTGCCTGACAACTTGAACCTGAACCGTAACGTGAAAATAACCGTGCCGTCCCTCCGCTGCTCCTGCGACACCCCCTTTTTCTCCGCAGGACCCGGAATTTGGCAAAGTTTGGTGCCGTTTTCTCGGTTCGCTAATATTTGACTCTTTCTTATTGTTATTAACAGTTCAACCTTCCCTCCCTTCGGACAAATTGACCGCTGTTTGTGTCACGCCGAACCATCTGCCGGCTTGATGCTGCAGATTGAAGGGGATGGGTGACGGCGTTTTCAAGGGGATATTCAACGCGACAATATTCGGGGGCCATCCCCTAGCCAGCCACCTCGGCGCCATCCCGCGGTCAATTCGCAGCTTCATGACTCGGGTCGCCACCTTGCAGCGCCTCGTGCAGATTTCTGAGCGGCCGCGCAAACATCATTCGAATCATTTGCTTTTGGCGCCTGTACTCTCGAACGCGGTGTTCTCAGCTGTCGATTCGAGCCTCGCCAACCCTTGCGGTCGAGTCCCTGGCACTGCTACCCTTACTCGAGGACATAACCTGTCCTTGGCTTTCGGGTTTGGCCACTCAAGGCAGCATCGCGAGTCTCTTTTGGCACTCGTTATCACCTACCTCCACGCCACCTCTGTTTTTCTTGCTTTATCTTCCTATCTTCCTTGCCATCAGATGCGAACGTTCCCAGTGGAACGTGATACCGTTGTTATCCGGCATCGGGGAACACACTCCGTCGACAGCAAACTTGATATTGCTCAAGATACTGTTGTACGCTACACCACAGCAGGCAGTGGACTCGACATATCTACAGAGGATATACTGGGTACTCCGTACTGTTGCGACGCCAATCTTGCAGTGGCGTTTGCAAATTTTCAAGGCTCCTGAGCCCTGGTCTGACATGGCAAGACATGAGGTGGTTCTCCAGCACCCGTGGTTAGATCGATATGACCCTGGGTCCCCGGTTTTCTTGCCCACCCCATGCTGACGAGGCCATTAAAAATGACCTACTCACTCCCCTTCATAGAATGACCCCCCATACTAAGCCTCTTTCGGTTGAAGGCTCATACTACCTACGGAGGTACCTGCAACACCAGAACTTTTGCAGCGAACATCTTCATCGCCCTTTTCAATCAAGGCCACTACGCTATTCAATTGAATGGCAGGTCAAGCCAATCGCTCCCTTCGCGATGCATCGCTATATCTTCCAAGCTCTGAGTGTTTTGCGGCTACGGCTTCCGAGAGCGGGAGACGACAACCCAGAAAGTGGGTCGTTTAAGGCCGGCCCCACATCTCCGGAAACGGCTGGGTGGTGTGTGCGCTCGAATAAATTAGGTTGAGTGTAGGTCATTCTATGAAGGGGGTTCGGTCATCCAATGACCCCGCATGCTGAGGATACTTGAGAAATCCTTGGGGTTCACATTGGTTTCCTCTACCCTGAATAGAAGACGTTACCCCGAGTTGTACGGAGGGACTTCTGGAGTTCACCAAGACTTGATTTCGCTGGCTTCCCTTTCGGGACGATTTTGCGGGCAAAGACGCCTGTTTGGACAGCCTGGTATTCGGGGCAACATGCCATATCGGTGCCGAAGTCAACCCGTGAGCGGGAATGTTCTTTCTGGCGAAACGTTGTATACAGCAGGACGTATTATCGGGGTACAACCAACGTATTAATGTGACGAGCACAGTAAGCAGAAACTTAACGCTTCTTGCGGGAAGGGGTCGCAGTGGAGCATGATCGTCCCGCCCAGGTGGGGAGCAACTGGCGAGGACTTGGCATCTTTCGGGTTGGCCGGGGACCAACCCCCGGCTAGCTCCATCACGCCTTGGCGCCCGGCTCAGCAGTTCATCGCATGACAAGAATCAACGTGATGCGAGGAGGGCATTCATGGTCGGGTGATGGACAAGAAAGGCGGCGTCTCTAAGATTGTCTTGGCAAACGTGACGAGATGGGACCATCCAGAGATACATCAAACTCTCAGAGCCCTCGAGGGTTGTTGGCATTAGGACCAGATGGAAGACCACAGTACCGTCGTTTCTCACTCAAATCAACAGCCACTAGCAGGGCTAAACCCATGCTCGATTGGGTTGATTTCTTGCTTCTCGCTCAGGCGTGCGTCAGCTCAATCAAGCACATGCTAGTGGCTATTGAGTGGAGTGAAAAAAGACGGTAATGCTGGTCCATGGCGCGTGTTTCGAAACGCAAGAACCACACAATCCCTCACACCAGCTCCACCTGGCATCATTGGCGCCGCCAAACTTCAATCTCAGCTTGATCGCCAACCTAGGATTATATCGTCTGGTAATGTTGCTCAGTTTCTTTTTCAGCCTTCTATTGAATGCTATCGCTGACGGAGTAGCTGCACCTCGCAGCCGCAGTGCATATTGAACCTCGCACAATGAGATGTCGTCTGCAGGTGCCCTTCCCACCTGTCTACGTACATTGAAAGGTCTCCTTGCCTGACAATGACAGAACCAGTCAGCGCCCGGAGACCCAACCAGCCGCCGCTCCTGGACACGGCACAGGTATTCGGCTTCCCAGGCCTCATATAATCGTCCTCTAAGCAGCCACAGCTCGGGCACGTCCCATCGACGGCCTCCGCCCAGTCTTCCAGTGTCTCTGCGTCTCCTCGAATAAAGCCGCCCTCTAACCACTTCTCTATGTCGGTCCTGAGGCCGCTCTATATGGCTTGTTGGTTGCAGCGTACCAACAGACTGACAACTGACTGGCGGCCACCGCGCGCAACATCTCGAGATGCAGTCCCAGCTGTCATTGGCGCGGAGATTCCCCATGCTACCTAAGGTAGTGTTTACCACGGCCCGGGCAATGAGACCTGTCATACAGCCATTTTTGGGCGAAGGTGCTCTTCTGCGGGTCACTTCTTCAACAGGCACATAACTCACTGGTCGACTCGTCAGATCTTCTGGACAGCCATTCCGGACTTGTTGACCTGGTAAGCAACATTGCAAATTGGGGCGCGCCGGACTCCAACTTCGAGCTGCAAGCCAAGCGGAGACCGTGGCAAGCTTGGAAGGCAGAACCGAGATCCCACTTTCAGAAAAAGAATTATCCGAATGGTTGATGGCACCTTGGCTTCCCCAGAGTCCCCGGGGACCCGGACACCGTCCGCTACTACGCTGGCTCATTGCCGGTTTCGGGTAAAGGAGATGCAGGGTCTAGGTTCCTTGCGAACCGCTGGCCACCCAAGCCTTGTGCCCAGCGACGGACTGGAGACGCCATCTTACGTCCAAACAGATTGCCAATCGGCCTATTACGCACTGGATTCACCAACCTGCCAGACGCATTGAGCTCTTGATTACCAGCAGCGAGCTAGCTCGAACATCGGCTCGCCTACAGGCCAGCGCGCCTGTGACCACTTCCCCGCATCAACTGCAATACTACCCAAAGCGCTTAGACGAGAGAGGACGCGGCCACTGGCTGTGCTTGGACGGGCTGGTTGGTCTCCCTTTGCCATGCTGACAGCGGAAGGCTGAAGGGTTTCCCCTTTTGCCGGGTAAGTCCGCATATCTACCTCGGACTGACGACGGCCGGTAGTTGCAGGAGCTCCCCTATAGCTGGCTTTCTTCTCGATCCTTTTCGGATCATGCCGTCGACAGCCTGAAGAACCGTCTTGAAGCGGGATCCTGTCCACACCCGCATCTGTTCTCTGGTTTCACGCCGCATCCTTCGGTCTCTTGCCCTGGATGAGCCTTCATTGCGGAATTCCAGGTCCTTCAACGCAGGCATTATGAGGCACGACCTATATCTTCGCTGTCGGGGTTGCTCATGGACTGAGTACCGCTAGCCCGGTTTCCGAGGAACTACTGAGCAGAACAAGAGCCGAGATGTTACGCTGCAGCATGCTACGCTTCCCCATCCGAGCCAGACTTGAGACTGCGGCTAATTCTACCCCAAACCCAATCACCATGGGATCGGCTCTCCGCCGTTGTCCACCAATACCCGGCGGCGTACAATTTATTTGACGGGACTTCTCGAAATCTCCACGTGAAGATCACGGAAGCGCGCTGTCAGCACCGGAGCCACGCCATGCAAGCACTGATTTGATGATCCAGAGCTCGTCCGGTTTGAGCACGGAGGATCGCCTCAATGCCGTCTTTATCGTCCCATTCCACAATGATCACGCGAGCTCGTGGCCCGCTGTCGGTCAAACTCAGGACATCAGATGATTCAGACCCCGAAAATCTTTGGATGACAGAAACCGATGCCGCCACCTGGGGGCTTGATGTTCATCTAGCCGTCTCGGCAGCCGTACCGTCAGTCCACAACATCAGAGCAACATTGGAGGAGCAGGATGGACCGATAGACGAATTCGAAAATCCGGGTAAAATCTATCCTCCCGGATCCGGTTGTCCTTCGTCTACTGTTCCCTTCCTGACCGTCGCTGGACGTGATACCGCTTCGGCTTAATATCGGAGCTTCTGGCCGGAACCAATGGCTACATCATCAAACATGATGCTTAAAGTGATGTCCTCTCGAGGTTCAGGGCAAGAATGAGCCCCTCTTTCTACAACCCGCATGTCCGGCCGAAGGAGCCGTTCCAGGTCAGTTGCCACACCCTTTCATTGATATCTCTTTCGGCTCCGCAACCGGGAACAATTTTGACTGCCTTGCCAGGCCGCGTCTTGGAGTACTATGTAATCAATCTCGGCGTCCCTTTTCGGCTTAAAGGGATGGGATCTGCAACGTTGCTTGCTTTCCCGCACCGAGAAAAGCTTTCCTCCCCGGACGCTGTTCTCTTGGCCCTCTTGGACCGGCGGGCAGTTGCACGCTCTCCTTGTCCGAAGCCGGGATGGGACACCTCAACCGTGTCTTGTGAATGTCTGTCTACCTTGGGCAAACCAGGCGCACTAACTACCGACACTTTTCTATCTGGAAGGTCTGCTAACGGCATCATCCAAGGCGCCCGGCTTCGATGTGTAGGATGGGGCTTACTACAGTTCACGGCAAGACCACCGATTTCCAAGATCCGGTCCCATCCCATCCCATCCCATCCCATCCCATCCACCGTACACGGAGTGACAAACATGAACAGATCGTTTCCAGATGAAAGGGTGGTTCGCGGAAGGAAGCACAGCCGTCTGACACACACAAACATCCAGTCTCACCCTGCGTCGTGGGAGATACCTTACCTTAGCATCTGCTCTGCCCCGGGACAGCTTGCGGCGGCTATGTCGAATACGATGCGAAGCCATCCACCGCTCTGCCATGCGAGACGAATATTCTTGGAATCAGGAGAGAGCCCGCGCGAGCCTCCCTGCCGACGGGCTGGCGAGCCCGGGAAACTCGTTTTCTGGGATGGTAGAAGAGGTTCAATCCAGGCCGAGTCGTGTCATTCTCATGTCATGATCGGATCTTGCCATTTCTTCATGTTTCTGGGCTGACGGAGAACCAAGGCCTTGCCCCTATACGTCCGTCCACTCGCTGTCTTGCGCGTGAGTGGATGGATAGATGAATAGTCGAGCCGCGTCTGGTGCCTGCCAGGCAGTGCTTATTATTACCTCGGGATTGTTGTGGTGGCGATACTCCGAGTCAGCCAGCTACATCCCCGGACCCAAAGTGGTTACGAGTTCGAGTAAGTTACGTAGAACACAGTCATTGGATGGTCCGTTTCTCATTTTAAACAGCCGTTTATGTACTGTGAATGCGTGGTTTGTTGTGGGTCAAGCAGGTATCGCTTATGGTTGGCGTTACAAGTACATTCTGAAGGTAACAGGTTTGTAAGAGAGAAGGATAAAGCATTCAAGTCGACGCGGACGACGACGTGGACCGGAGAATCCCTGCTCTGGAGATGACGGGACACGAGTTGGTGTAGAAAAGCAGACAACGCCTCGTCGACGTCCTTGCGGTCCGGCTCGTACATTTCGAGGATGTTGCAGTTGGCGGAATCTGTTCGTACAATTGAACCCTGGTTGCTAGCGTGAAACTTGATAACGGAACAAGACAGACCTGCCTGTTAAATTTGTTCTCTTTTCTTTCTCCTTGCTCTCGTCTTCCTTCTCCTTACAATGTTCCTATCCTCTTCTTCTGTTTTGTTTCCTCTCTATTTCTCGATATCTAAACTATCTTCCTTTTCCCTCCCTAATTTTCTGAATCTCTTTGTTGACACGCTCCTTGTCCTAAGGTAGTCTGATTATAATCATACGCCCTGTTTTATATTTTGCCTAGAGCTATGCACTCGCTTCTTTTCTAACCAACATGGTCATACATGTAGGCATTACATTCATCTCCTTTGAAGTTCTCTTCCGTAGCCCAATGCTCGCTTTTTTCATGGCCGTGTGTCTTCCCTCAATGACTATGGTATACCAACCTCCAAGCTTGCACGACCTAGACGAGGATGATCTCGTTCAGATTTTCATTCGCCGGCGTATGCAACATGAACTCGCCCTTCATCGCCCCCTCACAGTAAGTTGGCGTTACTATTCGATACTCGCGGTCGTTCCTCTGGTGCCGGCGGAGCACAAGCGGGTTGAGACATGGGAGAAGAGCAACCACATCACCGACGCTGCAGGCCCGACTTGCTACGCCGCAGTAGCCAGTGTCCAAGACATAGACTACCCAATTGGGCCTGGGTTTGCGTTTTCTCGATATTTCGTCCAGTACGGCATCTGATAAGTACGCAGTATAGAGGATTTAGAAAATGAAGCTGGTCATATGATGATTTTGGAATGTTTTGGGGACTGGATGGGCAAGGCAGGTACCTTACTTACCGTCCATGGGAGGAATTGCACCGCACCCGTTCAGAAGCCATCGGTACCATGGCTTGAGCACGCTGTCTGCAACGGCATGGTGGAAGGTCCGAAGGAGGGCGAACTCGACCGACTTTGGGTCCTTTTTGGACGGATACCTTCTAGCAGCAAGTTCGTCCATCAAGCGGCGCCACTCGAAGCAAGCTTCGATGAAGGTCTGATAGATCGCATCTCTGGAGATGCCGGATTTCCGCGCAAGTGGGCAACATGCATGCTCTGTTATTATTCCAATGGACCTGCCCATGACGCCTAACCTACCGTTTCCGGTACTCTGTGTAAGTGTCGGGATAGTGTCGGGAGGCTCTGTGTCAAAGTTGACCGTCTTCCAGATGAGCGGCTCCGTGTAGTGGCCCGATGTCAGCCAGTCTGGAACCCAAGAAGGGAATCCAGAGGCTTCGTCCGGCGGAGCAGTGAGCGTGATGATGCTCAGGTTTTGGCGGCATTGAATGTAGGATACGACTGCCTCCTGAAAGACCTCAGCGATGTCCTTTTTGTAGTCGGGACTGGGATATTCGAGGCCCATGGTCTTGAAGAGCGCATACAAGGCGTACACCCTGTCGTGCGGGATGGTGGCTTTCATGTTCCGGATCTCGGCTAGCAGTTGACGCTCGGTGGCTGTCTGGCCGTGCCCCCGAAACCGGGTTGTTGGGATTGCTTCGAGGGAACGGCCGCGTAGTTGTAGGTATACTTTCCAGCGGGAAAGCAAGCGGTCTCCTGCTGGTTCCGGATGGGCGCCTCGCCTTGGGATTGCGAGATATCCGATGCAGAGGTACTCCCAATCTAATGTATGCCTGCCATGAATAATCAAGCAGTCCCGCCCGAAGGCAACTTCTTGCAGGGTCCACACTCTCTCGAACCAGGGATTGTTCAAGATACCCATCAAGGACTCCAACAGGCGCGAGGATTTGTTCTTGACTAACCACCCTGTGCCGGCGCCCTGTGAGTGGTGGCTAACTCAGCGAAAGCGAGAGAGCTTACCATGGCTGATGTCAAGACATCGCCGGACGGTGGGTTCCAAGATGGCAGCAAGCCGTGGGTAGCGATCCTCGACCGCTTCGAAGAAGTGAAGGGACCGGAGGTAGCGAAAGAGTGTCAAGACAGACGCATCTTGGGCCGGCGCCCCCAGCCATATCAAAACGCGTGTGGCTTTCAGATATATCTCACCCATCATGGCAACCTGGCCATTGCGTTCTGCGGTGGCTTCATCCGTCCCGGCCTGGTTGATACATATGGCGTCAATCCAGAGCGTCCTGGGGAAAAAGCGTGACCGCAAGTTGACGAGGGCCTCGTGGCAATTCTTGGTTACCAGGAGCTCTTTGCCGTTGCAGTCCAGCGGCCACCGCCGAGTCGGCTCGCCCCAGACGTAGGAAAGGGTTTCGTACGGCTGGGCTGCGACCCGGTCCAGATCGGCATGCTTGACGCTGCATCTCAATGCGTCCGTGGGCCTACTAGCGGGTAAGAGTTTGATCACGCGAATGAATCTTGCCGGCAACGGCTCGTAGGAGAAGACGGGCGCCATCGGGGTTGCTTGACGAGCTCGGTGTGCCCTGGTAAGGGTGACGCGCGGCGCAGGTTCTCAGGCAATCAACCTCTGCGTGACCATCACACGAAGTGACGGGAAATGACTAAGCAGTCTTGAACGGAACTCGCGGATTGGACCGCGCGTTTTAGCAACCTTGGTTCCACCACGCTGCACCCCTGAAATCGCTACAATCGGGAGAAACAGCCACAACTTCTGGGTGGATTAATCCTCCTCAAATGACGGCTTTGCTTCCGTAACGCGCAAGTTTCCCGGGCAACCACGTGATTCTACTGTTTACTACCCCCAGAACAGCAGCCAAATAAACCCTGCCTTGAATCGGAGTCTAACAGAACCGCAATGTTGCAGCCCGACCCACGGGGCAGTGCGCTGCAGGCCGCTTCTGATGGAGGACACGCCGAGATCGTACAGCAGCTCCTCAAGCACGGCGCCGATATCAACGCGCAGGGCGGAGAGTACGGCAACGCGCTGCAGGCCGCTTCTTGTAAATTACACGTCGAGACTGTACAGCAGCTCCTCGAGCACGGCGCCGACGTCAACGCGCAGGGTGGGTACTACGGCAACGCGCTGCAGGCCGCTTCTTACGGAGGATGCACCGGGATCGTGCGGCAGCTCCTCAAGCACGGCGCCAACATTGATACGCAGGGCGGGGAGTATGGCAACACGCTGCAGGCCGGTTCTTGCGGAGGACACCTCGAATCGTGCAGCAGCTCCTTATACAGGCTTTCTCAGCTGCGGCACCCTACTCCTCTCCTCACCCTCATTAAGATACCCACTATTAAAAGATCCCCAGCCGCCGCTGGACCTGTACTTCAGGAAGTGACTGACTGACTTTGAGGCCCGACTTCAAATGCCCAATTTGGCCGACGGCCAAGGCGGAAATAAGACCGCAGGGAGCATCGTCCACGCGGCCTGCGACAAGATACTGCGAAGACTCAACTCGGGGAAGGGCAGCAGGGGTCGACCGCGAACCTTCGGGCCGCAGAAGTCCACAGCAGTGGGAAAAGCCGCCATCACAATTGCAGGTCGGACGGGGGGGAACAGCTGACACGGACAGGGTAGTGCAGGAGGCCTGGGAAGAGAGATGGTTGAAGGGACGAGAAGGCCGGACAGCCACAAGGCCAGCCGACGACTTCGACCACCAGCAGGAGACCTTGTTCAAAGACAAGACTCTAAAGAGGCACGAAGGCCTGAGCAGGCCGAGAAGCTCATTGCTGGTCCAGATCCGAACTGGGGCCATAGGCCTCTGGGACTTCCTCCTCAAACGGGTGCTTGACTCTCGTCGCGCTGCTGTGAACGCCGTCGAACGACTGCGTTTTCCACGAAGCCTGGCTGCTGCCGGACCCGCGGGGTTTGCCGCTAGCTACGACGAAGCACCCGTGCGAGGCGACTTGCGTCAGGAACTGCTCGAAGGCCAGGCCGTTGGCGCCGCACGCAGGCTAGGAGGTACTTATACATGTGGACGTACGTGGTCACGGCCCGGCGTGGCGGTTCGGCTTCCGGAACGGTGGTTCGGCCCCGGAACCCACTTTCGCCGTGATATACCCTGATTGGGCCTGATGGGTCTGAAGCCTGATACGGCCAATCAGGGTTCCCAGGACCAAGCGGGCCTCCAGGGCACAAAAAGCCCTGCTCAGCGGCCCACAGGTGCACAGTTCGTTTCTCTTTCTTACAGTTGAAAGTCTTCACCAATAGAGTGCCATTATCCTGAGGCTCGCCCTTACTGCTGTCTGTGGTTTGCTCTGCCGTGGCATACGTCCTTTGTACGTAGAAAAACTTATGGGTAACCGGCAAGTGAGTTCGGGAGCCGTGTAAGTGGCAACGTGCTGTTAGTTGTGGAAGATTGTCGCTGCCTCCCGACGGACCGACCTAGCGGTTCCGGCTGCACCCCACGTACCAGGGTCTTGAAGACGATCGGCCCGTAGTTTCGGCATTCTCACTTTAGCATAACACCACCTCCCGTCTGCAACCCGCCAGAGAAAGATGGAAGCGAAGAGCGTCAGAACATACCCCTTTTGGCAGGCAATGAGCCCGGTCCTCGGATATTGCCCGCTTCATGCGCGCCAACCACGTTCTTCAATGCACAACCTCCACATACCTAGGCTTATGTTGAAGGAGACTCGAGCTACTGAGATGAACGGCAGCTGGCGCGCCGTGGAAAGAGACACCGGTCATCGAGCATGGGAGAACGAACAGTGCGTGTTCGTGGGAGCATCTCACGGCCGACTCGTGCGGCAAAAGTCAGAAGGAACATGATGTCCCCGACATACTAAAGCCTGTGCAATATTAGACAGTGAAGGGCAGAAATCGCACGGCTGCGATTCAGCGAGTTACTGTGTGTTCTTGCTCAAAAGACAGCCGAGGATAGGCGTATTTGTTATTTACCCGGCGCGCTTTTGTCCGACCAAGATGTTGTAAACTCGTTGAAACTGGCACCGACTGTGCCGCAGGAACCTTGTCCGAGACTTAATGACTGGTACTAAATGGGCTCAGCCTCTACACAATCCGGCGCTTACTAGCTTATCTAGGGGAGAGCGGACGGGATCTTCGAGTTTTCTAGTAGGTATGGTCGTATGTGACAGATGACAGCTGGGAAGCAGGATCATAACCGCATGCCACACATGTGTCATGCATGTCCTTGGGTGCGGAAAAGGGGGCCCTGAGAGGGAGGGTCTTCAGGAGAACCTGAGGTTCAGGATTGATCTTTTGGCATCGGCGGCTGGGGTTTGCGAGCTCTCGGCTCTTTCTCAGCTGGGCTCCAGGATTGAAAAGACTGATAAGAAATTAACCCATAACTAATCCAACGATATTTAGTGCCCCTAGAGCAACTTGTTCTTTTTCTTGTCCAAAACACTGATCATTGTGTACTACACCGTGTTAGCGGAAGTGATATCTATGCGGGTTTGGTGGTGAAACAAACTAACCTCCATAAATCTCGGCTTTCCGAGTATGTTATTCCCTATCCAATTGTCCTCATTGTTGACGGGTCTCAGGCCCAGCTCCTCCATGGAGTGCCACCAGTTCATGAAGGCAGCCAAATCTTTTGGGGTTGAGAAGGACTCGCCGCCGTCGACAAGATGGATCTCAACCAGGAGCTGCCCGAACGGCAGCGTCCCGTTGTAGCGGTTGGCCGGGTCGTACCGGACGGACGAGACGAGGTCCGAGATGGCGTCGAACTCGGCGCCCTCAATGTCCATCTTGACAATATCGATGTAGTCGTGACCGTTGATCTCCATCAGCTCGTGCACGGTAAAAAACGGCGGGTCCTTCATCCTGTCTTTGCCGATGCCGGCCTTTGTGAAGTGCGCGCGCGAGGCCTGGTGCGCGGGGATCTGCTTGGCCCAGCCGTTGACGGTGTAGTCGTAGCCCCAGATCTGCGCGTTGGTGCGCTCCAGCATGGCCGCCTCGAACGACGAGTCGTCGTTGACCCCAAACGAGTAGATGACCAGCTCCGGGGCCGGGTTGGTCGCGGCCGAGGGGCCCGGCGACGCCGCCTCGTACCGTGACATGCCGCACACCACTTTGCCGCCGTCGCCGAGCGTGCCGACCCGCTCGAGGTCGTGCGGGCAAAAGAAACTGGGGCGGGCAAAGTCCCAGACGTGGTACGGGTAGATGTAGCCGTCGGGAAACTGCCTGTCCCCGGACTGCGCCACCATCTCTTTGCGATCCTCGACTGCCTGTTGCCAGAGCCGCTCCGCGTGGGCTAACCGCGCATCCAGGTACAGATCGGGGCGCGACCCTGGGGCGTAGGGGAGGATGGCCGAGTGCCAGGGCACTGATGTCCTTGTCGAGGTGAAGGCGAACAAGAACAAAACAGCTGCAGAAGTTAAGAGAATGGCAATGGGCCGATGCATGGTGGGCGAACCAAGAGCTTTTCGGACACGCGCAGTGTGGCGCGATGCGGTATGGTTTGGTAATGTATAAGAGCTATGTATCAAGCATAAGGGGGGGTATACAAGTATCTGGGCAGCGGTCAGGAGACGAGCAACCAAACATGCTGGTCCTCAGAACCTTTACGCTATATATCAGAGGTCGCCCATGTCTCTGCGGGTTTGGGAACGGCATGGCATACTTCTCCGTTTTGTCGTGTCAAACGCCAAACGGTTCATACCCCCTGAGTTCGGACTCGTTTCTGGCGAGCGGCACATGCGTCTCATGTTGCTTAGGCAGGCTGGGCCAACGTGATTTGGGGCCCAAGTATCCCAATATTGTTTTGCCAAGCCAGGCACGGGCGGGGTGAGAACTACGAGCCTTCGCACCCTTTTGGCACCAGGTGTAGGCAAGGGAGGGGATTCCTGGGCAAGCAATGACGTGGCGATCTACCAGGGAGGGCATGCGGCAACGAGCCTGTTCCCCCATCGGCCGTGGATATTTGCCGAGAGACAGCGTATCCGCCCTTCACTGTGAAACCGTGTCCAAGAATGTACGAATATGCTTCGTTGCGCAAGTAAGGCAAGTAAGGTACTAACTCGTTTCTAGGTTGTGCACTGGTAACACGAACGCCAGAATTTAATGGTGGCCGCCGTGATTCGAGACCATTGTAAGCTGAAGCCCCTATCAGTTTGTTTTTGAGTCCTCAACCCCTCAATGTGCAGTGCCTATCACTCCCGCCCTAGCTCGCGAAAGCCCTCCTGATGATGAAGAATGCGACGATCAACAGGACCGCACATACCATGAAGACGTTATTCCGATGCTCGTCACCTGCAAGACGCGTCAGAGTCCACTAAGACACCGTGGCTGCCGACTGGCAGGAGACGGAGAGGGGAGGAATGTGGGTCCATGACAAACTTGCGCTCACCTTCTTGGTCCAAGGCATGAGCCACCACCACGAACACGTTCAGCGGCACCCTCATGAGACTATATGTGCGGCCTCTGACGCCGTCCTCGACGGCCTCGCTCTTCAGGAGCTCGATGGACGGGAAATAGACCCCAATGCACAGCTCGATGGCGCAGACGGCCCAAAAGACGGCCACTTCGTTGGTCGTGGCCAGCACGGCCGCCGACAGGCAGCAGCTGACGGTCAACAAGGCCGCCATCAGCATGAAGGTGACGTTTTCGTGCGAATGCGACGACAGGGCGAAGATGGCGGAGCCGGCCAGCATGCAGCACATGAAGCTCGAAAAGATGAGGCCGAACGGAAGCTCGTCCTCGGAGCCAGCGTGAGCCCGAGCGCTTTTGAGCGCGGCGGACCAGAAGAAGACAACAAGATACATGGTCCCCTCAAAGATCGAAGAGGTGATTCCCAGGGAGAGGACGCGGAGGTCCAAGAGGCCGACAAGGATGGATTTGACGCCGGACAGAGTTGATGTCTTGGGGCTCGACTGGGTACCGTAGTTCTCCTCCCAGGTGGTCACGATGCGGTATCCCGCGGCGGCGGCGCATGCTGTTGCCGCGAGGAACGGCCCTACCCGCGAGCCCGAGTAGGTGACGAGCGCGTCGCCCAAGATGCCCGACGAGATGGCGACCGCGCAGCTCAGCGACGACATCTTGCTGAAGATGCTGCTGAGGTCCAGCTCGCTGCCCTGCAGGCCCCTGCTGTGGTACTCGGTGATCATCCAAGCCGGGAACACGCTGAACAGCAGCGTGGTGCTGATTCCGCCGCAAAGCCGGCCGAGGAACAGGACCAGGAGATCATCGCTCAGCATCGAGAGGCAGGCCAGCGCGTAGACGGCACAGTAGCAGAAGCAAGCGGCACGCCGACCATAGCGATCTGCTAGGCCACCGGCGAACGAGGCACTCGCGGCGCCGGCGACGAACCCGGCCGCGTACAGGGCCGCGACCGACTTTTCCGGTAACTGCTTGTCGTACCGGTAGATGGCATATATGTGCGGGCCCTGGGTTGGCAGTTAGTTGCCGGTTGGACCAGGAGGTGAAACGTTTAGCCTTTAGCTTAGAGACTGCTTACCTGGAGCCAGTCGACCGCAACGGCCAGGGCATAGACGGAGAAGAAGTTGATCTGGAACTTGCGAGTGGCGTCGGACGAGTCGGCTTCGGTGCCATCGTCACTGGTACCCTCCACGTCCTCCATCAACCTTCCGCTCTCCACCTTTCCTGCAGGTCGCCCGGGCATGTAATACTGCCGGTGAAGCAGGTAGGCGCCTCCCAGCGCGAACAGAGCTGTGTTGGCCTCGTAGAAGACCATGCTGTCGGAACCACCAGCCACAGTCGGTGACAAAGGCGAAGATGGATTGTATCACTATCCGGTGCAGCAGGAGGGATGAGATTGGTTAACAACGGCGAGTAAAAAGGTGCCAATGGTATTAAATTCCAGGACGTGACAGCGATCACCCATCATCCGCTCATGAAGCAGCTTGGCTTGTCTCGACACTGCCTAGTTGCGGCCCGGGCCCAGAGGGAGTCGGCCCCCAAGCCCCTGACGCAGGCACGGACACGGGAATCTGCTGCGATTGACATTCTTTTGGTGGACGAGAGAACGGAGTAAACGCCAGGAGAGAGATCAGGGCGACCTTAGGGATGATGGGGATAATCATGATCGTTCTCGGACATTTTGAAGATCCAGAAAACCTGTCCTGGCGGGCGCCATCATTCATTCAGACTGGGCTGTCTCCCTAGATTTATGACTTAAAAGGTAGTTAGCCGTCAGCATGAAACTTCTCGCGCTGTCACTGCCGTTTCATAACGACGGGAGAATGCCAATGTGAAACCTCCGTTTGCTGGATCGCATATGTTCCGGTTTTGATAAGATAACCGTATCAGTTATCTCCACTATCCCGAAGCAACGCTCTTGTGAGGCTCGGCTCTTACCCGACTTCGCCGGGCTGCCGTGTTCCTGGTTCTGCACTGCGCAAATCCGGCTCAATTTCTCATCAATTGCGCTTCGCGGCAACTCCCTCCTCTTTCCGTGCAACCTCCAAGAGATGGTGGAAAGCTCAACATGCCACTGATCACTTGCTTTCGCTTATTAGAAAGGCGCTTAGGGTTGCGATTGTCTCGACCAACTTGCCGCCGCCCTCGTCATCAGCAACAAACTTCCAACGGCTTCACGCGCATGAACAACGAACGGGCTCCATGACTTGTACAACCTGGAAGCACGCACTTTTACAAGCTGATAGGCGAAGTTGAACGATCTCGAAATTCGGTTGAGACTTTGGTAAATTTGCGACTGGCGAGTTACACGTTCTGACTGAAAACACAAGGTGCTCGACTTAGCCTAGTCCTGCACCTTGATGACGACCTTGCCGACATGGCTTCCCGAGTACAGATAGTCGAAGGCGGCCGGCGACTCGTCGAACGGAAAAACTCTGTCGACGAGCGGGGCGAGGGAGATTTTCTTCTCTGCCAGGAACCGGTCCAGCTCGACGTAATCCTGCTTTGATCCCACGCCAATACCCCTATACGATACCCTGTCAGTGGAGAAACCGTGTTTGGCAGTCCATTGGGTTTCTGGATGGAGGGGGTTTACTTCAACTTTGCGGACTTGCCCATCAAGGCCATGATGGCGCTTGGCTCCCAGTCACCGTCGGTACCGGCTAGGAAGCCAACGAGAGATACAAGACCGCCGCGTTGCCGGAGGAAGCTGATGTCTCGCGGGATGGACGCCGGCCCTGTGTTGTTGATGACAAAGTCGACACCTTTGCCGTCGGTGATGCGCTTGACTTCGGCGGCTTGGTCGCTGACGGCCCTGTAGTTGATGGTACGGACTTCGGAACCGAGCTTCCGAATCTGTTCAAGTTTCTTGTCGGATGAAGAGGTGATGATGGGTCGGATGCCGGCAGCAAGGCAGATCAACAGGGCAAACAAACTGACGCCTCCCGTGCCTGACTCCAATCCAGTCAGTGCCACTGTCTGCCATCTCGAAGCAGGGTGGGAAACATTGGATTAGGTAAATGTACGTACCTTGCAAGAGGGCGCTCCTCGGGTTCGCCGCTTTGAGACCGTCGAGAGCGGTCCAAGCTGTGACACCGGCACAGGTGATGGTGGCCGCCTGGAGTTTGGTGCCATGTGAGCGAGATGATCGGGGATGTTCTTTTGTGTTTCTATCTACTCAGAGGGCCCTTGACTGACCTCTTCCCATGACAAGTGCTTGGGCACCTGCACGATGTGCTTGTCTTCGAAAATGGCGTACTCCCGAAGAAGGCCGTCGACGTCGCCACCGAGTGCTCTGCTTGGGTCGTCATCACATCCGCTGAGATTGTTGAGATCGAAAATGACGGAGACGTGGTCTCCAATGGCGAAGTCTTTGACTGCGCTTCCAACTGCTGCAACCTCAGCTGCCGCGTCGGAGCATGGGATGCCACGTTCAATCACATCCACTGGGTAGCGCCCGTGCAGCATGGCAACATCGCGGAAGTTAAGGGAGACGGCATAGATCCTGAGGAGGACATCGTGCGGTCCGAGCTCTCGGGGCAGCTGTTCCGTAGACGGGCTGATGGTCCTCGGCAGGTCGCCGGTGGTGCGTCTGAAGGCTTTGTATGTCTCAGGAATAGCCATCTTAAAATCAGTTGCGGTTCATCTGTTGCATGTTTTGAGCTCCGTGTAACTCAGGCATCGGATAGATCTGAACAGAGGATGGCCGTTCTATATATGGACAGCACAGAACACGCAACGGGAAGTCCAAAGATCCCGCCCGCACGATCGTCAAACAAAGTCGCCGCAGTCCTCGGCCTGAGTGTTGAATGACGCAAGGAGGACTCCATTGCGATGGGAATATCCCGATCAATTCCCATGAGGCGATCGAAGGTCCTTGAGAACTCCGTATTTCGGCTGGAGTACCGTTATGTATTGACCCAAAGCTGCACACTGGGTACATGGGCCAATGAGAAACTGAAGCGACGCTTGAATTTTGTAGTCGAATCGGCGTTGAGAAGTGGATAAGGCACCCACGTTACCGAGGGTACCTACAAGGCATCTTCGATGGAGCGCAGTGATTTGTAACAAAGACTCGGAGAACACAAAACATCAACCCGAATTCATCCGTTTCCAATGAGCACAGTGAAAGTCTCCGACCGTTGGAGTGTTTGGTGCGAGAACTGAGTGACTGGCAGCCTCGCCATCGGCTGACCAACTGCCGTGATGTAACCCCCTTCACAGTCAGTCCGATCGGCGGATCAAAGGGCTCCGAAGGGTACATGCCACTTGCCGCCATCTTCTTCACCACGCGAGGATCAAGCAGCATCACCACCATCCATCCAACATTGCGACCTTCTGCTTAGAGTTCATCGAGTCTTGCGCCAACCAATTCGCTTCTTTTTAGGTCCATCTTCATCACTCCGTTCATCGCCAATGGTCACCTCAGACCCCGGAAGCGAGGACAGCACGAAGCACTCGTCCACACAGGACAACCCGGATTCACGCAGGCCACACTCCCGGCAAACAAGTTCATCCCGCTTAGCACGGACGCCAAGCGGCTGTAATGGGCTCTCACGTGGCCGTCCCTGAGTCCTTCGATCTGGGTCATGCCAAGACCCTTCTACGATCCGGACGCTCCCCTGGAGCCTTAACGTTCTCCAAGGGGGATCCGGAGCTGCCGATGATGCCTCGGAATTGCATCTAGTATCGCAGTCGCGGCTAACCTAATCCCGAGATCAAATGCGCCACCGTGAGCGTTGGCGCTTTAGACGAATGGGAGGACCTATAATTCGACTTGCACCGCGGGCATTGGGACGGGCCGACGAAGACTGTGAGCCTGATGAGTACTGGGTTCGCTATGGGAAGCTGCCCGGCCAGGAGCCGGAATTCAAAGACTGCCCGGGACAGGGGGATTTGCTGAGGTGTTGCGGGATCTATCAAACGCTCAACAAGGCCGTCAAGTTGGTGGTCGAGGCAACGGGGGAGTAGCTGACTGTGCACGACTTTGCGTCGGCGGTGCATCCATGGCTGATGAATTTGCGCGAGGATATACTGGCTGCCTTGGGGACCGTGTTAGACCACAAACCCTGGCTACCAGAGACGAAGTTGATGGGTTTTCCCCCCTTAACCGGGGTCTCTGCGGATACTGACGGAGGAAAATTGGAAAGCTATAGGAAATGGTACCCGCTACACGACCGTTTACCTTCTATGCACGCACCATAGTAGCATCTCATGATTTGGCTGTGTAAACCCAGCCTGCGCCGACCAGCACCATCCTGGAGCCGCAGCCGCAGCCGTCGCCCAAGGAGGGCGACCGGCGCCAAAATGTGGCCGACTGCTACAACAGCGGGCAAAAGACGGAGGACATCCGGCTCGACAACACGGCGCACTCCTTCTACAACGAGCTCGGCGAGCCGGGCGTCGTGCTGGGCCCGAGTTTCTCGTACCAACGCACCTTCGCGCTGCCCATCGGTGACCTCTCGGCCGTCAAGATCCTTGTCTCCCTCGACATCCTAAGGACTGCCACTGGACCTGGAATCACGACGAGTGTCGGCGCTACCTGAAGGTGTCTGTCGACAGCTGCAACTCTGAGGCCGTCGGTGGGAAGCAGCGCGGCCACGTGCACAATGATTGTTACTGGTGGAGGATCGACCCGAACACGGCCTAGTTTGTCCATGCACATACTGTACTTTCGAGTAGAGAATATATGTGTCGAAGTAGGACTGCTTTTGGCGTCTTCCGAGGCTGCAGCTCAAGCTGCCGGCATTGTCCAATCCGAACCTCTCCCCTCTCTCCAACCGTTAAGCCAGAAGCGATGCATAGACACTTATTTGATTTAGACATATCCTACTCCATCATGGACACAGAGCAGAAAGACCATGACAATGCCATGTTGCATGGATTATTACATTTTCTAACATAGGTACTCGGTAAGTAGCAAAGTAAGGTACTTGTACGTTAGCCACCACACCCACCCGCCGAACTCCTCGCTGGCAGGAGAGTCGAAGTAAACCATCTCAATATATGCACAACGAAAGGTATAATAGATCCCAACCCCTCGCTAACAATGCACCATTCCCAACCCAATTAAAGAATACCAGCCTAAGTAGTCATGTGAAATTCCCTCCACGAGCCTCACAACCGGCCCCCTGAACCCCTTTCCCTTCCCCATTTTCCTGAAAAGACGCTAGAAAAGGAATAGCAGACGAAGGCAGAGTTCCTACCCGTAGAAGCAGAAAAAATAGAAAACGCCAGGCTCCCCGCCAGCGCCGAGAAGCGAACCGCTTGAACGCCTCCCTCGTCAAAAACGCGATCCATAAATGACCACCCGCACGGTCAGAAAGAACCCGCCGCTTTTATCTTTCCTACCCTCAGCCAACGAAGCAGAGTGAAGACGAAAAGAAAAAAGAAAGAAGGACATTAAAACAAGAATCCAGGCTCACACAGCCCACCACAAAACCCCCAGCAAAGCCCCCGCGGTCACAAACCACGCCGACGGCCCCGCAACGCCAGCTGCCGCGCCCGAGGGAATCACCGCGGCCGCGAGCGTCTCATTGACAAACCCCGGCCCACAGACGGTATTGATCTGCTTCGCGGCCCCAACATACGTATCGGCGATCCACTGCCTGCGATCCGCTGTCGCAACCTGGTACACGGCCATGGTTTGCCTCAGACACTCGCCGCAATCGGGCACCGTGGTTCCCGGCAGTGTCTTGTTGAGCGGCAAGAAGTACAGGTACGCGTTGCCCGTCCGGTTGGTGCGGTTGGTGGCGGCGGTCGCGTAGCAGTACGCGCCCGAGTCCGGCTCGCGCAGGCAGCCCGCGCTGTAGACGGGCGCGTAGGCGCGCATGGCCAGGTGTGCCTCGACGATGACGGGGTTGCCGGCCTGGTAATCGGCGCCGCAGTTCTCGGGGAGGATGAGGTCGCGCGCGAGGTTGCTCAGGTAGCCGCTGCAGAAAGTCGCGTTGGCGGCGCAGGTGGCGTCGAGAGTTCGCGTAATGCTGACTAGCGATCTTTGGGCCTCGAAGAAGGACTTGGATTTCTGGAGCGGGGGTTAGTTAGTCGGGCGAACGAAGTGACAAACGGTGGCTGGCGGACTCACGTCGAAGAGCATCGATAGGGGATAGCACTGCTGGAAGGTGGAGTTGGCGAGGAAAGAACTGATGAAGTTGGGGCAGTTCGAGGGTTGGCCGTTCGGGCCTGGCTCAAAATCGGACGGCAAGCTATCGAAGATGCTGGGGAGAGGGCTTGCGGAAGCGGTCGTGCTGGTGGTGGAAGGCGTCGGCTTCCCCACGGCGATGGAAAAGGTCGTGGTCACCGACACGCTTGCCGAGGTCTTTGAAGACTCGGAGGACTCAGTCGGGCTCGAATCGGAGTCGTCCGATGTGACCCGCTTCTGCACCTTTCGGCGCTCAACCTGCTGCTCCGACAACATCACCCATCTCTGGCCTTCCCGGAATGGCACCCTGTGATCGATGACGAGAGTTTCGACGGGCGATGCAGCGTCTGAGGCGATTGCGAGCACATGTGAAGCAAAACAAACGAGGACGGCGAAAATCAAGGTCCATGATGTTGGCTGCCCTCTGTGCGTTGATGAGGGACGGTGGTTCGGCCGAGACATTCGACTGGAGAAGTGACCGGCCAGGGATGACGTTGCGGCGGAAGTCATTGTGTTGCAGCTGCACGAGTCAGCTGGTGCAACATCACTCTTTGCAACAGCTTCGGGCAGTATAACGAGTGACTATGTTTCCGATTGCCCAGGTCAGACAGGCAGATCGGCGTCCACAGTAACGAGAATTCAACGCTGGTTCAGAATCGAAATGTTGTCGATCGGTGTTGCAATGGAGCTCCGTCGACGTGCACACTCCAGTGTATTATATCCGACAGATTCGCCGTCGCAGGGTGGGCAGAGAGAGGATCCCATCCACCACGGCCCCGAGAGCGAGAACTCAGGATTCGTGACGACAGCCAGGCGCGGTGAGTCTGCCAATCGGTTGGCCAATATGGGCGCTCCGGGTAAATCTAAGCAATGCCGGGCGGGAGATCGTCGACACCAATGGGACGAGGCGGGCGAGAAAGAGAAATTTGGGTGGTAATGCCGCTGCCGAGCTGGGATAAGAGAGAGCTGCTGACTGACGTGCAGAGGATCGCGATGGTGTGCTTTTCAGCTGGCCTGCGTCTCCTCGTGACCTCGCTGCCCAATGGTGTCTAGGAGGTGTCGGTCGACAGACGTCTGAATTGTTCGAAAGGCGCAGAGCTTTGAACGACTCGGAGCAGGACGAAGGATAAAATAGAAACCAGCCGCGGCACCGTGCAGCGGGCGAGAACACTTCCGCCAGGTGATCCGCTCCAGGGGTCGAGCTGCTGGACAACCACCGGCCCGCATGGTGACTTTAGCGAAAGCCACGATCGGGCTGATTGGGCCAATCGCCAACAGTTCTGATCCGGGCCAACAACATGGGTTGCTGAGGTGGTGGAGAATTGGCCGTGCCGTTCGGGCAGTGGGGCACCTTCTATTGAGCAGCCTTTGCCCCTTTGGGCGTGATAACCAACGCCTTCCACGCTCTTGGCGATGACCATGCAGCATCGATGGAGCAGCATTGCAGTTACCGGGATGCTGATTACCACAGTATTGGTTGCTTGCAGATATCATCGAAGTGGTCGAAGCGGGCAGCTGACAGGCACGCTCACGCGCAGATGTGGACGAGTCCTGACTGGAGATTTCACTGCCCCGACGATAGCAGGATAGGTACTGTGGTATGGCGAAAACGGCGGCGGAGGCGCCTGCGGCACCCTCTCTGCTGTTGGACACTTGCCATGCTGACACGCCGCACCATCTGCTGTGCCAACGAGGGACGGTGCTGGGCACGCCATCCAACGTGTCAAGATGGGTTCAGCCCGGACCAGTTGGAAGCGAGTCGAGATGAAATGCAATGTCGGAGGGCGGGCCGGACGCAGTGCTCTGGTCCAACCGCGGGTGACGCAGGTACAGATTGCTCCAATTGGCCAGAGATGGCACAAGGCTGTCCGAAGACAAATGAATTGGCACACTGTCAGGATTTACGAGAAACAAGAAGCCTGAGGTGGAATCGTAATTCTCTTTCCAAGTTGTGGTGCCGAGGTGAGCAAGGTAGAGACAGATGGATTAATGTGTCGCATGGCAGCAAAATTTGCCGCCCATGGTTCAGCGCTGGAACTGAGTTATCGTTCCCTAAGGTCATCAACCCCCGAGCACTTACCCAAGGAGGAAGAAGGAGAAAAGACCACGTATGCTACGGACAGCAGGCAGTACACAGCATAGCCAAGAGATGTAGAGAAACGGTTGGAATTGCACACCATAAACAAGGCGCACTTGATTTACTTGTTGCCCGACTTTGTGGCTCTTGTCGGGTGTCTCGTGTCATGCAAGTGATCCTGGAGTCTGCAGTGCCGTCGCCCTCTCAAACTCCCCGTTCCCCCCCGCCCCCCGCTGATCAGCGCTCTTCCACGTGCGAGTCCTGGCCAGGGAAGCAGCCGGATCGACGTGGGCATAAAAATCGATATTGGTCACGTCCATTGCATGAACAGAAAATTGCGTCTTTTGCCTGCTTTTCCACACCCCACTTGCAGAACCGGCGCTGGACATTCATTGGCAGACGCTACATCGGACCCACCTGCTCTCTGCGGAATGCAACCATTGAATTGGGCTGAAATTTGTTCTGGACTCATCAGGCCTGCCCTACGGATCCACAATCATCTAACTCATCTCATCCTCCATACATCGTACATTCCCTCCTGTTTGGCTCATCATCAGCCAACCTGATGTCGGATATTATTGTACGCGTGTGGACGAACATTGAATCCTGCGATGACTCGGGCCGGCTGTATGCGGGCGACCGCATAAGGCAACGGGGCCCAGGCAGCCTCCCGTAGACTCACTTAGTCCCTCAAAGGTTTCTGCACTCTTCGCGCGGTGCGAGTTACACGACATTCTCTCCCTGTTTTTGTTCTTCGAAAGACACAGCAGTCCGCAGCTTGACAAAGGGCAGCTAAGGCCTGTCATGTTTCGGAGAGCTTCACCACGAGCCGTACAGGGACACACGAGCGTGTATAGACTACTTATACGTACTTGTACAATACATCCCATCGCGGCAAGGTGCCGGGCCTCGTCTACCCATATTAGCTCGATGTCCATCACGGGGTTGGTGCCCAACCAATATAGAATCCCTCCAACAGCTCAACCGGGACTGGACTCAATGCCGAATCAGTGACAAAGAGTAACAACGCGTTGTATTGCCAAAACCGCATCCTTCGGTCAAGCCGGCCATCTGACTGCATCAAGGGCAGCAAGCTTGCCAACTGGCATAGGAAATAAGCATCAGGGACGGGCCCAGCAAGCACAGTAACACTACACCTTCATTTCTAGCGGCAAAAACCCATCCTTCCTTAAGCACTCGAGGTGCTCCCGCCACCTACCCACAAGTGTCTCAAACGTTCTCCCGCACCACCCACGCGTCGTCCTCCTCACTCAAGTCCAAGTCTACCTGCTCCAAATCCACAACCATAATTTTCGCGCCCTGGCCCTCTCCGACAAGATGGAAGTTATCCAATTTGACATCATGCAATAACCCCCCCACGGCCAGTTGACCCAGCGCCTCTCCAATCAACCGTCCCAGCTCACCGGCCAGCTTCCCTCCATCTTCTTCACCATCAACACCCAGCCCCATGCCATGCCACGCTTTCCTTAGCACCATCTCCCCAGCCGGCTCAGCAAGACAGACACCGCCAATGTCAGAGAGCAGCGGCGCCCTGGCGCCGTCGTACTCGATTTGGCCCAGCAGCACGGGCATCACTTTGCCCTGCAGCGGACGCAGCCTATCGTAGGCGGCGCGCTCGGCATCAAAGCTGCGCGTGTGGTCGTCGATCTTGCGCTTGAGAACGATCTGCGCGGGGAGGAACAACTCCGGAGAGCGAGACCTGAGCCATCGCGCGGGAAGCGAGGGTAGTAGGCCGGTGACTACGACTGGGAGGATCCTATCCAGGAAGGATCGATTGACCCACAAGCGCAGGACGTGCGGGTGCTCCGTATCGGCTTGCGTCCCCGTCGCCGAGATGATGCGTTTGTTGAATGGGAAGTACTGCTCACGGCGCAAAAGAAATCGTAGTTACGATCCACAGTCAGCGCCGAAAACTTGCATGACAGAATATGATGAAGAAAAAGGGGACGATTTACTATTGTTCTCAATCGCGGTGGGCGAAAGCGGCGGGAGTCGTCGGCCTCCGAGTCAAATCCATCTTGCTGCTCCTCCGTGCTTGGGGGAGAAGGACGGTTAGGTTGAAACTTTTGAGACTCGCTTCCGCCACGCGGACATGGCCACCAGGGTGCTAATCATAACTAACCTGCCCCTCTTGCGCAGCGGCCGTGCGTTGAAGAATTCGAGGAGGTGCGGGCTCATCCCACCGACCGTCAGCGGTGGCGCCGCCTTGCCCTGGCACCTCAGATGTCGGACCATCAGCCGGTAGAGCGCGTACCGGAGAGTGCAGCAACTCGTGGTCAGGGGAAGTACCCAGCAGTCGACGGGGCACTCCTCGTCTTCCATTCTCCACAGCCACTGCGCTCGGAACTAGAGCGAATCCCCGAGGAACGGAGCAGATTGTATGTATCAATACCTGATGCCGCGCAGTCAATTGTATCAACCCGGGCAGACTGGCCGAGCCCCTTAAGTCTCTTTGCCAAGGTTGTTCTACCCCTACGGACATGGCATGCCTCAATCCCTAAATCCGTACAATGTATGGAGGACGCGACACATCTTCCACGATATCTCCAACGCCCAAGTTCCTGGTTTATTGGCCCACGGAACCAGCTCCCTTTCTTGTCAATGCCTACGCCAAGTACGTGTACGATCCTCCCTCGCGCTCCAAGTAGTCCTTCTCGATGAGCCTGCAACGTCAACCAGTTAGCCAACGCACCAGCCAACCACCCCATCTCTCACCCGGAATTTTGTATAACTTACTTTTCAATGTTGGCTTTAATATCCCCCGCGTCGACGGCACCCCTCGACTTGGTCTGGTTGATGACCTCGGCCACGAGCTGCGCATGCGTCATCTTCTTGCGGCTCTTCATGATGCGAACAATGGCCGCCTGCGTCTCGAACTGGCGGTCGGCCGCGACCCGCTGGTGCGTCTCGCGGTTCTCCTCCTTGGTCTCTTTCAGCTGGATCTGGTTGATCTTGACGCGGAACTTGGGGTCCGTAAAGGCCTTGTTGACGGTGAAGGTGTCGGTGGGCGACACGTCGCGGCCCTTGGGGTGCTTGGTCAGCACGCGCGCCTTGCCGCAGGCGAGCGACTGCAGCGTGCGGTTGAGCTCGCCGCCCTGGAGACCAGTGGACTGGGCGATCTGGTCGTAGGACAGCACGCCGGCGGTCGAGCTGGCGGGGTCGTCGTTTTCGACCTCGTTGAAGAGCATCAGGACGGACGCTTGCGGCGCGCTGACTTGGAGCTCCTTGGGGCCGCGGTTGAACTGCGCCTTGATGACGCAGTGTGCCATGTTGTGCTTCCAGGTCAGCCGCCGACCCGTATGCTTCGACTTGTAGTACCCGTCAAAGGTGTTGATCTGCTCCAACACCTCCTTGGGAAGCAGCACCTTGACGTCGGGGAAGGTCGGCCACGCGGCGGCCGAGAGGATGTTGACCGTCAGGTCGACGCCGCCGTTGCCCCGTCCGGTGCCCACCAGCCACTCCTTGTATGAAGCCATCTCCTCCTTGGCCAGCTCCTGGTCTTTGAACATTTGCTCCAGGTTGTGGGTAAAGCTGGAACCGCACTCGACCTTGAGCTTGGCGAGCATGCTCCGCTCGGCGTCCTGGCTCGCGCTGCGACCGAGGAGTATCCGGCGCGCCAAGTCTTTCTTGTAAAACGCTTCGAAAACGTCCTTTCCTTCGATGAAGCGGAAGAGCTCGAGGGCGTTGTCCAGTTGCCGGTCCAGCTCAGCATCTTCGTCGCCGGTGCTCGCCAGGCCGCTTCTCTCGGCGTCAGCCCTGTCCTGGGAATCTGACAAGAGTGACGTTGGGAGCGTCCTGAGACCCCCGCGCAGTAGCATATCGATGTACTTGGCAATCATCTCGCCGACCTTGGACGTGCCTGTGTTCCACGCCGACGATATTTTTCTATCATTGATGAACTGGCCAAACGACTCCCTGAGCGCGTAGTAGAAGACGTCGTCCTTGGAGAAGGAGTCCCGTATTATGATGTCCAGCGACCGCCGCAGTTCCAGCAGGCGGATGATCATCTCGTCTCCTCGCTCGGTGTCGCTAACAATGGCCGACCCAGTTTGGCGAATGTAGTGCTCCCAAGGGACCTTGAGGCGCTTCTGCAGGCCGGACAGCTTTAGCAGCTCGTAGAGGGCCTTCATAGACTCGACATCGTGGGCTTCCAGCAATCGCGCGACGCTGCCGCTGTCGAGCAGCTTCTCCGAGTACGTCTCGATAAGCACCCGATGGGCGTCGCCCAGGACCAGCCGCTTGGTGGTGCTCTCGAAGTTGAACCCGTCGCATCTGGCACTCTCCCGCTCTAGCAGCGCTGCCACCTCGCCAATGTAACCCTTGAGCCCATGTCCGGTGCTCATCTCGCTGGCAAACCGCTCAAAGTACCGATGTGACCTGTCTAGAAACATGGGCTCGAACGACTTTCCGTAGACGCCGCAGAGTCTCAACATGACGATTGCGTCCTTCAGCAGACCTTCGTCTGCGCGCTCGTCCCCGTGCCGAGCATAATCCACCAACCGACATACCGCCTCCAACACTGCCGTCCCCTGCACCGTCACGCCCTTGGACGAGCCAAACACGGCCTTCCGGAACAGCACGATCCCCATCTCATTGATCCCCATCCTCCCCCTCCCACCCTCACCTCCACCTCGCATCATCAAATACCCCCGATCCAAATAACTATACACCCCCCTAATCACAAAAACAACCTCATTCCACCTCCTCCACCTGGCAACCACCTCCCGAAGCAGCACATCCCCGGGCCCAATAGCAGAACCACCACCACCATCATTTTCCCCTCCCCCAGAAGTCGAATAAGAGGAGGACGAAGAACCAACAGCAGCAGTCTGGAAATACTCCTCCCACAGCCCGCCCAGCATCTCCGCGCCGGCCAGCCAGCGCTCGCACTTGGCGCGCAGCCGCTCCATCAGCTCGGCCGCATCCTCTCTGCCCCGGCGCACGACGTCCTCGACGCCGCGGTACAGCCGCTCGAGCGGCTGGGCGGTCGGCTTGCCGGCGAAGATGCAGGACAGCGCGCTGTCTAGCTCGGCTTGGATGCGCGAGTAGTAGGCGTCTACCGATGACGGTGTTGTTGTTCCTGTTGTTGTTGTTGTTGTTGTTGTTTTCGTGGGGCCGGATGTGGAGGACGAGGAGAGTGTCGGGGAAGGGCGGAGGTTCTTAACGACGAGCTTGCGGGCACCGAGGTGTGGTTGGAGGGCTGGGCGGGACGGGTGCAGGCTGTGGTGGTGGGAGGCAGAGGCGGGGCTGGTGAGGTCTATTACCTCAGGGCGCTTGCCTTGTAGTCTGGCCGACATTGTTGTTGCTGGAGCGGCGGTCGGGGTGTAGAGTTCGGAACGCGGGCGCTTGGGGTCGGGACGGGTTGTTGTCGCGGGCCTGGTGCCGAGGGTGGAATGGGCGGCGCTCGGGTCGGTGTCGAAGGAGTCGACGCGTGGTCGTCGCCTGGGAGCGGATGTCGAGGGTTGTGAGGAGGTGATGGGGTTGGAGGGGCCGGGAGCGGGTGGGACGTCCGTGGGAGGCATGGACCACAGAGGTCCGCACGTGGGACGGGGTCTCTGCTCGTTGCTTTGACGTTTGCTGTTTCGCGAATGGGCTTGTTGCGCCGCAGCTACCTGCGGCCGCGATCGTTGAACTAATTAGAGATCTCGTTAGATTTAGGTACCGGAGAACTGCGATGTTTTGGAAGCTGCTCTCAGTCTCGTCCACAGCAAACTTCCGACCACAACGCTCGCTGTTCGTGGGAGCGCTTGGCTGATGATGGTGGATGCGGATGGCGGAGTTAATGTGTGTATAGCCCGAGAGTCGAGACCCACCCAAATTAGGCGCTATCGATAAGCTATTGGATACAAGGTGCACACTCTTGCAGCAGACACCAAACCAACACTGGACGTATCAGTACCAGAGAAATGAATGAGCTCGAGTGTTAGTGCCTCTGGCCCACGTACTCCGTAGCGTGAGCTGCTCATGTCTATAACAACCAATCCGCTATCATTCCACATAATGCTCACCGTGACGACTGAGTACCTCAACCATATGAATATCAAAACCCGGAAATGAAACCATAGTCTGTCCACTCCATGGCAGAAACCAATTCGCATGATAGAGAAGCTGCTGCGATCTGGCCACAATGAGAGTCTAAATTGTTTACCTCGAGAAGGGGTGAATGCAGGGTCAAAATTGAGGTGCCTCCCTTAAGTGGCGCGCTGTAATTACGTCATTGTAAATCTGCTCCATCGGCCCCACGTCCCCACAAAAAGAACCTTCGATCTCACACAGGCCTGTCGCCTGGAAAATGGCCCCTTCAAGATCCGGCTCGGAGTGTCCCGATCGCTTCTTCCTTTTGCATCTTCATGGTTGTGATACATCCACTTGGTAAGCAATAATCTCCCTGCGCCCTCTCGATCAAGAGGAAGCGTTATCATCGAGTGACATCCCCCCCTGCTCGCTTGATGCGCTTGTTCTGACCATCTGATGATTCCAATTCGGCCTCTGTTTCTTCTCCGTGGGTCTCTATGATTCTTCCATCCGGACTGCGCCCGACAATGGCGCCCCCGACGGAGCCCCTGAACCTTGATGTCGAGGCCATTTCCGGCATCTGCGGGTATGGAGCACCATCTTCTCACTCAGTTACCGTATGCTAACTCTCGGTCAGTTCCATATCCATCGCATGTTGGGTGGTTGTCTTCTCCCCCCAAATCATCGAGAACCTCCGCCGCGGCAGCGCCGAAGGTCTGTCGATCCAGTTCATCGTCGTCTGGCTGCTCGGCGACGTCTTCAACATCCTGGGAGCCGTGCTGCAGGGCGTGCTGCCCACCATGATCATCCTCGCCATCTACTACACCATCGCCGACATCGTGCTGCTGGCGCAGTGCTTCTACTACCGCGGCTTTACCCTGAGCGATGAGGTCGTCCCGTCTGTGGAAGCAACCACGCCGACGCTGAAGACGAAGCGCATTCGGAATGGGAATGGGAACCACACTGATGCGCCGGACGAGAGGACGGGGTTACTTGCTGGCGGCACTGGTCCAGCGCATTCGGATCGGTCGCCGTACCACTACGGCATCGACGACCATGAGCGGAGGGGATCCTGGACGCACCTGTCACCAGCTGTGCCCTTCATTGAGGAACCCGAGACGGCGCCGGCCCCCCCGCCGACGACGTGGGCGCAGGCTTTCGCTTTCAACAGCCTGGCCATCTTGATGGTTTGCGGAGCGGGCCTCGCCGGGTGGTGGCTCAACCGGACGTATGGGGGGGATGGGAGCAGCGACGGGCACAAGCCGGGAGGTGGGCAGGACGGCCCGTTGAGGTTCAACACGCTCGGCCAAGTCTTCGGGTGGCTTTGCGCCGTGCTCTACCTGGGCTCGCGCTTGCCCCAGCTGCTGCTCAACTGGCGCCGCAAGTCGACCGAGGGGGTGTCAGTGTTGTTTTTCCTGTTTGCCTGCCTCGGCAACCTGACATATGTGCTGTCAATCTTGGCCTTTGAGCCCAGGTGCGAGGGGGATGAGGGCTGTCAACCGGGCGAAGCCGCGCACATCTTTTGGCAGTACATACTGGTCAACCTCTCCTGGCTGGCAGGCAGCGCTGGCACGCTGCTGCTTGACTTGGGCATTTTTGTGCAATTCTTCGTGTACAGCAAAACCGAGGAGGAACAAAGCAGCGACGAGGAAAGTACAGGTGACGAGGAAAGCGTGGAGGGTGATGCATGGGATCAGCGGCCTCTTTTGGAAAGAAACAATACTGGGTACTAGGGGAACGGGCGGAACAATTCTCGGGAAAAGGACCATGGGAAAACGGCGTTGGGCGACCCGGTAACAGACACTGTATTTTTGCGAGCGGCTTCTAGTATGCCTTCTTTTCCAGTCATTGTACACTAAAGAGACCGGCTGGCAGCAGTGTGATCATCTTGAGATAATAAGGGGTAACCTCAAGACACGACACCGGATGCTTTCTCAGCTCCTGCGGAGAACAGCTGCCACAGCCTCACAGCCAACCTAACCTCTTCCAGAGATAACTGCCACCGCCGAAGGCGGCAGTCGCTCCTGTAAATGCGATCAGTCCCCCGTAGCCGCTCCCATACCCGCCAAAAGCCTGTCCTTTCCATGGCATGGCGTGGGCTAGCGCCTCGCTCAACGGGCCCGAGACGACATTTCCGATTCCGCGGCCCATGGCCAGAAAGGCAAACACCATGCTCGGGTCGGCCAAATTTCCGTGCTCGTTGCCCCTCTCGTCATCGGATCCATCCGCTGGCGCCTTGGTGATCTCTTTCATCACACCCGGCCAAGCTGTCAACCCTGTCAGCATATCGTTCTCATGGTGTCGATGACCTCGGGGATAAAAATCTGACAGTCACAAGGGGCAAGAGGGAGATAGAGAAAAAGAAATACTTACCACTCGTATACGACCCGGCAAACAAGCCATACACGATGCAAAACAGATACAGCACCGGCAGGTTGACCGACAATCCCCACAATAAGAAGGTCCCCAACGTCGCGCCAACCGTCGACACCAAGAAGCACTTTGTCACCTCGAGCCGATCAATCAGCGACCCCATGGCGACGCACCCAAACACGCTGGCGACATTGACCAGCATCATGGCCACCACCGATGGCCACGGCCCGGCCTGCAGCACCGACCGCGCATACGACGGCAGATAGATACCCGGCAAGAAGAATCCGACCGCCTCGAGCACGTTGAAGGCCTGGTACATGACAAACGGCCTCTCGACGACAAAGCGCAACGAGAACGGCCTGGCGCGCGTGGGGGCCGCGCCGGCCCCCTTGCGCCAGCGTGCGACGGGCAGGCGGGGCTTCACAAAGTAGGCCAGCGGCGCGGTGAGGGCAAAGACGAGGCAGGCAAAGACGCGCAGGGTCGTCTCGTGGCCGCGTGTCGAGAGCAGCCACTCGAGCAGGACGGGCAGCACGACGCCCGACAGGCCCGTGGCGCTCCACATGATGCCGAAGGCGAGTCCCCGGCGGGCCGAGAACCATTCTTCCAGGTAGATGATGCAGGACGAGTAGGCGATGGAGCCGCCCAGGGCGTAGAAGATACCCTGGGTCACGATCAGGTGCGTGACGGTCGTCGAGAAGGACGACAGGGCGAGCGCCAGGCACATGATTAGCAGGCCGACGATGGTGGCGTACCGGGCAGGTCGCGGGAAGCGTCGGTGGAGGTACATGATTACCGGCGTGTCGAGGTACATTATCCCCTGTGAGAGCGGGGTGAAGGAAAGTGGTCAGTGTGGGCGAACCCTTGGGGTTGTTCTGGGAAGGGGTCCGGCAGCATACCAAGGCGCAGGTTCCGATAACGGCTATGTTGCTTTCTCCCGCGAAGGCCGGATGGTTGCTGTAGTAGCTCTGGAAGACGCCAAAGGAGTAGCCGAAACCTGGGCGAGGTTAGAGAAAGGGGCTCGACTCGTCTCGGGTAACGGAGGCCATTTGCATACCCCAGACTAAGCCCTCAAGCATGAAGCATGCTGCGAGGAAAAGCCAGGCGTCCTTGCCGCGGTCGACCGGAGGCAGACTGGGCATCTCATGGCCGTTGCCATCTTCAACGCGCAGCTCAAGGCTGGCGGTGCGCGGCGAGCCGTCGAGGCGACGCAGTTCAGTCGCCGTAATGTCGGATTCAGATCCCATTGTGATGATGACTTGGATTAACGAGCCTCAATTCCAGTATGATGATTGAGACTGCCATGCCGTTCAGAAGGATTTCAAGGCGAGGGGCATCCCTTATTTTACAGTCCCATGTAAATTCCGCGGTGTACCTTATCTCCGCGTCCCTTGGTTTGGAGGCACAATCTCCGCCACAACCTTGAAAATAAGCCCACATCACGCCTTTGTCCTGATGAGTCACTCGCCAGGTCCGAGCATCGCATCCACGCATCTTGGCAGCGACACCCCGCCGCTGGTGGGCAAATATCCCAAACTGGAAGGTGAATGGAACTTACAGGACCTTTCCAGTACACACAACCCAAGTTGAGACCATTAAAAACGCCTGACAACCTGAGCTGCAGAAAGTGTCTTCTTTCACATTGCTTCACCCCTCTAGCGAGAGGAAGAGCACTAAGATCTGCCCACAGTGGTGTATCCAGTCAACAATTCACTCCAGGCCATCTTACCTCGGCCACTTTACCTTTCTCCCTCTGAAGCAAGCAAGCCAGATAATCTCCCAACCCCCTCCCGACCCAGACATGATAGACATCCAGGTCCTCCAGCCCGACGACTGGCAACTTTGGCGCTCATTGCGACTACAGGCGCTCGCCGAGGCGCCGCACGCCTTCGGCGCGACGCTAGCCGACTGGCAAGGCTCAGGCGACCGGGAGCAGCGGTGGCGAGCGCGGCTGGCGATCCCCGGGTCGCGCAACGTCATTGCGCGTCTCGAGGGGCGTCCCGTCGGCATGGTCAGCGGGGTGCCGGCTGAGCGGGGAGGAGACGGCCCGGATGATGATGCGATCGAGTTGATCTCGATGTGGGTGAGCCCCGAGGCGCGCGGGCGGGGCGTGGGCGACCAGCTTGTGGGCGAGATGGAGCGGTGGGCGGCCGGACTCGGCGTGCGCACGATGCGCCTGTCGGTGAGGCCTTCGAATGCGGCGGCTGTCGCGCTCTACCGGCGCCACGGGTTGAAGGAGACGGGCGAGAGTATTGGCGACGCAACGCCCGACAGGACCGACCAAGAGCGTGTCATGGCGAAGCAGGTACCTGGACGGAGGTAAGGAGTAATTATGACACGCTGAACCCGTAAGCCAGCGTTCGAGCTGTGGACAATGTCACGATAAACATTTTTGAGGCGACGCCCGTGCCAGTATCCGGGCGGTTGCACAAGCCCAATTTACATACATCAAGGTGGATACTCCTCAATGATGAGCTGAGCAGGCTGAGATCTGGTTGAGATCCAGCAAAGGACCCGCAAGCTCGAAAAGCTTCCCCGAATTGAAAAACCCCCATGCCCTGTGAATGCTTGGCGTTTTGGAGACACTGGCTGTCTTGGCGATTGCGGGGAGCCGAGGTCCGCTCATTGTGGGGCCTTATTGGTTTGGAAACAGCAACCGAGGATGAACGGGTTCTGCCATATAATAAGCTTCATGTTTCATTCGTTGCCAGCTAGGCGTTGAACCTCCTTTCATGGCAAAGGACTGTCGTTCCTTGATTGCGTCCTCAAGACCACTCACTTTCCACATGCTATGAACTTGTAAACTGCAACAGCCACTCTCTCCAACTTGAAGATGGCCACATGCCCCATTCATGTCGAGTATAAGGGCCGGCTGGCCATCATCACCATTGACAACCCAAAGAAACTCAATGCGCTCGACCAGTCCGGGTACTACGACCTCGCCACGGCGCTGAATGAGATCGCCACGCACGACGAAGTCTTCATCACCCTCATTATTGGCAAGGGCCGTTTTTTCTCAGCGTAAGTCCTCCTCGCCCACTTCTACAAACCACCGACTTGCACCCTCTCTCCTTCTTTTGCACCTCCATCTAACACAGCCATATCATACCCCCTAATCCAGCGGAGCCGACGTCTCCCTCTCGCGCCCCAGCCCGTCCCAGCTCCAAGCCCAATCCGAGTCGCCGCACCGCTTCTGGCTGCAATCCTTCGCCGCCTTCAACCTCAACATCACCCGCGCCTTCTACACTCACCCCAAGATCCTCGTCGTCGGCCTCAACGGGCCGGTGATCGGTCTCTCGGCCGCCCTCATCTCCTTCGCCGACTTCATCTACGCCGCCCCGCACGCCTTCTTGCTCACGCCCTTCAGCTCGCTCGGGCTCGTGTCCGAGGGCGCGGCCTCGCGCGCGCTGGTGCAGAGGCTAGGCATTGCCAGGGCCAACGAGGCGCTCATCATGAGCCAGAAAATTGCGTGCGACGAGCTGGTGGCTGCCGGGTTCGTGAACAAGGTATTTGGGGAGGTGGGCAAGGACGATGAGGATGAGAAATTCAGGGAGTTGGTGCTGCGCGAGATTGACGAGAGGCTCGGGGAGCATCTAGTGGGGGAGAGCTTGCTGGGGATCAAGAAACTCATTCGGAAGCCCGAGATGGACGTCATGGAGGCGCAGAATGTCGCTGAGGTGTTCGCGGGCGTGGATCGGTTCGTCAGTGGGGTGCCGCAGGGCGAGTTCTTGAAGATCGCCACGGGCAAGAAGAGGCATAAGCTGTGAATTGTAGGATTTGTTTACCCTCAATGTATTTTGTGGCATTCTTTTTCCATGGCTTGTCTTGTGGTGATACCTCAGACCAATTCGGATATTATGTCAACAACCCAAACAGCAAGCTCGTCCTCTTGAAGTAGTGCTGCGACACCTTGGCCAGTCTCTCCTTGCCCGTCGCGTCCAGGCACGACCTTTGGTACACCACCTCCTCCAGATCCTTCAGTGAGTCGTCAGACCCCAAGAACCACCGGAGGTAGTAGATGTCCAAAAGCCACTGAACGAGCAGATCTCGTTGCCAGAGGTTTGCTGCGGACCTCTCATTGCCCTGTTCGGCTGCGCCCTCCTCCGTTTCCGTGTCTTCAGTGTGCTCTCCCTCACGAGTCCCGGCAGAACTCAGGGCGCCAAGGACCTCCAGCCAAGCGTCGGATATTTGTATTTGTAGGTGGCGCTTTAGAACACCGACAGCCGCAGGGCTCCACAAATCCGCGCCAGCATCGCCCATCGCGACGGTTAGGTTCCTCATGAACTTGAAGGTGCCCGAGGAGGGTGACCCCGGTAGCGCCGGCTCGCCCTCCCATAGGCTCCGTCCCACAATCGACCTCCGTGTGAGTGCCCCGGTGACAAACTCATCCAGCGGCGAGACAACCACGGTTTTGGCTACCGCCTCGTGAAGCGACGGCACTGCAGCCAAGCCAAAGCCCTTGACTGCTTCTAGATCCGGCAGCCTGGCCCGAATATCCCTAAGCAGCCGCACAAAGTACATGGCTACGGCGCCGTTATCTGGGCCCTCTCGCTGCGCATTCCACAGGGCAATCAGCTGGTCGTCTAAATGCCTGAACGCATCGATCAGCAAACGATTCAGGTGCTCGCTCAACGCCAGCGGGTCGTCCTTGGAGAGCAGTTTCTGGCGTTCCTCGATTGTTTCCTCGTCCTCGATCTCATCGACGTCGTTGTCCCACCGCTGCCGCTTCAGCTGGTCCACGACCTGACCCACGTCGTCAATGACATGAAACCAGGACCTGTAGCTGGCCACGGCCTTGGACACGGCATTGTTCCTGCCGTACAGCCGGGCGACAACATCCTGTGTGAACTGGGCAACGCCGTTGGAGAGATCGGTGTCGATCGAGGAAACGTCCCAAAGGCTTTGGTGCCGGTCGGTTACGCCTTCGCGCCAGGCGTCTAGGGCGGCCGAGACTTCGGAACCGACGAGGCGCAGCTTGGCCACTTTGGCCTCGAGAACGCGCAGCATGTGCCTGTTGATGGTCGTGCGGAGCTGGTCGAGCATCTCGGAGGGATCAAATCCTCGCGCCCTGCCGCCTTCGGAGATCCACAGCTCCAGCACGCTCGTGCGCAGCTCGACGATGGCCTTGAGCTCGGTCATACTCTCAAGCGTCTTTTCGAGCCCTTGGAGCAGCACCTCGCTTCCCTTCTCCGCCCAGCGCGCGAGCAGCTCCCTGGCCTGCGGCCCATCCAGATCGTCGTGCCGAATAAAGGGCGTGTAAAACTGTATCTCGTCCCCGCACCACCGTTTGTAAACATCCAGCCTCAGCGCCTCCATCTCCTTCAGCGACGCGTTCTCCAACAGCCGTTCCTCCTTGAGTTTCACCAGCGCCTCGGTAAGCTTGTGCGGGACAAGGCTCTGCACGTCCAACAGTGTCTTGGTGTACAGTCCCAAAGCACGCAGCACATCCTTGGGGTTTCTCGCCTCCCTCTCCTCCTCGCCCATCCCCATCGCTACGGCGATCGCCTCGGCCCTCACGCGCAAAAAGTGCGCCAGCACATCCCTCGCCCCAGAGCTGGTAGCCAGGCTGTACGCCGCCAGCGCGCACAGTATATCGCCTCGCTTCATGGCCTTGTCGCTCCCGCTCCGCAGCACCGCGTCAATCCCCCTCGCCAGCCGCCCATGGTGCACGCTCTCGAGGTTCTTCCGCGCAGCAGCCAGCGCCTTTCCCTCGCCAAGGCTCTTGACCAGCAGCCGCCCAAACACGTACAACCGCGCCGCCAGAACCAGCCTCTCCCCCGTCCCCAATCCCAATACTCCCCCGTCATTACCCTCCTGCCGTCGCTGCCTCAGAACCTGCCTCAACTCAAGTTCCACCCCCTCCAACAATCTCCCCCTCGCAACCTCCCCCATCCCATTTCTACCCCCCCCCGCACTTATACTTATAATATTACCCACCGGCCCGTGTATCCGTGTTCCTGTCCTCGTCGGTAATCGTATCCCCTCCGGCCCCCACACTTCAACACCCACAACACCCACCGCATCCTCTTTGTATTTCTCATACCCATAACCATCCTCCGCAAAAGACAAAGAAAACGCCCTCAGCCCGCCGACCTTCCCGCCCACAACCGCCCTCCCGCACCGGCTTCCCATTTCCCCCAACAGTTCCAGCACCTCGTCCATGTCCGCCCGCATCGCGACGATCGTGTCGGCCGTGCCCAGCAGCTCGCGGTAAGAGCCGCCGACCTGCGTGCGCAGTCTCGCTGAGACGTCGGTGACGTGGGTGTGCAGGGCGGCATGGATCGCGCGGATCTGCGGGAGCGTGTAGCGCTGGTGATGATGATGTTGTTGCTTGTGGCTTGGGGTTGGACTTCTGGTGGTGGTGGTGGTTGTGGGGTCGGTATCGTGGGAGGAGGAGGAGGGAGAGGTAAAGAGGGCGGCGGAGGACGGGATGGCGGATAGGTCTAGGTTTGGCGGGAGGAGGGAGGTCATTTCTGGAGGTGTCGTTTGCGGTTTGTTTCTGGGCTTGGGAAGGTTATTGCGGATGGGTGTGGTGGAAATAGATTTGTTGGGATTGCAGCGGCTATGGTTTCGGGCGATCCATTGAGGTGCCTGAGGGAAATGGAACGGGTGTATTGGTGGCCTTTGAGATGGTTCGAGTTGGCGATGTTGATGTCGAGGTCAGGACCTGATTGGCTTGCTCGTTCCAGTTCCAGTTCCAGTATCTAACCCCCTGCCATATACCGAGAATCTCTCAACTATAGTAAATTAAGGGCACCTTACCCATCTAGGCAGCTAAACTTAGGGATATAATGGGCAAATTGTCCCAGAACCACTTAAGATCTACTATACCATGCTAAGAGATTTATCCTAGTACTTTTAAAAATATGTATAGCTAGTTATAGAGAGTAGCAATTATTATAGTAATATACCTGTAACGTACATTATAAGCGAACGGCGCATATAGGCGAGTGGCGCACTGATAAGGGCTAGTATGGAAATCTGGGCACAACACTAACAAACATGTTCCCAGATTAATCCCGCTGTTAGTGTTGCGCCCGAATTTCCATACTGGCCCTTATCAGTGCGCCACTCGCCTATATGCGCCGTTCGCTTATAATGTACATTAATAGCATTTCAAATATTACAGTAGTTACTTATTCAATCTTAACTCCCACGCTCCAGAAAGCGCCATACTCGCCAGCATCCACCCTATATACTGTAACGGCACACAACGTGCAGCCATACCGCTGCGCCATATTCCTAGAAAAGGGTACAAATGATTCAATCCGACAGATTAAATTACTGGCTGCACTATGAAGCTGTAACAACTGGCACCTGTCGCCGGGCGTTGCCGACCTGACCAGCCGTGCCGTTACATATACTACACGTAGATTTGAGCTCTCTGTTCTCGACCAATGGCCTACTTGGAAGGGGCTTGGAGAACGAAAAATCCCCATGGCGCAAGGTGCCCTGTTCGAGAGGAGAGATCACCAGCTCGACTCGCCGGCCCAAACGCCAATTTCCGAACGCTAACCGCTCCCGCCCCCTTGGCCGCCGTCCCCTCGAAGCAAAATCCATGGTCCCAGGATTTTCGTAGCCATTCACCTCCTTCGGGAGCTGAGCGGTGAGCTTTTTGATGTTTGCCTCCTACAATTCAATTTTTTAGCTACAGGTTGAGTGAGTCCAGGAGGCCAGCTTCATATTGTGCATCTATCTCCCTTTCTTTTAGAGACACGTCCATACCCAGGTGAGCAACAGAGAACACATGGAACACTGCTCGACCACCGGGTTCTACTCTATGAAACATGCTATGTGCAGACTAGAAGGTGCAGATCTGGTCCTTTCTGAACCCAAGCTCTTCCAAGATCCCCGGCGTCCTGCCGAACCGACGTCGTGTCCCAACAAGAGCGCTCTCCATCGCCGGCGGCCCGCAGATCAAGACCTTGGTAGTTCCCGCCCTGGCCGCTTCGTCGTCGTCGAGAACCTTCGCCAAAAGCTCCTTGGTCACACGGCCCCGCTGAAACGGCGAGCCGGGCTCCGGGTTGCTGACGGTGTAGACGACCTTGAAGCGGTCGGGGAACTTCTCCTGGATGGCGTCGAGCTCCGCCTTCAAGAGCACGTCGCGGTCGTTGTTGGCGCCAAACACGAGTGTGGCGCGCGTCTTGTCGTCGCGGTTCTGAAGGAAGATGGCCTGAACCAGCTGATAGATGGGCGTGATGCCCGCGCCCCCCGCGATCAGGACAACGTGCGGGTGCTGGTTGGGCGTCCACGGATATCCCGGCAGAGCGGCAACGAACCGAAGAGACTGCCCGGGCTTCAGGGAGTGTAGGTATGTGCTTGCTTTGCCGTTGGGGTACCGCTTCACGAGCAAGTCCAGATGCCCAGGTACGTCTGTGTCGAAACCGTCAGATGAGATCACTAGAATGAGGATGCGTCTATATATGCACGTACCCAATCGACTAACAGGGGTATAAGGCCTCAGAGTCGGGAAGAAACTATCGTGGGGCCAGGAGACGGTCAGCAGTGAGGCTGTCCATCCATTGTCGTTAGTAGCCAACTCGGGCATGTCCTGGAAGCAGGGGCACACCCACAGGTCACCGAAAGCCCACTGACAGCTTCCGGGTCTGGGAATTCGAAACGCAGCCGCTTCACATCGTGGGTGACTTCCTCGCTGCTCTTGAGGCGCAAAGACACCATGCTCAGGCCCGAGGAGAAGACCCGCGAGGAAGCGATTGGCTTCAACATGTTCTGACGGCCAGCCGGCTTGGCGACCTCGACGGGACCAGACCCCGTACAATGAGCGGACGCTTTAGCAGACGGCTCCGCGCAGCGAACGCCGCGAAGAAGAGCGAACCCCAGCCCGGCGGCGGCGAGAGCACCTAATGTTGCTGCGCGTGGACCACGGAGGAGGCTGGATGTCGTCATCTGGCATTGAAGGTCTGAGAAGTTGGTGGAATCTGACTTGTCTAAGACATTTCGTGGAGGGCAGCTGGGGATTGAGCGACATCAGTTATACCCTTGGACTATGTCGAGAAGTCAGAGCCAACGGCGGCTCAATCGGCCCATGGATCGGGCATCTTACGTCCCCAGCAGGGAATTCCCATCTCGTGTCCCCATCAAAGCAACCTGCGCGAGTGTAATATCGGCTCGTCTCGAGACATGATGGCTCTTCGACCGTAGGGGTCGGGGGGCTCCGATTGCACTGAGGTGATGTTCGGAATGCGAGAGTACAACAGATAATTGTCCTGGAGGATCCACTCACGTTCCTGTGACTACTGTGTATCAAGTATTTACCGGGCTCCGATTGGCCTATTCGTAGTCGTAAAGCTCCACTTTCAGGGCTGACTTGCCAGACGAACCAAGACCAGCAACGGGAGAAGCCGGGGTTCACCTCAACTGGTAACCTTCAGGTCATCTCCAACCGTAGCACCATCACTGGATTCGGCATGGAAATACCAGGCGCCACCAAGCGAACCCGGGCAAGTAAGCCGAAAGTGAGGACCGGTTGCATTACATGCAAGTATGTCGATTCACGTCCCGAGGATGGTATCCGGTGACAACTTGTTTTCACCCATGCATCATATTCTGACCATGCAATGGCCCAGGATCCGACGAGTGAAATGCGATGAAGCCAAGCCGCGGTGTCATCGGTACGCTCTTGCTGTTTGAGGCTTAGGGTAACCCTAAGCAACAGTAGTCCCCCAACTTGCTCACAACCCACGTTTCAGCTGTACCAGCACGGGGAGGCAGTGCGACGGCTACCTCGCCGCCGTGTCGTCGGTGCCGCCGTCCGTCCGAGCCATTGGCGGGCAGCGGCAAGGCCATGAGCCCTCCCAGCAGGAAAACAGGGCCCTGGGCTTCTTCTTTCGCCAGACCGCTCCCGGGCTCTCGGGCTTCTTTGGCCAGGCTTTCTGGAGAGGGTGCGTCCTGCACCTCAGCATCAGCGAGCCTGCCGTCCGGTACGCATTGACATCGTTGGGGACCATGCACGAAGCCTTGTGTCGTGATGGGGTTTGTGACCCGACGACGTTCGCGCTGCATTCGTACAACAAGTCCATCCGCTCACTGGCACACAAGGGCGCCGCCGGCCCGGAAACGGCCATCACGTACCTCATTTGCAGCATCATCTTCACCTGTTTTGAGTTTCTGCGTGGCAACGTCGAGGCGGCGGTTACCCACGTGAACAGTGGGATCAACATACTGGGCATGGTGCGGCGTCAGGCAGAGGTTTCATGTTCCAACGGTTCCCCTGGAGGAGAACAGATTTACCCTTCGTTTGAGTCCAATTTCGTCGAGACTGAGCTAGCGCCGATACTGAGCACACTGAGCATTGCCACTTCCGAGTTCGGCTCGCCCGACCACGGCTTCTTCCTGAATCCGGTCGACGCAAATGGATTGTTTGTTTTCTCGGACACCTTTGACTCTGTCGCCGAGGCGAGATGCGGGCTGATTGACCTGACGACGGCCTTGATCAAGGCTAGACATGACTATATCGGGGCTTCGACCCGTGCTGGCTCGAGTACGAAGTTGTTGGAACGCCTCCGGCAAGATCTCGAGCGGTGGAGGGTGAAGTTCGACGACGTCGTTCGACGGCAGCAGGACGCCTGGGGCCGCAGGGACAGAGATGCTGCTGACGTGGTCCGCATCATGTTCCTCACCACACGCATCGGAACTTCGCTTTGCTTCTCTGATGGCGAGAGCGCGTGGGATTCGCACAGGGCAGGTTTTGAAGACATCGTCGCCCGGGCCGAGGCCTTGCTCTCAGACCGCAACTCCAGCAGAGAGGCTGCCCAAGGCTTCTCTGTCGAGCTGGGCCTTACTTGCCCCCTGCACATGGTCGCATGGAAATGCCGCTGGCCGCACATCCGCCGCAGGGGGCTCGCGCTGGTGCGGCGGCTACCCAAGAGAGACTTTATCTTCGATTCCGAGCACTACCACGCAGTGTTTTCGCGCATCATGGCCATCGAGGAAGCCCACCTCGACCTTCCCCCCGGCACCTCGCCGGAGGAGGACACACTGCCTCCTGAACATGTGCGCGTGCATCATTTTTATAGCGTACCCAGGTTCGAACTCGGCCGAAACATCTACGCCGTTACTTTTTTGACGAAGCCAAACGGTCTGGACCGAGAATGGCAATACCGAACCGAGTATCTGAACCTCGATACGCTACAAAGTCTGGAGGCAGGAACAACGGGCCATATGGCACCGGTCTCGAATCCGCTCCCGGACCTGGTCAGGGCCATCATGGTCCAGGGAGCGGGTTAGAATCGCGGCGTTGGCGTGTTTAGTAGGGATTGGCGTATTCGGGTGATTGATGGGATAGGTTACTTGTTTGAAATCGGTGGGGCTAGTTCTGAAGGCGTCCCTCTTTGGACATGAAACAACCATAGAGGAGGTGTGGTTGACCATACGATCTGAGTGTTGAATGTCGGCATTTGGAGGAGGTTCTTATTGCCGCTGCGAGCTGCTGAATAATCTTGGTGGGTACGTCGCGCGGGGCAAAATGGGGGAACGGGGAGCGACACAGAAGGCACACATTACAGATACTTATCAATCTCTTGGATTCACAGATCATGAACTGACTGAGAGTAGAGTCGACTACACATCGCAATTTCGTGTGCAAGGCATCTCGCTCATAAGACATTTCCCAATCTTGACCGGCTGGTTCACCCGACACCCAATCTACTCACCCACGCCTCTCAGCATCACCAACTCCCCTCGGCTCACCATGCCGGTCCCCGATCTCCCCGTCCTTCCCACCGAGGACTCTCTCCTCACCCAGAAATTCGGCCGCGAGATAGCAAACTACTTCTCCGGCAGCCCGCTCAACCGCCTCTCCTTCCTGCGGTCCGACCCCGTCTTCCTGCGCTCTGCCTTCTCCCACCGCCACGCCCGCTTCCTGCTGCTCAACAACCTCCGCCCGCTGGTCCGGTCCGACGACCCGGCCTGTCTCGCCTTCGCCACGTACGCTGACGTGGCGCCGCTGACGGGGCTAGACCCCTTCGCCAAGAGTGAGGAGGAGCAGATTGCCGAGTACGACTCGAGCCAGGAGCAGGTGGTGATTGTGTTTCTGGGGATTGAGGAGGTAGTACTAGGGGAGGAGGAGGAGGTGTTTAAGTATAGGGACTTTAGCGGGACGCCGTACTTTGCCGTCGACGTCACGCCGCGGGGAAGGGTGGTTGGCGTGGCCGAGGAGTTATGCCGCGCTATGGAGGGTAAGGGGTATGCGTTCCACGACGAGTCGCCGCGGCATATGGGGCTGCACGCTGGGCAGGGTAAGTGTTTTACCTTCTTCCCACTACACAACTTAACACCACCTACCCAATCAAAGAGAGCACCTTGTGGCTGATGCAGGACTCCATGTATTGTACAGCCGCCATGTACGGCCAGGCGCGCGCGCTCATCGACTGGAACACGCGCACGCCCTTTTGCGCGCAGTGCGGACAGCCCACGCTCTCGGTACACGCGGGCACGAAGCGGGTATGCCCGCCCGCGGACCGCGCCGGCGTTGGCGCCGGGCAGGTGCCGCGCGAGCGCAAGCCGTGCGCGACGCGCGGGACCGTGTCCAACCACAGCTTCCCGCGCACCGACCCGACCGTCATCATGGCGGTCATCAGCGCCGACGGGACCAAGATCTTGCTCGGGCGGCAGCGGCGCTGGCCCAAGTACTGGTTCAGCACCCTGGCCGGGTTCCAGGAGCCCGGCGAGTCCATCGAGGAGGCGGTGCGCCGCGAGGTCTGGGAGGAGAGCGGCGTCCGGGTCGGGCGCGTGATCCTGCACAGCTCACAGCCGTGGCCGTTCCCCGCGAGCTTGATGATCGGGGCGATCGGCCAGGCGCTACCGGGGGATGGGGAGAAGATCTACCTGGGCCATGATGCGGAGCTCGAGAGCGCAAAGTGGTTCCCCCTGGACGAGGTTAAGGAGGCCTTGCTTACGGGGACCAGCGGGCTGGGTGAGGCGGCGCCGGCGGGGTACATGGAAGGCGCGCTGAGACTGCCGCCGCAGACGGCGATTTCAAACCGTTTGATAACCGCCGTGGTGGAGGGGTGGTTCATCCCGTCGAGGATGTAGAAATGTATGGTGGACGGCACTGTCATAGACACGATAGAATAGCACTTGTATTTGAAGAGCCCCTACTACGTGGTTACGGTGGACTAGTAGTGACGAGGACGCAGACCCAACCCTCGACTCCACAAGCCGTTTCATTTTGCTAAGATGGATCAGATCCAAGCAGTTCGCCTGGCATCAAGCCCAGGCATCTCTAGCACGCAAGTTGATTGGACGTAACTGCTGGCGATCGTAAGCTGACGCTGTTGGCATCACTTTCGCCGCGTTTGTGAAGTCACCTCGCTGCAGACACAAAGACCTTCACGATGGGGTATTTTTTGCGACGCCCAGGTCGATTGCCGGCTGCACCCGATTAGAAACGTCGTCAGCCGACCAAGAGCGACTGCCACCCAAACGAATAAACGTTCACATGGAGGCCACTTCAGCCCAAACTCAAAAGAAGCAAGGAAGCAAGAGGCTCAAAAATAGAGGAACATATCGAAACCACCCCACCGCCCCAAACGTGGAACACAGCCTGCGGCGATAAAAGCTAGGGAATAGGTGGTCAAAAGCATTGCTGTTGGAGGCCGGGAACGGAGGAAGACCCATGGGAGAGATCGAATAACCCTCAGCAAGCCACGATGTGGAGCCGCCAGACCAGCAACAGCAACAAGACAACTATCTCAAAAGCTCTTCACGTGGCGGTGTAGAGCGTGCGAGACGTTTTCCTTGCGATGTTGCTGGTGAGGAAGGAAAGGAAAGGAAAGGGCAAGAGAATCGCTGCGCGGCATGAAGTTTTTTTAAAGGGTGCTGCGGTGGGGCCCAAGTGTGGGGCAGATCATGGAGCGATGTGCTGATTAGGGTTAGCGCAGGGCCACAATCGGTCCAAGACTCCAAGATGATTTCAATGGGAATTTCGAGGACCGGAGATTAATTCGAAGGGTTGCTACGTGAGCAGATGCAGCAGCTGGACCAACACTACTTGAGCGGTGCCTATCAGCATTGAATGGAAACATCATGGGCGGCAGACAAGCTAGACAAGCGGTGCGCGTTATGTTAGAAACGGCCATATAAACACCAAAATCAGTCCCAGACAGATCACTGGGCAATATTTCCATTAATCATGCTGTCGGGCGGTCGCCCGCGAGGTCTGACTAACGTATGCTACCGAACCAAAATAGTGCCCTGTGCGGCCCAAGACCCCAGCCCCTTTCTCACCCCCTTAATCCGCTTAGTAGATGCGCTTAGGAGGCGACATGGTAGCCTTGATTGTCAGGCTACCAACGTTCTGCCAGCCCTTCTTGAGCAGCGACACCAGGTAGTTGATGGCCAACATGATGTTGGCAATCAGCTGCTCCTGGGTCATGCCGACGTTGCCAACAGCAACACCCATGCACAGAACCTTCTTGAGCTGGAACTTGACGGTCGACTTGACCTCGTTGATCTTGGCGCTCAGGTCGTCCGAGTGCGAGACCGGGGTGGGGAACTTGCCGGCTACAGAAGGAATTCAGTGTTTGCCACGGCAAGCAAACAGAGTCGGGGGAACAACGACGTAACGTACCCTTGGACAGACCAGGACCAAGAAGACGAGGGATCTGCTTGATCAGGGTATCGGAGGCGACGAAGGCGTCGTACTTGCGAGCCAACTTCTTGATAAGCTTTTTGTTCTTGTTGAGCTTCTTGAGGTCGTCGGCGCTCATGGCATCGACACCGCCGTGCTTGGCACGGTCGATATCATGCTGGTCACCCAGGATGCAGATGCTCATGTTCGGGCGGGGGACGGTGGGCAGCTTGACAGTGCCAGAGAAACCTGGTGTTCCGAGTCAGTTGCTGTCGGCAATTATCCTTTTTGGCTCGGCTCGACGTACGCTTGTCACGCTGGGGGTCATAGTTCTTCAGGCCGATCTGGAGCTCGACGGTCTCCAGGAAGTTGCGCTTCTTCGTGTTGTTGCTGTAGTCGAGAAGCTCAGCAACGTTCTGACGCACACCGGCTGCAAATCCGTCAGTTTGGTGATCGCAAGGAGAAGTATCGATGGCGGTAAGAACATACCGACGGTAATCTTGGACATTTTGACCGTCTTCCTGTTGAATCTCTTTCAATAGGTGAGGTTTTTTGCGTCGTTGACGAGAAGGCTGCGGAGTTGGAGATTCGAGGAATGAATTTGCGGGTTCCTCGGGGCAATTTTGTGTGTGCCAGAAGGCGGGCGACGCTAGTCCGCAAACGGTTGGCCGTGGTGGGGGTCCCGCAAGTGCAATGGTGTTACATCATGGTGTTGACAGTCGACGTCCCTCGAACGACTTCCCTCAACTCTCGGACACTTTTCTGCGGCTCTCGGATCTCTAGGTTTATTCCAGCAGTTGAGTTACCGGCTGCGTGCGTCATCTGAATGGAAATGGAGCCCATTCCGAAGCCAATGTTCCTCCGCAATGGCATGCGCACAAGGCGCCGTCATCACAATGATGCAGCAATCGAGCGCCTGTCTGAGCATTCTCGAGATCTGCTCCAGCTTCTTGCCCAAAATAATCGCCATGCAAGCCAACCCCGAGGGCAACCTCTCCCCTCACACCCTCACAGGTCGTGGTGCTGTTATCCCCTTGCCTCATTCCATCCGAATTCTGTTTTTGTGGGGGATCTGCAACAACGCGGCTCGCTCTTGCTCTAGGTATCGCGGCAGCAGCCTCGGCGAGATATAGCAGCTGCCCTGCGGTTAGCACCTCTCGCCTCAATCCCATCTCCACGGCGCAGACCGTTGCGTCAGCAGTTGAGCTCCGACGTGTTGGATGATTGTGTGTCTGCCCTCTCCCTTGGCCGCCGGGTTATCTACCGTTCGCCTTCCTCGGTGTCAGAGGAGGAGAAAGAGGGCGACGAGGCGCACGGGGATGGAGAGGCGGACGATGGGGTGTCAGAATCACTCTGTGACTATGCGGCGGCGGCGGTGGCGGACCTAAGAACCCCCGACTGGCACAACCCTGTGGTAACCATTATTGTGCCAGAAGAATCCAATGGCAGAGATGATATTGGAATAATCCACAAGGATTCCACTTTTCCAGTTCTCCTTCCGAAGCGACTGGGTAATTCGAACCCAGCTCGCCAGAAAAATTTCAGCACCAGTTGCATCTGGCCTGGATCGCTGTCGCCTTCGGGAATTTACTCATATACGGTTGCGAAGTACTGAGAATGCGGAAGTATCTCTCGGTCGCCGCACGTGCGCAGCCTCACGGGTACGGGACGTACTGCTCCAGGCAGGCTGCTGCAAAGATATCCGCCGTCGATCTTCAACCAGCCGAAGCGCTTCTTCATGCGCGGAATCGATGAGACCGTTTCAGCGTCGGAATCCTTCACCTGCTGCCGCTGGCGGCCCTCGTCGGAGAACGCAAGTAGGTTGTCCATGGCGTCCTCGTAGGTGGACGGCTGCGCGTGGACTCGAATGGGCAGCTTCGTGTCGTGACTAACAGCAGCCGCGATTTTCTGGAGGAGTGCAGCATTCAAGCCCGCCCGCCTTCCCCCCACCCCCAGCTGGGCGGCATAGTACATGAACCAGCTCTGCGGAGGTGGCTTGGTGTCCCAGAACTTGCTGGTATACCAGTGTCAAGCGGCGGCACCGTGGCCATGCCACAATATGATTGACGCACTACTACGCACTACTTTGATGACAAAGGGTCCACGGTCGCCCACCATGGCCTTCAAAGCGAGCCCGTCCAGTCCCCCGTCCAGCCGGGCAATCCATGAGATGGAGCTCAAATCAAGAGGGCACTACCGGAGCAGCGGTTGTTTGAACGCTACTTCCGAGCAATCGGGGTGGCCAACCATCAGCTCTTCAGCGTAAAACCGCTGCTGGGCTGCGATCGCCCGACGCCGTCTATTAAGATTTTTCCGACGCTCAAAGTCATTCATTGCTTTGAGGTCGGACGCATCGCTTGGGATGGCGGCATGGCCGAGCTGAATTGACGGTGAATTTGATGGTTTGCAAAAGGGGGACTCGGAGTCGCAGACCATGCATCGCATCGACCCAATGCAGCCCCATGAGCGTACGGCATCTGGAGCGTTGGGCGCTGCCACTGCATAAGATAGTGATGAAATCACCCTTACCCTCGAGACGAGAGACGGAGAGCAAAGCAAAGTCGGGGTGAAATGAATGAATGCTAGGAATAATACCGCTTATAAGTTATGCACAGGACCAAACTTGAGGGTCTCGGTTCCACTCCTATGAACTCGTTTCCTTACTCGAGAAATATGCATTGCCCGCATATAGAAGTGCAGAAGTTGTTCAACTGACAGCACCTGCTGCTAGTATGAAGCTGAACGGGCGTAAATGGGTTGTTGTGGAAATATAAAATGCCTGGTAAGTCGCTGGCGAGTACCTATGCTAATCAGATATGAACTGTAGAACCATATCGGCATGGTATTACACATTAGTGACGTTTAGAAGTTCCCACTTCCGTCCATTCAGTCTCCTATTCGCTTCCAGCCACACCTTGAGTGCTCCTGGTACTGCTCCTTATGTCAAGAAAGTCCTAACAGCCATGTGCCAACTGCAACCCTTCCCGTTGCTCGCATCCGGTAATATTTAAGTGGTCTTGGCGATGTGGCGAGTGTAGTAGTTGCTGATAGTGCTCGAAGAAACTAAACGAGGTAGAAAGCCGTTGATTGAGCGTGTGCAGGAACTCAGGCATCGACCCTAGGTAAGACGCTCCCTCCTTCCAATCCTCTGCCCTGCCGCGGTGGGTGGTGTTTGACTCGAGCCTGGTAGTAGCCGTAGCCTTTGAGGGGCCGGAAGAAGTGGATGTTAGTCAAGGAAAGATGAGTGTCGATTGCAATATCAGAGCATATGCTCAGCTCTGAGATTCAAGAAACTGTCATGCACTTAAGGGTGCCTTTCACCTACCAGGGTCGAACGGAGCACCTTCGGGTTCACTGGGGTCGCCGCTATTGGGCCTCGCTGGAATCGGATCATGGCGGGGAGTTGGGTCGATGCTGAGCACAGCCGAACTCATGACAGGTGACTTCGCGGGGGGTCTCAATTTGGCTACTCCTGAGCTTGATAAGTGGTCAAAGAGCCGGATACTTATGTGAGCTCCTGCGAAGGTCTTGCCCTGTTCTTCTAGCCCTCGAGATTGCTTGCTGCTCTTATACCACCGTGGTCCATTGCGTCGACCAGGACAGTTGGCTGGGAGATGACTCGTCGGATTCGCAATCGGGGTTTCCGGATCGTGGAGGTTCGACGAACCGAAGTGACAGCCATCGCACAAGCCGCCGCCGTCCAACCCCCAGTGAGCGCACAAGATCACCCTTGTCGGCGGCAGCAGAGCGCAGCCTCCTCTGTACAAAGGCTTGTCCTGCAAAGGATAGGCTAGCAACTCGTGTTCCTTCTAGAGACGAGCCCACTGGGCTTGAATGACGACTAAACAGTGCTTCCCTCTTACAATCCAAAGTCTCTGGGCACCAAGTAGCAGTCGCTACGCCGACGGCGCGAATCAACGGCCATGGTCGACTGCGCACTACACAGAGAAAGGCGGCTGGAATGATGAGACCGTACACAGGTTGTTCAGGCAGGATCGGTCGCAGGGTGGTGATCGACGGTCTTAAACCTGGGGCGGGCGACCAGAGACTGCAAGCTCAGCCAGAAACAGGAACGAAACTCGCCGAGAAGGTGTTGGTGGAACTAGAGTCTTCCTAATGCGGAACAATGCCGCCGGGTGCCGGAGGCTGTGTGTGGGTGTGATATGGAGCGCCTTTTCTCGTGGTGGCCAGAAAGGGCTCGTCCTTGCCACACTAGGGCTCCTTCAGCACCGGCCGGGCCCATTGTGCACAGCGTTAGCCATCCATCCTCATGCGAGCTGCCGTCCTCGTGGATTCGGGAGCAGTCTATGGGGTGACAACTGGGCCGTGGTGGATGGGCATAGCCTTCCAAGACAGATGGGTCAACCTGCCTACAGGTGAGATGCAACCCCATCGCGAGATTCTGTCAAGTCCTGACAGTGTAACCCGTCACCAGGGTGGACCACCTTGCTTAGTTCACGGGTACAGTCTGTGGACAGCCGCAAGTTATTCCGTCATGACGGCCCAGGGGGCCAGGAACGTGTTGCATCAGCTTTCCAACACGGAGGCGGATTCAAAGGTGGAAGCATGTCGGAAAGTCGCATTTCCAAAATCTGCGCCATCGACGCTGCGGATTTTGGTCCTAAAAGAAGTTTAACGAGACATCCCGTATTCTCTGGCACGCAATATGACCGATCGTGAGTTGGCATTGTCAGAACCGGTTGATTTATGGTGCGGAAAGTCTTAAGGGAAAAGGAAAGAGGTTTCTCGGAAGGTGTCGGAGTTTTCAGTGTATTGGCGGCATGGGGCCAGGTGTAACCGGCGATTTTCGGGCCGGCAGCAAGAAATATGGGTCACGGCGCCACATAGAAGTTGGAGCAGGACCTGCCCCACTCTCTCCTCGCTTGATAAAATCACCGAACTCAAAGATTTTCCTTTCTCACCTGCAACAAAACTGGACTTGCAAGACCAAATTTTGTGCAACGCGCCACGCTCTCGCCTGAGCAACCGCGATTTAACGTCGCATTTTTCTCCGCCGCCTCAATCGGGGCACAATCAGTCGTACTGAGACTTCCTTGTCATGTCGCTCGCTGGCTCTGGAGGGAGTCCTCGGGGTCGGTTGTCTCTTCTGTTCTCGTTTGTAACCTCGAGTGCTGTTTCTTGCCTCCGCGAATTGCTTTGGAATTTGACTGCTCTGGTTTCTCCAGACAAACTTGAGCGAAACCACAATTTGCCTGCCTCTGTGCTCTTTCGATGCGCAATAGGTTAACTTATATTCATCGTTCGCAGTGGAAGAACAACCCAACGGCCTAGACAGCCAGTCCAATCCACCCTGCTGCCGGGCTCTTCACGTACGGCAGCGGGACTAATACGGACAGACAGCTCATATTTCCAATACGCCTTATCTTCTCGTATACATATCCTTCGTGACCCGGTGACCCCTCATCAGTCATATCGACATGCACCCAAAAAAGTCTGTTCTTGGTATCACATCCCGACAGTCACAGCCGGCAGAAATAAAAACGAGAAAAAAGTGTGTACAGCAAACGGTTCAGGTTTTCCCGTCAAAGATGTACTTCTCGTCGGTGAAGGAGAGCAGGAACTTGGCGACCAGACGGCCGGTGTAGTTGTAGGCCACATTTCGGGGATACGGGTGGTCCTCGATGTTGGGCAGGATCGGATCGGCTGTCAGGTAATCCAACTCGGACCCTATCTCTGATTAGGATTTTGCTTGTAAAAAGCCCGGAACAAGCACACTTACAGTCGTCGTCAATAAAGCGTCTCAGCTTTCGCACCATGTTGGCGGCATCGCGGTCAAGCTCGCCCAGTTCGAAGCAAGCATCGTCCACCAGCGGGTTGAAGCTGCGGGCGGCGGCGTCTCGCGAGTGCGTCTGGTAGATCTGGTGGAATTGGAAGGCGAACTGCTTAAAAGGCATGTTCTCGATCTGGCCGTTGACTTCGAGTACAAACGACCGCTTCCACGCCGGGGCATAGTGGTGCCGCAGCTTGATCTCATTGTCCGAGACGACAAACAGGTCGGCCGCCAACTCGACCGACTCCATAAACAGGCACAGGATCAGGAACGACGCCAGACACGGCGCCCACTCTCTGCGCAGCTTGGGCTTGAGCGACTTGCTGAAGTTCTCGAACAGCAGTTGCATCTCGCGGCACAGCATCTCGTCGATGATGGCCTTGAGCTGCCGGTTCAGCACCCGCGGCGTCACCCACGGAATCCCCTGCGGCACCAGCCCCGTCGACTGCAGGTCGGCGATGTTCTTCTGAGTCAGACACAGATGCCGCGTCATGACGAAGTGCATGGCGTAGATGGACAGCGCCCGCCTGACCATGGGCACGTCGGCCCGGCGCGCATAGTCATGCACGATCCTTAACACCCTCCGCGGCAGCTCGGTGTGCTGCGGCGGCGGCGTGACCAGCTCCGCAAACCTCGGCTCGTCCACCATGGCCTGGACATACTCCCTCACCCGTCTCTTCAGCTCCGCCTTCTGGCCGCCGTCCCCGCCCTCCTTCCCGTCGCCCTTGCCCATCTCCAACCCAATCGGCGCGGCGCCCCTCGAAACCAGATCCATCCCGTTCCGCCCCATCATGACATGCCAATGCTGCAGCACGTCCATCGTCCGCGCCGTAAAAAACTTGGCCTGCACCCGCAACACGGTGGCCTGTCCAAACCCCACGCCCGAAACCAACTCGACCGTGCAAGGCACCTCCACCCCGCCATTCACCGTAAAGCTCTCGACGTTCCCTTCCACAAACCTCACCACCTCCTCCTTCTTCAGATGGCTCCTGATGAACCCGGGAAACAGGATGCTCGTAAAGTCGCCAAACTGCCAGCACACGACCTGCGGCACGGACCCGGCCAGCCGCAGGCAGTTCCGGCAGGGCCGCTCCTTGTCGCAGCGCACCTTGCGCGCGTGGCAGCTGAAGCAGGCGCCCATGCGCCGGACCACGAGCGCCGACTGCTTAGTGTCGGTCGCGAGCGGGCCCTTGCGCCCGCGCTGCGTCGGGCCGCGGGTGAGCGCGTCGAGGCATTCGAAGGGGTTGATAGGGTGGTGTGTGTGCGCGCCGCCGGAGGAGCCTGAGGAGGAGGAGGAGGCGGAGGAGGAGTTGGAGAGGAGGTTGGCGGCTGCTGCGGCGGTTATGGAGGACGGGGTGACGATGAGGAATTTATTTGCTGCCGTGCTGCTGTTGTTGCTGCTGGAGGTTGAGCTGGTGGGGAAAGGGTATGGGGCAGCGGTGGTGGGGGATTTGCGCTTTTGGACGCGGTTGGTGGCGTTGAGTTTGCGGGAGGGAATCGCTTTCGGAGCGGTGGTCGTCGTCGGCGCCGTGGGTGACCTACGGTGGTCGGGGAGGCCGGCTTCGGTTTTAATGTGGACTGGTGAGCGTGGGCTGGTCGTGGCGGGCGGGCTGACGGAGGATTGGAGGGAGGGCGAGTAGTACTCGTGCGATGGGCTGGGCGATTTATTGAAACTCGGGTCTTCGATGATGAAGATGGGAGAATTTTCGCTGACGGGTCGGTGGTCGTGGTTGGTGTTGGCGTCGTTGGCTGGGAGGTTGACATGCTGCCATGGCGGCATCTCGACGCCCGCCGGTAGCAGCGGTGAGTTCTCGACGTTGACGCTCTCGACGGGTTGCTGTTCCTCCAGGATGCTGGCAGACGAAAAGTGGTTGAAGACGGGATCATCTGGAGAGATCGTCAGCACAATCTGAACTCCATCTTGGCCAGGAGCTCGCATACTCTCACCGCTACTGAACTGGTCATCGAAGACGAGCTCGGTTTGCGGCAGGAAATCCAGCCCATTGTGGGCCAGATCGTGATTGAGGAAGGCCAGATCCACCAGCCCGGTGCCATCGCCAAATGTTCCACTGATGCTCTGCTCGACGGTCCCCGAGTAAGGGCTCAGCTGGTCAAGGTTCCCGCTCATCATGGGGGACGGCAGGGCAGCTGGCGACGGCTCCAGCTCAACGATCTGTCCATTGCCCAACACAGCCCACGAACTCCCCAAGCTGTGCGCGGCCGGGCTCGAGAGGAAGCTGCCCAGCGAACCTGAGCTGGGATGGCTGATTGCCGTCCAGAATTCATCCTGATCGTTGCCGTTCGGGTCTTGGTTCTGTGGATAGTCGAACTCGAATCCTGATAGCGGCGATGTTCCCGACGAGACGGATGCGGACGCCATGGCAGTGGTCACGATGCCCGTTGCACCAGGCCACTCTTCGTAGCACTGATTCTGCTGTCCTTCGAGCGTCCTGTTTTGAGTTTTGCGTTGTCGTCCACCACTGTCTGCCGCCAACCGCGGCCAGAGCGCGCCGGACGGTGCCGTTGTCCTCGGTCAGGGGCCGCGGAACGTAGCGCGGGGGCGAGTGTGTCTCCGATCTGGCGGGCCTAAGCGGGCCTGTGAAAGGGAGATCGAAACACAAGTGTGTCCTGGATCCCAGAACTGCGGTGCTCAGAAGCCACAGAACGGACTCGACGAGAAATATCCTTTCACAGCGCATCAAGTTTCCAGATGAACCCTTGCCGGCACCCTACGGGGCGAGGTTTGGTCTTAAGGCAGGCGATCGCATGGCAATTCCCATGCTCAGCCTCGAAGGGGCTAAACTCGAACGAGCGACCGAATGGGAGGGCAGTCGGGCGGAACGTGGCCAAGCCGGGAGACAAGGGTTTCTGGATCGCCCTCTTGGCATAAGCTAACCCCTTCTGATGACCGAGGCCACCGGGCTGGGCCGCCGTGCTTCTGCCGTGCACACCGAGGATCCGGGAGAGGAGGAGCACTGGGCTCTATGTAGATGAATAGGGGCCCGCCCCCGGTCCGCCTGCCGGCGAGGCATGGGCGACCCGAGTGCCTTTCCAATCGGGGTTTTTTTGGCTTATTATTGTGGGTGAGACACACTTCACGTTGTACACATTTTTCTCCAAGATTCTCTAAGGCCATTATTTCGGTCGTGTAAGTGATGGAAACAAGCTTGTTGACCTCGGAACTTGGATTGCCGTGCTGGCATCTATCGTTAGGGCCGACAAGTCGGAGTACCACAGCATATAGCAAAGACGACAAACAGAATATCAACCAGACCGAAACCGGTCGAATGACGCGAAATGGAACTCCAGCGAGAGAACCCAACGGAACAACCTCCGAGTGCAGTAATCACCAGATTGCCTCAGCCCCATTCGTGTATAAGAGGTCATCAGAAACCTAAGTTCAGCAGGAAAGTGATAGCCAAAACAAAAACCAGAGACCAAGCAGAAATTAAGGCAAACCGATGTACCGCCGCCCAGCATAAAAAACAGACATGACAGAGATCAGCTGCAGCCAAAACATAGCAACCGGGCGTCTTGGATCGAGCACCCATCCACCCAAATCAAATCCTCCCTGGAATGCACTCTTAACCAGAGAGAGCAGTAGCTCACCACCCACTACCGCTTCTCAGAAACGCTCCTCGAGTGTCCCAGCCAGGCTCGAGAAATCCAAGGAAAGAGGATATACCAAACCACCCAGAGTACAATCGTTACGCGGCGCCCAGTTTATCCGACAAAGAAAGAACATGCAGCGCTAGCGTGGTCGTGTAAATCGGGCTCCTCAGAGCCCGGAAGTATAAACGTAAAGCAGTGGCATCGTTCAGGTACCTCCATTCCCGCCCAGCAGCCACGCAAAGAACGTAGCACAAAACATGATCATGTGTATCCGTATCAGTCTTGCAGATCTAGTCCGGCCAAAGGGACAGGTCTGAGGAGCAGAAGCATCCGACGAGAATGGGGTGTGTTTGCGTTTGTAGGTAGGAAAAACGTTGTGCGGTTGGGTCGTCCAACCAAGCCGTGGTTAACACGGCCATTAAATCGTAGGGGAGAGAAAGAAGAGCTCATGAGGGGACCCCTTGCCTCCCGATTTTAACGGAACCTCATGCCAGCAGAAGCCGCCGCAGCTGCCGCAACGCGCTCCTGGATTCGCTGCTCCGTTGAAACGTATAGTCTGTCGAGATAGTCCTGAAGGAGTTAAAGTCAGCTTTGTAAGGTCTTCTTCGCAGTGTTGCAAGGGAACAACAACAACAGAGCGAAAAGCAATGGCCTCCATCCTTATGTTTACCCCTGAACCAAGGTAGAAAGAAAACAAAAGCATGAAAGCGACAAGAGCAAAGAAAGAAAATGTCGGGGAAAACCCACCATAGCCTGCGCATCCATCAAGATCTTAGCCACCTGTATCCCCGCCGAGATGAGCTGCAGAATATTCCTATCATCCTTGAGCGGGCGGGACTGGTGCTTGGCGGCGTGGCGCATCTCGAGCGAGTTCTCGAGCACCGTGACAAACTGCTTGATCTGGCCGTTGTACAGCACGCGCGCGGGAATCCGCCGCTTGGTCGCCAGCCGCTTGAGCAGGTACACCCACTCGGTCCACTCGCGGTCCTGCGGCCGCTCGACGGGCCGCATGTCGTGCGTCAGCGGGATCGGGAACTGGTACTTGGCGACAAAATCGTAGGCGCACTGCGACAGCCGGTCGTTGACGCTGTTTAGGACGCTGTCCTGCTCCTGCACGACGAGGTGCGTCGGCAGGCGTGGCAGCTCCCGCTCCTGCAGCGCAATGTACTCCGGCGGCGGCCGCTTGAGGAACTGGTGCGGGCCGTCGAACTCGTCTCGGTTCGACGGTCGTCTCGGTGCAGCAGCGCGCGGCTTGCCGCCTCCCCCGCCTCCTCCTCCATTCATCCTACTGCTGCCGCCGCCCCTGCTGCTCGGCGCCGCCGCGGATCCGGGCATGGAATTCTCAAGCGAGTAGTCCGAAAGACTCGCGGAACCAAAATCATCCATGGAATCCGATGGTGAATACCTCCCCTGGTAGGGCCCCTGGCTGGCATTTCCGGAATAGCTCGGCTGCTGGTCCCATCCCCATGACGGAGATGTGCTCTTGAAGGGTGCCTGGCTGGGTGTTGGGCTCGTGTACGGTCCTTGCCCTGGTCGAGGATTGCATGGTGCCGGGGGATAAGAAACGGAGGGTTCAACTGGCGCTCGAGCGAGCTGACTGACTCCTCCTGGTGGAAAGTTGCCCGGTATATCATGTGTGGAGGTAGCACTTTGGGCGTAGGCCACACTTGAACTGGCCAGTTATTCTCCGTGTCCTGAGGTAAGGGAGTCTCGGTGGTCATCTTACCTTTGGGGAAGAGACGGGGTGCTTCCCGTCTCGAATCTTGCACTATAAAACGGATTATTGTAGATGGGGCTTGGTCTGGCTGTTAGCTGCCATGTGCTCCTCTCTTGTCGTGATGGTTTCGAGATCTGTCCACACCTGCGTGAAGAGAGCCACCGCTCGTTAGCCATGGGAGCAGCTGAGCGGTAGGCGAAGTCTGCCATGATTCCTCGTTGTGTCACTTCACTCCCACGAATGTCTCCCTCCCCCGGCTGGGGATATTCCAGATACGGGCGTCTGGATGGCGCACCCGCGTCAACGGCAATGTCCTTTGGAAATAGTGCAAGCCAAAGAAAAAGGGTGAAACATAAAGAGAATGACCTCAGAAAGCAGGACTGCCAAGGTGCTCAGTTCTGGACCAAAAGGGGCAACCGAAGTAGGAAAAAAACCTGCAACCGGGATGTCCTGGGATAATGGCCGCCAACCTCAAGATTTTGGATCCACGGGACGGCGGGAACTTCACCGGGCTGCGCTCTTGGGCCGATAGAAACACCTGGATCCTGGGGAAAGGTCGGAGACCGTCGAGTCCACCGAATAAATTAGTAGTATAGTTACCTTCCGACGGGAAGAAAACGTGGCTCTGTTTTAACGTTATGATGGATGTGCGTACAGCGAGGTCAGCGAAGGGAAGCCTTGGGGTAGGTTCCACGATGGAGAACAATATATGCCCCCGCTGGGGCTGCGTGGCAAGGTTGATGTTGTCAGGGGCAGCAGGCGGGCAGGGCAGCAGACCGAGCAGACGACAAACAGGTGGACGGCAGCGACAGGTTTGTTGCTCCTCAAGGCTAACAGACAATGCACCTGTGGTCCGCCCCGAGCAAGCATCCGGGGAGCTGGGAGAAGGGTAAGATGGGCGGAGGGCGTCGTTGCGCGGTGAAGTCGCGCATGCAGTGGGAGCTCCGTGACCTCTCCTTGACGCCTGGGGGTGGAGAAACAGGGAATGAGTTGGGCGATGACGAGCGCGCGCGAGTGACGATCATCAGAGGAGAAAAGCGGCCCGAAGATTAATGCAAAAACGGCCATCCAATGGGTACTAGTAGCGAGTCTGGATCTGTCTCTGTCGCAAACCGTCCACCGCTGTTGTGTTGCCAGTGCCATGTTGGATGTTGTTGCGCCGCCGACATGGGAAATGGTAAGGTACCGTTGGGCGCCGATGAGATTTCGCGCTGGCTGGCGCTGTTGCCCAATGCCCAGACACCCCCAGATTTGCGATTGGTGCCAGGACACCGTTCCTCCCGGACAAATGGCAGTGACGGCACGATATGATTCGGAGCTGGTGAGAGGGTTGGGCAGGAACATGCTTTACTGGGTGAGCCCAACCATTCCGCAACCCTCCGCATCTGTCATGGGTGCCACGATGAGGTGCCCAATGCCCCTCTTCCCCAATTGCGATGAGGACGGGAGTTCACTAACCCGCCACTTGACATGCGTACCGTTTCCACGACCCTCGGCCGACGAACGACCTTAAAGAGGGGATTTGGCCTGCAAGTGTGGCCGAGTTCCTGTCTTCTGCTGGAGGGTTGATGCAGATTTGGGATGGCAGACTGCAATCGCCCAACATGTTGCGGTTTTGGCCGAGAATGGAACGACCGAAGACTCGCCAGCAGCGCCCGTGCTGCCCCTCACGTCAAGCGGTTCTGGGATTCGGTTGCCGAATTACTTCAGCAAATCCACGGTGCCCGAGCGCACTGGCTCTCAACAACACCCCTCAACGTCATCAACTTATTGGAAGCAAGACGAATCGCGTATTGCAATCCCTCGTTCTCTCATCATCGTCGTCCGTGAAAAAGTTGTGACACGCGGCGCTTCTTCGGTATAGAGAGGTGAACTGCTCAGGGCGCCACATCCCCTCGTTCTGTTCAATCATCGCCTGGCCAGTGTCCTCAAGTAGGATTGGTAAGATAGAGGCCGAGAATTGGGCAGTCCTTGGATCAGGGCTCTCACTGCGATCCAGGGTAAGCCCAGTGCATCAGGCCGGATAAAGCCAGGCGGGATACATTCAGCTGGGGGAATCCGGATCAGTCTCGATCAGTGCTGTGGTATCCTGTGCGGGTTTCCGCGCTTCGTCCAGGCATGTGAATTCGTTTATCGCATCGTCTCGGTGGGAGAACGAACGTGAAAGACCGACATCATCTGCTATGAATTTGTCGGTCATTGTCAACTCTCAATTGGCTCCCCATGCTGGACGGCGTCCGTTGGGATCCCGGCACCCATTCTGAGGCTCGTCTTTGGCACAATCTCAATGGCATAGACGTGGCTGCAGCTTCGAAGGTCCCTCGACAAGGACTCATAACGGGCTTTGCTTGGGCAACTGTGTCCTGGAAGCATCTGCGCTTTTGTACCAGGTGGAAGTCATGAAGACGGGGGGGATTCTGAACTTGTCTGTGAGTGCTCTTCACACAATGTCCAAAATGGTGTGCCAGCAGTTTCTGACTATAAGGACACAGACATTTGCACCGACCGACTACCTTACCATGTGTCGCCCCAGAAATGACAACCAATGCATGAGACAAAGGATGTTCTGCCTTGGGGTTTGATGGGGCGATGCCACAGATCCTCAACTGGCGGCCTTCGACACCCATTGTTCGATGGCTGGAGGATGTCTGATGCGCTTGATGCGCAAGCCATACACAACGCCTTTGTGAAGCTCGCTCGTCACCAGGATCGCAGAGAGCCCCTCATCCCTTGTCTCGAGACCTGGGGTGTGTTTCGATGGTCCCTCTCTTGCTCCGCAGTCCAGGCCTTGCACGCCCGAGACATCTCTTCTCTGAGAGGCCGAGGATGGGCACAGACTAGGTGGTGAGGCGGACCCCAGAGCTTTTGCTCGTTGGCTTGAGGTGAGCCCCTTCAATGTTCGCCTTATACAAGACGCCGTAACATTGTGCTCACCAGAGCCAGCAGCCACCACAGCCCCTATTCCCGGCGCTGGTCTTCGACAGGATCATGAGCGCATCGTACGGTCTCGTGACTGGGAGAGCGATGTCCACTGAAGCCTCAATGTGTCTTGCAGGTAGAGGCATCGTCTTGTTGCCAGGAGGTCCTGATGCAGTGCTGGCATGCCAGAGGATTTGTAATGGAGCATTCTCGAGGGACCTGTGAGTCACTGGGCCTGGACCAATGCTTCCTGGGTTCTGTCAATGGGATATTGTTCGGTCCAGCGACGGGGCGATGCCTCAGGTTGGGCGGCAAACGCGGAAGCGGGCAGAGTTCGCGACTCTCCTTCTGTTGCCAGCTCGGGATCGTTTGAGCTCCTCTGTCTCTGGCTCAGCACACCTTTCATCAGGCCAGCGAGGTCCAGACCACATGAAACGTCACCTTTTGCTGCAGAAGACAAGCCTGCCGCGCGCCAAAGCAATCAGCGTATGCCACACACGCAGCGGTCATCAACCTTGCCAACCATCTAAGACCACCATGCCACTCCATGCTACCAGCAACATCCTCTCGGCGTGCAGCGGGGATAGGGCGACTGCTGAGTCATTGGCGGTCTTGAAGATCCGAGTCAGGGCGAGCGGTCTTGTGCAGAAGGAAGACCAGATGCAAGCAAGCCTGACCGAGTCAGCTCACCGGCAGACCGGCTGAGCAGACGAACGAGCTGGTCCGACGCATCTTGCCCTCAATGGCCAGACACTGACCACTCAAACGCCGGATCCTGCACCAACGACCATGGCTCTTCCACATTGGTTGCTGACCGTCGTGTCGTCGGCGCCCCTCTTCAACGCAGGCCTGCGGCCCCGGCGGCAAGAATGGCAAGACAGCTTGCTTCCCTTTGACTGGAAGATGCGCCTCTGCAACACCGCGTGTCCATAAGAGCGGGAGTCAATCGCCGCTTGCTTTTCGAGGTGTCCCGTATCTCGGTGACAAGAGCCGTGACCCGATCGCAGTGACGGCTCCGGACACAGCGCAGAGCAATCGGCGGCACAGGCGGATCCCATTGCCGCCGGCCGTGTGGTCCACCCCACTTCGTTATCTTTTGTTGCTCTCGTCGATGAGCACTTTCAGCGAAGGCGGGCGAATCTGAAAGCAAAGCCGTCCTCCTCTCACACAAGTTGGCCGGAACAGTGGGCTAGCTCGTCTGCAGTGATGAGTTGGCAGTGCGCCTGCTGCCCCCGGCCCCCTGTAAATGCTGCAGGTTAGCCGTCGTCGCTGGGCTTGATAGGCCAGAATGGCTTCTTCTCCCCCCCCCGGCCCCCCCCCCCCCCCCACACCACAACATCCGTCAACAGGAAGCAGGAGCCAGAAGCGGTGTGCGCGAGACAGGCATGCGGTCAGCGAGGCCTGGCCTATGAGAGACACGAGTTGTCTCTGCCAGCTCAGCTTGCTCGAATGTGACAGGGCGTGGGTATGCAGACCGGCGGTGCGGTAGGAGCAGCGAGAGCGCGGATTGGTGAAGCGAAAGTGCAGGAAACCGCGGGAAGAAACAAATTGAAATGAACAAGCGACCGGGGCACGGAAGCGGGGCTCTTGCGATGTTGTTCGTTCATTGGATTGCAAGGGCAACAACGACCAGGGAGAAGTGCCAGGCATTAAAACCCGACTGCCCCTTCTCCTGCCCAACTGGATGCTTTTCTCCTAAACCTCTCAAACTAGAGCCCAACGACCTGCCGACGTTCCTGCCCAACTCGACAACGGAACCACTCAGCTCACACATCTTGCACGGCTTTTTTGCTGCCTTTTCATTCTTATACGCCAATTTTCCTGCTCCACCGCGCACTCTTCTCTCTTCCTTTTCCCAGGCCAGAAACATAGGATTTACTGCCACATCACGCCCGAGAATCATCTGTTGTACGGCAGCAGTTCTGGCAGCACGACATAATTCAGCCCAAGGATCATCTTACTACAAGGACTCTGACACACGGGAGCCCCCGTTGTTGTCTGCAAATCCGGATTTGAGCAATCAGTTTGCTCTTGAATGCCCCCAGGAAAAATTTCCATGGCTGTGCCCCGGACTGAAACCATGCCTGGCTACAATCACATTGAACTGGACGAGGTTCACACCCCCTCGAGGTATTTTGCTTTGCTTTCTTTCTGTCTCCCTGGGAGGTCCATTGTGCTTTTCATTTTTGGCTTCTATGTCATGTTGCGTCCCAAGTCATGTCGTTCATACTGTTCTATCAACCGGCCCGGCACCTCAGTGAGGCAAGCCTGGACAGCTGGCGACTCCTGACACATTCTGAGGACTGCCAATAAGGACCCATTGAGGATCATGCCGGGATTCCGGGATTGCCCCCGGAGAGCCCTATTTGGCGGACACATTCTGCCGTGGATTCCCAAGGACTACTGAACCTGGGTACGACTCGTCCGAGTCGAGGAACAGAACAGCCGACGAGTCTCTAGACTCTGGTTGCTTCTCAACGTCATTTGGCATCACTTGCTCTTCGGAGCGCAAGAGTAAGTATCACCCGCAACACTTGCCGGACTGGACCTTTCGCAGATATTCAGGGCCCCCTCCTCTTTTGCCCAGGACGCCTCCGTGCACTGCTTTTCGTCATGAATCACGTCAGCCTTGGACCACTGGGAACTGGCCGTCATACGGATCTCTTCTGTTACTCCTTTTCGCCGTGGTCTATCCAGCTTTTTCTCTGGAACGCAAGACACTGGAATGTGAAACGAGAAAATGGGCTAGGCCTTGATGTCCCTAGCGCCATGATCAACGTCGACTTCTGCCCGGATCTCTCTCACTTTGCGGACAGCCCCATCCGGGATACTTCGACAATTGCTCTATGGCCACTGCTCCGGATGCTGTCTCTGCGATGCCTGATGGACGACTTCTCAACGACACAACAAGCCCCATGTGATGAATCGTTGAGCTCCAGCGCAGCCAACAACGTTTCCTTCGCCTCCGGATGTCCATGGACGAGGCTTCCCCTGCAGGATTTACCAAGGACGAGAACTGCTCTATGGCCGGATCTATCATGTATTTTCCATTGGACTTGGACGACTTCGCCACGCCGGCATCTGACTCAATCTGGAATCAGCTTGGTTTGTAATCACTCCCCGTGCTATGCCCTGAAACTGCAACTAACATATCCTCGACTGCAGGAACAAAGTTGTGCCATCTGATGACATTTCCTTTCGTATTGTCTAGCTATCTGAGAGTTGACACACAAAAGAGTGGTTGAACAGCACACTAACCTCTGCGCAGCGACTACAGCTTTGCTCAACCCAACATGCTTGCCTCGAATGCTTCTGGGATGTTTTCCTATTGTCATACAGGACCAGCGGACCTGGCCGGTTCGTCCTGGGACACGACAGTTGAAGGATCACAGAACTTCCCTGAGCTTGCAGATGCTGGAGACTATTACACCGGAGAGGCCGAGGATTTCGTGCTTCCATTTGGACAGAACACACCCAAGCCGGATCACCTGGATGCCGCGGATGACTTTCAGGCCAGATGGACACCTGCCGTTGCAGTCGAGAGCAAGGCTCTGAAGGCCGAGCCCATGCGGAGAGGGGCTTCTCGCAGCTCCACGGGCAGCCACAAGAACAGGAACGCCAAGGTCACTGCACAGTCAGTCAAGAAGAGCCGACCCAGAGTCCAATCGATTCTGTCTCAGGCGTCTTCGCAGATGTCAAAGCTTGACATGTCAGGTAACACATCGGCCTACGGCCAGGGCCGCATCATGGATGTGCAGCAATATCTTGCTCAGGACTTGGACACTCTGTCTGTCTCCCCCCAGGTAAACGGCGCTGCCTTTTACCCTGGCCTTGTGCATTTCCCGGATGGACTGCCCTACACTGGAGACCTTGGCGCTGCCGTGGCCCAGCACGTGAACCCCCAGATCTTTGATGCTGGTCTGGTCGCGGCGTCCCCGCACTCTTGGGGCTCGCTGAGTCCTGTGGACTCCCGGATGTCTTCGCCTGGTCTTCAGGATGGATCTGATGACGTGTGGTCCGCGGTCCCTTCTGCGTCTTCCCCCGGAGAAAGCCAGACTTCCAACTCGCCGGCGCTGCCAGGCCAATCACCCAGGTAAGCAGCGAGCCCAACTTGATGCTTCGCCGGATCAATTTCTTACCGTTTACGCACCGCAGTATGAACCGGAAATCAGATGTTTCGCATTATGTCAACACTGAAGACCACCTGCATGGGAACCTTATGCCCGCCATGGGAGAGGATGGGTTTGCCCTGCCCCACTCTGCGTTCGGCTCTCGCCGTCTGAGCGGCGAAGGTGAGTCTGCTCGGGACCATTATCTCTACAAGAATGCGTTTCCCCAAGCGGACGGCCTCTTCCACTGCCCATGGGAGGGCCAGGCGAGCTGCAACCACAAGCCCGAGAAGCTCAAGTGCAACTACGAGTAAGACGAATTTGCCCGCATTCCCCCCTTGCCCTCTGCTGACCGCAGCCGCAGCAAATTCGTGGATTCTCACCTCAAGCCCTACCGCTGCAAGGTTGAAGGCTGCCAAAATGCCCGGTTTTCATCCACTGCCTGCCTTCTGCGTCATGAGCGTGAGGCCCACGCCATGCACGGTCACGGGGAGAAGCCGTATCTGTGCACCTACGAGGGTTGTGAGCGCTCCGTCGCTGGCCATGGTTTCCCTCGGCAATGGAATCTGAGGGACCACATGCGGCGCGTGCACAACGACAATGGAACGACGGTCCAGCCAGCCTCCCCCCCTCCTTCAGGACCCAGCACGTCCGCCAGGGGACGAAAGAGAAAGAGCGATGCCCAGGAGAAGCAGCCGATGCAGGACAAGTCCAGCTCCCGGAAGTCGGCGACTAAGGCTGCAGCGGAGACCGTCGCCTCGGCTCCCAAGCAGCCCGAGCCGAATCCCCAGGTCGAGGAGTGGTATGAGCACCAGAAGGCGCTCCAGGCCTTTATGCAAAGCTGCACCCAGCCGGATGACCCGCAGACGCTCCAATACATCAAGGATGCCCAGGAGCACCTGAACGCCATGGGAAAGATTTCCCACGGACTGGTCCAGGGATCGCACCGCCGCTCGTGGAGAGGATGAATGACTGTAAGCTTACCTTGATCACCCTGAGGCCTAAGCGCTTGGCTGACCTTTTCATGCGACAGCCTTGAACCACTGCAATCTGAACACGCTGTGTCAGTTGCGACATTCTCTGCAAGTGTAGAGTTCCTGCTCCCTGGACATCTTCGACATCCCATAAAGGATGAGGACGCTATGGCCGCCCATGGCCGGTTCCAAACACGGCGCCAGCCGTGCGCCCGGAAGAAGTGCCGGGCCGAGGCCGTCAGAGGGAGGACATATTGCTCGACCTTGAATGTGACGTTTGTCACAGGGTCGAGACCTGAGAATGCCATACTGGAGACTTTGCTTGACAGAGCTACCTTTGGTGCCATTTGTCCGGGGAAGATTTGCCGACTCGGCAACGCAGGAGTCGAGGGCCGGGGGGCTGAAAGGAGGACAAGAGAGAAGCGGAAATGGAAATGAAGGCGCCATAAAATGGTTTGCCGATGGTACCGCGTCGATACGAGGCAACTAACTGTAGTGGGAGGGGGGCTTATAGTTCACGGCTCATGACTGATGGCTTTTTGTTTATCTTTCAGCTTCTTGCGTTTTTGAGTTGGATGTTATGGCATGTAATTAGACCACAATTTGGCACCGTGTGGTTTATATGGTCTTTGGTTATTTTTGGCTCTCAGTTGGATGGAAACTTGAAGAAGATACTGTAGCCTCGAGGCAATAGTTAAAGAAGCGTCGTGTACAGGTTGTGTTCAACGCTGTCTCCAAGCCCTTGCCGGACATACATCTGGCTTTGTCTGTCTTCAGGGGCTTGCGCGCATAACTGGCTAGCAGCGTATTCCAAGGAGTGGATATGTACATGAATCAGTAAGACAAGCCAGCTGAGATGAATGCGAGATGTTGACTTCGGTTCCAATTCGATGTGGGGTTTTTGACCACCTCAATATCTACCCTACCAGGCGCATGGGCTGATTGCGCGTAACCTTTAGGAATCTGATCAGGCGCGTCAAGGAGTTGACCAAGGAAAGGCGACAGGCTCGAAGTGTATAATCTACTTAAGCTATCTGGAAAAGCTTTGCAGGTTCATAGTGAGGGCAGGCCATACCAGTTCAGTCAACAGCCCTGGTAAATATACCCAAGGCTTACGATTTGAACTATACAAGATGCGAAGATAAAGGCCATGCACAAGCACAGCAGCAGATGGAAAGTGGAATGACTGATTGTAGTAGCCTTGAGGCTAGCAACCGCTGCGGGCCTCAATCATTTGGAGCTCCTCAAGTTCATTCATCAGGCTTGTATTCCTTAATCACATTTCTCGGCTCCGCGTACTCCCCGACGGGCGTATATGGCAACATCATACCCGAAGAGAATCTGGCCTCCCGAGGATCTAGGTAGACTGACGAGCATGACATCTTTGGCACGTTTAACGTTACCCCTGAGGAGGCCGCAAGACTAGGCATCGTCCCTGGTGCAAAATGTCAGGTTGTTGAGGGGTGTGGCAGAGTCCGACGGAGTTGGGCAACGAGAAAGAAGTCAGGCTGGGAAAAGGCCTCAAGGTTCAATTCTAAGGCCGTCAGCTAGAGTCCCATAACACGTGCTACTATTTCTAATGCGAATGCAAGAGCATTGACATCAAACCAAAGGGGCATGTTTGGGAACTCCTCATCCTTCCCTAAGGTACATAATGGCCACAACCGGCAATACAACGAGGGGCATGATGAATGGGACTACCGCAGGTCCTCCAATCCCGGCACAACCCAACAAACCGTCTCCTACGGCACAACTTCCCAATCATCCCCATTCTCCTCTTCGCCAGCAAACGTCTTTCCATCCCAATCCCGACCCTCCACGTCTCCATTATCATCTTTACCACCAACTCCCGTCTCCTCACCACCTCCCACCTCCTGACCGCCTTCATCACCTCCCGCCACCTCACCACTACCAACTTCCCTTCCAACATCCCCCTCCCCTTCCATGTCCATAACCAACTCCCCACCCCCAAACTCCCCCTCCCTCCCCTCCACCACCCTCCACGCCCGATCCCAACTAACCACCAACCCCCCCTCACCAAGCACCCACTCATCCCATTTCATCCGATCCCACCCCTTCCCGAACGGCATATAACCCCCTCCTCTACTATTCTTCCCCACTACCTCCCGCTCCCAATACTGCTCCGCACACACGGCCGCAAACGCATCCTGATCCACCTCCTCGTCCTCGTGGCACTCACATCCGTGCTTGAGTTGCGGCGGGTGGTCGTAAGGGTACTGCTGCGGATAATACACGGCCAGACAGCGGCGGGTGTCGTCGGGAATGATGGGAAGGTCGGCGTGGCAGGGGCAGTTGTGGAAGATGATGAATTTTTTTGTTTGCGGGTCCGTGTGGGAGGGGCGGAACTTGAAGTTGAATCGGGTGGTTGCAGGTGGGGGGTTGTAGTCTGGGTTTTCGGTTTCGGGTGGAGAGAGGTAGTGGAGGGCGAGGATCAGGGTGTTGATGACATGGGGTTTGGGGAGCGGGGAGGAGGTTTTTAGGAGGGAGAGATGGGAGCGGAAGAGGGGGAGGAGAGAGGCGCGGGTGACACTGGAGGGACTGGTGGTGTGGGTTGGTTTGATGAGGTGGGTGTGGATGTATTGGAGGAGGTGGACGTGGGTTGTGACTTCGGCTGGTGGGAGGGTTGGGAGGAGGGATTTGGCGTCTTCGAGGATAATGGATTGGTGGAAGTGGAGGATTTCGAGGGAGGGGAGTTCGGGGATGAGGCCGGCTTTTTTGAATGGCTCGTTGAGCTCGGCAGCCCAGAGGTCGGAGGCGAAGCGGAACTTGCTCGTATGTATGCAGTCAGGGAGCGGCTTCAGGTCTGGCGGTACAAAGCGTCCGCGAGCTTCGAGGCTGTCCCACAGCTTGGGGCTGTAGTATGCTGTCCAAGTCGAGGGCGAGATTCCAAAAGTGTCTTTGAACAGGGCGTAGCTCATTTCCTGGACGAGCCCACTTTTTCCAGCCTTGAGCAACTGCGACAGAGCAGCGTGCACCAACTGGATGTAAAAGTACGACTGTGTCTCCGAGAAAGGAGCGGCCAACGGCTCGGCCGACCTTAGGTGCATCGCATACTTCTGCAACGAGGAAAAGGCTAAGTTGATGAACCAGCTGCGTCGACGTGTTTCGCCAGGTCGGAGGTAACGTTTCACCACTGCAAACGCAAAACGGAGGAGGCGGTTGGGGTCTCCGGGCTGCTTCTTTGTCAAGCGCTCACGGAACTTTGGATCTTCGTGACTCAGAGGTTCGACGAGCTCGCGCAAGTTCGGCAGCATCCAGAATTTCTCGGAGTACGGCGACTTCAGCATCGCTGACGTGTAGTAGGTGTCGGGCAGCTTCTCGTCCATGAGCTCTGGGAAGAAATGGATGACGCGTTTGAGAGAGATGGGGTCGGGCAAGTGGTCATGGTAGACGCGAAAGGCGCACATAGCCAGCTTGACTTGGTAGAGCCAGAATACTGTCAGGGTCCTACGTCGCGTCAGTCTCTCTACTTGGAGCCTATTTGGTAACTGAAAGTTACCTTGACTCCGGGAGTAGTTGGAACTGGGAGCCTCGTTGTTTGAAGTTGTGCATGTCGGCGGCAAAATTTGTGGCCACCTCGAGCAGACCTTTGTCGTTGTTCTCGCGACGGAGGAGCGTCAAGTATGCGGCTCTGATGTAATCTTTGTGCTTCCACGGAACAAGGCGACCGTGGCGGAAGGCAACCCAGAATTCTTGGTCAGACCGCTCCCCAGGAGCTTTGATGCTGTCCCCCGAGACCCTGGGGCGATAGATTTGTGGGCTAGTGAGCATGGCCTCGCCGACTACTCGACAGGCATCCACGACTGGCAGTTGGAGGACACAGCGACCGAAATCACTGGGATTCTTTAGAGTGTCGTTCAGTTCGGAGTAATTGCGCAATTCGTCGTCAAAGTGGGCGGCAATGCTGTCGCGGCCAGTTCGAGTGAGAGCTCCCCTCGGGGTGTTGATGACAACCCAGAAGCCTCTGCCGCCGTGCAGTTCTTGCAGCTCCATGTAACGGCGCATGCACTGGATGGACTCTTCGATGTCTGTGCTGGAAGGGTCGTGGACGAAGAGGAACCCGGACTTGGCGTTCAACAGGTTCAAACGCTCGTGAAGACGACGAGGGGCTAGGAGGTATCAGTAAAAGTTCATGGACACTCAGAAGGACTCACTAAATAGGATAACATACGGACTGTGGCGGCGTGCGAGTTGTGTGGGCGAAAGTAGCGAAATACGGTGAGAGAACGGTCAAGAACGTCAAGGGTCGCAGTCTTCAGCCTGCCATCGGCCCAATTCTTGACGGGAACTGGGTCAGCCTCCCATCTCAGATGGGCAACTGCCATGGAAGTCGGCAGTCCACAGACTAGGAGTGAACATTCTGGGACCGATTTCTCGAGAGCGGGGGTCTGCGAGTCGTCCTGGCAAGGGCGGAAGGGCAAAGAAGTCATCATGCATAACTCTCAGTTTTGCTCTTCAAGAAAGATGGGAGGTGTTCAAACTGGAAAGGGTGAGACAGCGCTGGTCTCCTTAATAAGTGCAGACAAGACTCATGCCAAAACGTGTCATTCTTGCTGGCACAGCCTGGCAATCCGCAATGCTTGCTGAATGGGAAAATCTCAGCACAGCACTGCCACAGCAGCGCCTGACGCTCGTGGATAGAAGCCGGCGAAGATGGCGTACAACCCTAACCCTTTCATCACACCTTTTTCATCTTTTGTCCCCCTTGAAGGCTTGGAGCGAATGGGTCTGACTTGACGACAGAACTTGAAGATATGCTCCATATCGACTCTTTAAGATCGCTTTCTTAGATTACCGATTAGATTACCGATGTATTTGATTCTTGTTGCCACACTCTATCATTTGCTCCGGGTGCTCAACTCAAGGACCATACTAGACTGCCAGGTTCTCAGTCTTCTTAGACCACATGCACATGCAAAGAAGGTACTTTACCAAAGTGCTCTGAGTACCTTGCCGTCTCAGTCGAGCTTACTGTAAGCTGATAGTCGAACAGTCATATGTGATGCGGGAGAGCTGGAAGTTGGAACAGGTCGGACCGTCGAAGTACAATGGCCCGTTTATACCTGTCTTCCAATACCACTAGATAGAATGCAGACATGAATGGACTCTATCAACAACTCTTTGTCCTGACCAATCAGTACGGGCAACAACAGAACTGTACATATCGTCCTTCATGCCAACTCCAATCTACCAGACTCTCAACTACCCTATTTACCTGGTAAACGCCCTATATTCATTCTGCAATAACTGAACATGGAGTCACAACACACCACCACCAATCCCTACGCCCTCATCAAACGCGAAACCGCCACGGCACCTCAGCCAAGAAACCAACACCACAAATCTCCGAGTCAACAATGTGCATTCAAACCGGAAAACCATGTCGCTGGTTCTGCTCCGTCGGCGCCGCCGCCGCCGCCGACCCCTTCTGCCCTGACTACGACCCTGTCCGTGGCGCGGTCCATGCCAACTGCTGTGATCATCCCAGGATTGTGTGCTGCGGCAACCATGAAGAAGACGGACATGATGGTGCCGGTACGACAGGGGGTGCCAGGCACTGTCCTGGAGGTGGTCGCTTTCCGGTTCCAATTCAAGCTGTGTACTGCGGCAACCCTGAGTACGCCGGACAACCTGAGGTACGCGGGAGTTGTGTGTTGCAGCGTCTCGTCAAGATTGAATGGCACGACATCTTTGAAGAGGCATGCGTCGTGTGCGAATGGAAGCTGAGTGGGGCCGAGTCTTACGATGATATGTCGGAGTACGAGGCCCCGGTCTGGGCGGGCCTCGGAATCGGACTGTGAAATCAACGATGATGAGAGTGGTTCGGAGTATAAGAAAGTTTGAGAAGGAGGGTGAGGAAATGGTACTTGGCTGTCTTGGTTGACTCACCTGCATTGGCTGTCTGGACGCGGTATTCGCCTTCTGGAGGACTGAGGGGCCACGGTTGGAGACGGAGTTAAGGAGTGAGAAGGGCGTCCGTATAAGTGGTTGGTTGAGCCGTTGACTGCTCTTGGCGCTGCTGGTTTACGGGACGGGTAGATATCGGGGTGAATATGCAGGGTGAGGTCACGGTAGCAGAGAAGGATTGAGTAGACCATATGCAGTTATCTTACGCCGCCTTAGGTACAGTACAGATCTCATTCAGTGCGTTTTTAACAGCGAACAGTCATGGATGAATAAAGAAAAGTCGCCGAGGAACTGTCCGAGAACAATGGGTTGGTACTGTACCTTTATCTTCAAATACCACTTGATCAACTCAATCAACGACTCTTGGTCCCACAATAGGACCTATCATCCCACATACCAACACTCTACCATCATTTATCCATTCTGCAGAACTGAAGTCACAACACCACCATCTATCCCTAGGCCCCATCAAACAACTACGACAGCACCTCAGCTAAGGAACCAACACCCCTAATCTCAACAATGTGCACCGCCAAGGGGCTCCGCTTGTTCTGCCCCGTAGCTCTCCCCCACGCCCGAAACAACCCCTAGGAATGCAGTAATCCTCAGGGGCATGATCTGCCCACTGGCAGCGTCGTGTGGCACAACGAAGAACGGAAATGCCCCGACTGCCAAAAGTGGGGGTTTGTTGCCTTGGAAGGGCCTAACCCTAACCTTACTGGTTCGGAGGATGATGTGAGTGATTCGGAGGAGGAGGAGGAGGAGGAGAAGGAGGATGACGATCATGACAGCGGTGTCGAGATGGAGGACGACTCTGAGGATGAAGCCGAGAATGACGACTCGGATGATAGTGAGGAGGACTCGGATGAGGAGTACGACTGGGAGCTGGTGTTGCGGGAAGAGGATTGAGTCAGTAACTGCGAGGATGGAGACACTCTGCGTGCCTTAGCTTCCATTTGTATCTGACTTGACCGCCTTGAAGCCTGAGGGGAATGGGGAGATTGTGCTGAACCTGTGCTAACTATGTCAATAGACATGCTTCCAGTTCTAGCATTGGTTGGTTCATCTACAAACTTGAGGCCTTTGTGGCTAGCCAAAGTAGGTATGCGTGCTATGAAACGTTCGAGGGTTTTGAGAACAATGGTGGCCATCTAGTACAAGGCACTTGTACCACTTCACTACCTGTCCTTTGAAACCAGCATGCTCCAAAAACGTAACCATGAACTCGGTGGATGCAACTCAAGGACCACTCTCATGTCCGTTCAGAGACATTCCGGAATATATGCAACCACTTTGGGATACCGCATTTGACGGGCTGTCTTGAGGTAAAACGGGATTTGGGGAGAAAAAGGTCAGTTTGAACAAATCCATTGTAATGACTCGATGGACCTTGTCTGCATTTGATGCTCACATCCCAGCTTACCCTAGTGACCAGCAGAATGTCCTTGAACAAACCACCTTGCCCTGCCCAACTGTCCTGTGTACACGCCTTGTATCATCCATCAAAGCAACTCTCTCCAAATATTTAAACGCGGTCTATCATCGCATACAGATCCTTACCTACCCTTACCATAGCAGCAACGCCATTCATTCCCTAGCCCCACTTACACCAACCTACAGAAAACCAGGAACCACCACACCTCTATCAGAATGTGCACAGGTAAGCGAATCCGCTTCCTATGCCCCGTGGCCCTCGCCCGGAGCCCGCTCTGCCCGCACTACGATCCCGTCCGCGACGTAGCCCACGTATATGCCTTGCTGTGGGAGCCTACCGTGTTGTTTTGGCCTGTTGCAGAGCGTATTCGTCAACAATGCGGACCGGGATTGTCGTCGAAAATCCGAGGAACGGGGCTTCTACCAAGTTTCCATACGCCTTCGGTGCTCCTGCAGCCGCTGGCTTCAGGTTGGCCAAATGGTAGACTATTACGGCGCGTTCTATCACATCCTAACAACTCGATATGGCGACGACAAGAGGTAATGCCGTTCCTAGAAGCCTGCAGTGCTGTCTCTTGACAAAGAACTAGCCCGGTTTCCACTTGAAGAAATCGGATGAGCAACATAGATGTGGATGCAAAGACTGGTCATCAAGCCAGGTTCAAAAGGAAAGGGAGGATGCAAAGACTTACGGTCTCTCAGACTTACTTAATCCACATCTTCCCAAGGCTCGCTCACCTTATAACCACTATCACAGTTCTACAGCTGGATTTTCTTGTCTATGTTACGGTTGCCTTTTCAGTCCCAACCATTATTTCCCTAAACCGTCCGGAAGTCCTTCGGATCGCATAATCGCCACCAATTTTTGATGGCCATGAGTGTGTTCCTTCATGGTCAGGCGTACCTTTCAGAGCAAGATTTGTGAGGGACTCACTCCTGCCAACAAATATAATCTGATTTCATTGTGCTGGGGGTCCCTGATCATCCAGGTAGTGGGTGAAATAGGGGACATGCAGCTGCACTTCAATGGAGATGTCAAGTTGGGGGCGCCTTACTTCGGATACTTCTCTGCCAACGAATTATCCTTCGACGAGACGTTAAAACCATCGTTATCGCACATAATGCAAGCCCGGGTACTAGGTATGAAAACCAAAAGGTAGAGATTCTTCAGAGTAGTTGTTACAGCACATAACTATGGGATGGGTCAAGCAAGTCTGCCTTTGGTTGCCAGTGTCGACGATCAGGTAGTCAGGAGAAATCGGAAACTGATTTTGCGGCTGGGCGGGAAACAAGGCGAGGGCTGAAAGCCAGCTCCCCCCCCACTTTCCCCCCAGCCTTTGACAGGTCGTCCCCACACTGCTAATCTCCAACCAAGCAGCAATGACATCCCCGCAGAGATTCAAAGTCATCATCACAAGACTATGACGGGAACTTATGATGTTGGGTCGGCACTACCTTAGCATTGAGGGAGTAATATTTGAGAAGGATGCCCTACCGACGGTAACATGAATCAAACAGTCAGCTCTCCCTCTGATGGAAAGGTGCTCTGAGCGGTTGAACAACAGCAAACATTGTCGTGCCAAGCCTGATTCATCCGATTTCTTCAGGTATGGCCTTCGAACCCTGGCCCCGGCAACCAAACTCCAAACCCAAAACAGCTGCAGCAACAAATTTGCCATGGCGTGCCGTGCCGCACTCGCCTCCCTTTCATCGCCGCAGCTGTTGATTGTGTGTTTCCATTCTTCCGGCCCTGAAAGATTTCTATTGTTTCGATGCTTTCAACAGCCGAACGCACCGTGCAAGGAGTGTGAACCTGAAAGTGTCTGGACGCATCGCCAGGAGCAGCCTTTTCGATCCCCTGAGTCCTGACTCGCCGCCCAAAACAGCCCACCCACTGCGGCATCTTGCGTTTCATTTTCTCTTCTCATTCGCCCCCGGCTCCGCGATCTCTGCGCAGAGAAACCAGTCTCACACTCTCCCGTCCCCACCGCGCTCCTGCACAGATCGACTCGATGCGGTGCATTGCGGCCGGCCTCTGACGGTCTCGAATCTGCCAAAAAATAGCCGCGGTTCGCCCGACCCCAGCGCCACCCGAAGCAGGGAGTGAGTCCGAAGAAGAGAGAGTAGAAGTAATTTTCTGCCCATCTCAAAAGGGCAGCGCGACCAAGTAGTATCAACGAGTCCTGGCAGCGTGTGCATCACATCAACCAGACTTTACATTTTCGAAGATGTCGCCCTTTAGCTCGACACCGCACGCTCTTGCATCGCAAGCCTCCGGGCCGATCGATGAGTCTTTCACCGCGACCGCGGACTCGAACACGCGCAGAATTGTGCAGATGCAAGATTGGCTTCCCGCTCAAGAAGCCATGTTTTCCGGCGCTGCTGCCGCCATCCCGATGCGACCGCCGCCGCACGGCCAATCCCACCACATCGGGCAGCCGCCTTTCCCGCGACGACTTCGGAGCGTGAGCGTCTCGCTTCCTTGGCGGCAACGCCCAAAGTCGGCGTTCCTCGCTTCCAGCGCAGATGCCGGGTATTCGGACCTGTCGACCTTGTCACTTGAGAAGAGCAAGAGTCATGCTTCTGGTAGTCAACAAGACACCTATCTTGCGCCGAGCTCGTCAAAGCAGAGTCACTACAATTTCAAGCGGATGCTGCGCCGGGCTTCCATCTCGCTCAAATCCGGGGTCAAGGGGTTTGTTCAGCGGCGGACCTCGGTACCAGCCGCCACAACATTCGACAGCGATGGCCACCCGGCACGGCCGCAGTTCTCCAGCGCGTCTCCACATGTGCCGCGGCCGACAACCTCGCAATCCACCTGGCATCGGCTGCGGCAAGCCACCAGCTTCCACCGACACTCGCGGGTGCTCTACACTGGATATGATGATCACAGGTTCGACAACGACCTCTTCCCGATCGAATCGCCGACACTTCCAGTCCCCGGCTCTCGTGAGCAACCGCCGATCATCCCACGTAACACCGGTGCTGCGGCGAGGCAAGCCGCTGCGATTGCTTGCAATGGGCTTCACGCCTACGATGTCATGGATGGACCTTTCCCACGCCCGGGGTGGCTTGCAGAACACGCGCTGGATGACCACGAGAGCGGGATTGGGATCGCCCTCACCAGCTCGGAGATGGAGGCTTATGTCCCCGGCGACGAAGTTGACTCAGATGTGGACGTGGACACCGGCCTGAAGCGCGACGAAACCGCCATCATAAAGATTGACTTCATCGCGCAGCTGCCGATGGAGTTGGCAATCCAGATCCTGGCGTTCCTTGACGCGCCGACGCTCAACATGGCCAGCAGAGTATGCTCCGGCTGGTACAACGTGATCAGGAACCAGCACATCTGGCGCGAGTCGTTCCTGCGGGAGAAGACGACAACCTACGCCACAAGCGGACCTGTCAAGCCGGGAACCGGTTTGGGCGTGCCCCCAGTCCAGCCTACGAACGACTGGAAGGAGATATACAGGGTTAAGACTGAGCTCGACAGGCGCTGGAAAGAAGGCAAGGCGCGGCCGGTGTATCTGAACGGCCACACAGATAGCATCTACTGCCTTCAGTTCGATGAGTACGCTATCCCATAACACCCCTTTTTTTCTCCTGACCGCATTAACTCCTTGCCAGATCCAAAATTATCACCGGCTCCCGCGACCGCACCATTCGCGTCTGGGACATGCACACCTTCGCCTGCAAGCTCATCATCGGCCCGCCCGAGATCGTCAACGACAGCTCCTTCAACCTTCTGTACGACGAGCACAACAACCCGGTCCACTACGCCACCATCCCCGACATCGACGGGTCCGCGAACAAAGACGGCCTTCCCCGGCCTCCGCTCCGCGCGTACCACTCCATCCCGGCCCTCTACGCGCCGCCGATGCACCACAAAGCCTCGATCCTCTGCCTGCAGTACGACGACCGGATCCTCGTGACGGGTTCCTCGGACTCGACCTGCATCATATACTCGCTCGCGGCAGGCTACCGCCCCGTGCGGCGCCTGCGGCACCACTCGGCCGCCGTGCTCGACCTCGTCTTCGACGACAAGCACATCGTGACGTGCTCCAAGGACGTGTCCATCTGCGTGTGGGACCGCGCGACGGGCGCGCTCCTCCGCCAGCTGCGCGGGCACTCGGGCCCTGTTAACGCCGTGCAGATGCGCGGCAACACCATCGTCTCGTGCAGCGGCGACTTCCGGGTCAAGCTCTGGAACATCGACACGGGAAAAAACATTCGCGAGTTCCTTGGCCACAAGAAGGGCCTCGCGTGCAGCCAATTCTCGGAGGACGGCCGCTACATTGCCAGCGCGGGCAATGACAAGGTCATTCGGATCTGGGACGCCAACACGGGCGAGTGCGTGCGCGAGATGGAGGCGCACGAGAATCTCGTCAGGAGCTTGCATGTGGATAGCGTCAGCGGGAGGCTGGTCAGCGGGAGCTATGATTCGGATATCAAGGTTTGGGATATGGAGACGGGCCAGCCGCTATTGGATTTCCCCAAGTGGCACTCCAGTTGGGTGCTAAGTGCGAAGAGTGATTACCGGAGGATTGTCAGCTCCGGGCAGGATCCCAAAATATTGATCTTGGATTTTGGGGCCGGGGTCAAGGGAATTGAGATGTTGGAGAGTGCTCCCTCGCCGTCCCGGGCTGGTGCTCCTGGCGGCAGTGAAGAGGCGGGGTATAATTGAGGATACACTCGGGCGAGAGAGTGCAGGTGATAGAGCGGCTGTTCCAGCCGGGTAATGTTAATGAAAGAGGAGGAAGCCGCAGCCTGGCTGATGCTTGCTGGCGAGTGTCGGCTGCAGTTGAGTTTCATGGAGACGAGCTCTAAGCGGCGTCTGGATGTCCGGGTATATGGAAGGAGAACATGGTTTCTATCTTGGAGGGTCTGGTTGTTCGGTTTTCCAGCGGCACTTGGGTTGGCATGTTGGCAGTATCTGTTTCTTGAATCTGTCTACTTGCTTTGCGAGCGGGCATTGCGTCTTGTTCTGTGAATACTTGGGCATCTTAGAGCATTGCATTTCCTGGGATTAATGTCTTGCCACAGTGGATGATAGAGCTAGCTGGGCCAGCTTCACTGTTTAAAAATCATGCGTTCGGGATGTCTCTTCAACCGTGATGCGTTGGGCTGGGAATACTTGGAACGGCCCGGTCGAGGTTGTGGAGTTCGGTGGTCTTGGATCGGCGCTCGGCTGGCCTCACGAGCCCCAGTACCCCGTGCCGTGCTGTGGCGGCGGGACGACTGAACAGGATAATTCAGCAACTTTGTCACTCCGCTTGGTTGCATCATGGCCATATATTCGATGATGCAAGAGTGTTGGTTCATTTAAGATCATCGATGACTCCTACCTCTCAGCAGCCCTGTTGTTGTACACGTGTACTCAGCGCCCGAAGCTGCCTGGTCTCCAGGCTCGAAGCTGCGATACCAACACAAAGTGGCGTGTTGCATGTCGGCTTGGTTTCTGCGGCCAGCGCATGACCACGGCGGTTGAGACGATACAGAGTATACTATGCATTGGACTGAGGGCGAATTCATGGTTGCCAGGGACCCGTCGACTGGGTAGCGAACCCAGTTGAGCTGTTCCCGAGCTTACACTAGGTCCGAGCTTAACCTAGGCCTGACCCGTCAATGTCGCTGCTGCGACTGTATCAACTTCGAGGACTGACAACGGAAGTTGCCCAGGCTGAGCTGGTGGCGTAGCAGTGCGCAGACTCGTGACGGAGAGGTGCTGTGCGCAGAATGGGATGCCGTTCGGCACACAAGATGCCGAGCTAATATATGTGAGGCATCTTGCCTGGGTACTTGCTTTGCAATGTCACGGACTCTGGGCCTTCGATTCGGACGGGCTCAAGGAACGTTACATAGCGTTGGATTCGCCGGCGTTGCCAGCTTGACAGAGCGCCGTCAGGGGAAACGGAAGCTTGCCCGTCTAACGAAGCATTTACCAAGCCTAGTGTGACGGCTGAGGCGCTTGAAAAGCCGCCTCACAGCGTATGGTGGCGCGCGAATTGCGTGGGGTCTGTGATGCCAGATTTCCCATCGATTGGCATGGGACGAATTCCCATCTGCAACTCCATTCAATGCATCGTGCGGTGGACCCCTGTAACAGCCACAAAAGGAGCACGAGAGGCCTGGCGGGGACTACATCTCAAACCCGAGGTCCTTCTCTCTCTCTCTCTCTGGATGACTGGAAATGGAAGGGGGCAAAGGAGGGGCAAGCAGATGATTGGCTGAGAGCGCACAACTGAGGCTGCCCCACTGCGTTTCGAAACGCCGCGTTCTGCAGCAAGTCCTCTGGGTGCGGGACCATTTGCCGAGCCCCGCGCTCGACTTCCACCCCAAGAGGGAATTTTGGCGATCATCAACCGACGTTCACTGGTTCACCAGATTCTTTTCAATCCATCACTGCCTTTTCAATCCCGCATCCCATGCCCACAGCTGGTCGATCTTCCTCAATGCTCGCATACCTCACACTCCAGGTCATGGAGCTTGTCTCAAGCTTGTCAATTAACTGGTATCGCACCCCTTAAAGTGATACTTACGCGTCGCTGGTTGTCGGTTGCATGAACCTCCCCCCTGAATGCCCCCTTGATCTGGGTGGCCAGCTCTGCTCAACCTTTCTCTTCCTTCGTCCGATGTTTCGGTTCCACACTAAGTGGGCCCAGTTGATCGGTTGAACGTCCGCCATCGAGCTTGTTCGAGCGTTTGGCCGCTGTTCGCAGATCGCATGGCTGGGAAAGTTTGCTCTTCTTCTCCCGCTCTCTGCGGCGGATCGAGAAAGGCTTGTTTCAGGCCCGGAGACCAAGGGACTATCAAGATCTCTAGGAATCCACTGGCGCTTTGCCAAGTTGCACAGGCCCATCGATTCGTCTTAACCACATACAACCGCACCTTGTACCCACGTTGGCATGTGAGAGGCTAGCGTCAGGAACGGGCGCACGGCAGCGCAGCTGTCTCCACATTGGGATCAACATGAAGAGCCGTCACCAGGGTTCGTGACCAGAGGTTGGGATACCAGGGTGATGAAGGCGGCAGCGGCTCGCCACATCTTTGGGTAGCAACGCTGCATCAAGAAACGCGGGAGACATGGGTCGTTACGCAGACGGGAATGGCCACGCCCCGGCAACACAGAATATAAGACAGCTCCTCCAGCTTGCAGCTTGATAAGCTCTCCCTACGTCGGCCAACTTGTAGCTCCTCCCTCAGCATCTTCCTTTCTCACATTTCTTCTCTTCATTCGTTGCCTTTGCTGGCCAAGGCGTCTTTGGCAGGCTCAGAGTACAAGTAAGTGTCTTTCTTTAACTTCCCTTTTTGAAAATACGTGCCCCAACACAATGGGCCTGGAGCGAGCTTTCTCGTCCCGTCTCATTGCCATCGCGGCCGACTCACTATTGTTACTCATTGTTCTGAGCCACGCCTGCTTTGTCTCCTATTTCGGCAACACTATCATTAGGATGTGCATCTCTCTATTCTTATTCAATTAGCGCACAAATGATCACCAACTTACACCCGCGACCATGTGGGCCAAGCACATTCTAGAGCACATAGCCTCATGTCAATCCCCCCCTGCTTTGCAACCTCCCACACCATCATCTTCACTCATTTTGCGGCACCTTCTTCTGGGAAGCTGAGCTAACTCGAGCAACTCAAGACTACCTTACCTTACTTACCTTTTACCGACATCTGGAAATAGCCGGTTCTACACCATGATGCTCTCAACAATATCCACATTATTCCTGGCGGCTTTAGGCCTCGGGTCGCCAGCTCTGGCGGCACCATCACCACGGCAAACACCGGGCTGGTGGCTGGCAAGCATTCAACGGCAAGGAGCGCCCGCCTTCAACAACGATCCCAGCTACAAGGTATTCCGCAATGTGCGGGACTATGGCGCCAAGGGCGACGGCGCGTCCGACGACACGGCCGCCATCAACCAAGCCATCGCCGACGGCAACCGGTGCGGCCAGGGCTGCACCTCCCAGACGACGACGCCGGCTCTCGTGTACTTCCCGCCCGGTACTTATGTCGTCAGCAAGCCCATCATCCAGTTCTACTACACGCAGCTCGTTGGTGATGCCATTTCCCCTCCGACCCTGAAGGCGTCGGCCGATTTCTCAGGCATGGCCGTCATTGACGCAGATCCGTACGACAACACCGGCAAAAACTGGTGGACCAACCAGAACAACTTCTTCCGCCAGATTCGTAATTTCGTCATCGACCTCACTGCGATGCCTGTCGAGGTTGGCGCTGGCATCCACTGGCAGGTCGCCCAGGCGACCAGTCTGCAAAACATTGTCTTCAACATGCGTCAAGATGGCGGCGACAGCAACCGGCAGCAAGGCATCTTCATGGACAATGGGTCCGGCGGCTTCATGGTTGACCTGACCTTCAACGGCGGGCAGTACGGCGCATTCTTCGGCAACCAGCAGTTCACCACGCGCAACTTGACCTTCAACAACTGCAAGACGGCCATCTTCATGAACTGGAACTGGGCCTGGACCTTTCAGGACGTCAAGATAAACAACTGCGGCGTAGGCATCGACATGTCCAACGGCGGTCCCGAGAGTCAGACGGTTGGCTCGGTGCTGGTCGTCGACAGCCAGTTCACCAACACGCCCATCGGTATCAAGACGGCGTACGACCCCGCTTCGCCTCACACCAACGGCACGCTCATCCTCGACAATGTCGACATGACGGGTACGACTCAGGCCGTCTTCAACAATGCCACTGGCGCCGTGATTGTCCCGGGCGGTCAGAAGGTCAACTTCTTCGCCCAGGGTCGGACGTACGGAACCGCCGGGCCCGGTTCCGGCAAAGCGGTCCAGGCTCCACAGGAGGCTGTCCAAAAGCCCAACGTGCTTCTTGACTCAACCACTGGTAAGGTGTTCACCCGCACCAAGCCGCAATATGAAGACGTGCCGGTCAGCAGCTTTGTCAGCGTCAAGGCCAACGGTGCCAAGGGCGACGGAAAGACGGACGATACCGATGCGATCCAGGCCATCTTCGACAAGGCGACGCCCGACCAGGTCGTCTACTTCGACCACGGCGCTTACATCATCACCAAGACAATCAAGGTGCCCAAGAACATCCGCATCACGGGCGAGGTCTTGCCCCTGATCCTGGCTGGTGGCGACAGCACGTTCAAGGACCAGGCGAACCCGCAGCCCGTCTTCCAGGTCGGCCAACCCGGCGACAAGGGCGCGGTCGAGATGTCGGACCTCATCTTCGGCACGGCCGGTCCCCAGCCCGGCGCCATCATGATGGAGTGGAACGTCGCGGGCACCACCGCAGGCGCCGCGGGGCTGTGGGACGTCCACACGCGCATCGGCGGGTACGCCGGCACGCAGCTCAACCTCGAGCGGTGCGCCAAGAACCCCAACATCACCAACCCCATCAACACCGACTGCTTCGGCTCCTTCATGATGCTGCACATCCCTGCCGGCGGCAGCGCCTACCTCGAGAACACGTGGTACTGGGTCGCCGACCATGACCTGGAGCCCGAGGCCAAGGACGGCCAGATCGACGTCTTCAACGGCCGCGGCGTGCTCATCGAGGGCGAGGGTCCCGTCTGGGGGTGGGCGACCGCCTCGGAGCATTCGGTCCTCTACAACTACCAGTTCCGCAACGCCTCCAATATCTACCTGGCCCTGATCCAGACCGAGACCCCTTACTTCCAGGGCAACCCGGACGCGACGCAGCCTTTCGCCGTCAACGCGGCGTACGCCGACCCGGACTTTGCCCAGTCGTGCGCGAGCGACCCCTCCGGGTCGTGTAAGCGGTCGTGGGGCGTGCGCGCCATCAACTCGAAGGACGTCTTCGTCTACGGCGCGGGCCTGTACTCTTTCTTTGACAACTACGCCCAGGACTGCCTCAAGACGCAGTCGTGCCAGACCAACATGGTGTCGCTCGAGCAGGGCAGCCAGGTGCACTTCTACGGCTTGAGCACCAAGGCCAGCGTCAACATGCTGACGGTCGATGGCCAGGGCGTGGCGCTTGACAGTGATAACAGGAATAACTTTTGCGCGACCCTGGCGTTTTTCCAGTCGTCGGCTTAGGAGGCCGGTATTGAGCGATGTTGGAGGGAGGGGTGGCGGAAGGGGAGGGCTTGGGTCCAGAACGGTAGTTGATGATCTCGATACCCAGGGAGAGATGCAATGGCGGAATGATGTGGTTTGCTTTTGGTTATGCTGATGGTGGTTCTATACCCTTCGATACACCGGCCATTACGGCATTGTTTTTTTGTTTGCAGTTCGGTTTGATCTGGTCTTGGGCATCGTTGATGTTAATAGAAGGGTAAATGACATGCATATGGGAGGCCTCAAGGGAAGGAAGCTAGAAAAGTAAACGGGACTCTCACCAATACTGTTGACTGTCGTTGACTGTGTGATGTTCGCCAAGTTGGAGGGCTGGTGTTTGTGTCAGGGGCCTAATGCATATCCCCTGTGTTGGTTGTGGAGGCATCGGCGGCAACGCCAGGATCTGCCGAGGCTAAAAAGAACAACAACGTCATAGCTGTTGCCTGCCAAGACCTCATGACAACCTCACTCCACCCGAGTCTGCATTTTTGCTCAGTTCTCGAGTTTCCACGACCTGCGGCGAAGCGCCTTCCCCTTCTTCGCAGCGCTCGTGGCTTTGATTCCTTTTGTCCTGCGACTAAGTGTCCTTTCTTCCACTGCGACTTTCTTTGGCAACCAACGCGATCGACCAAACCAAACACCTGCTTTCTGCGCGACCAAATAAATCACCTCCCCAACATCGCACTCCGAATCGCGAAAGCTCGCCGTTCAACCCGAAACTCAAAACAATGGCCGACGACCAACCCCCAAGCCGACGCTACAAATCTCCCTCCGACCTCTCCCGCTCGCCGCCCTCCTCCTCATCCTCACCCAGCCCAACAACCCGACACGCCCGCATAACCGCCACCTCAACAACCCACTCCTCCTCCTCCCAACCCCAAAGACGACGAAACCCGCCATACCTCCCCACGCCGGCCGAACTCGCCCTCCTGGCAATATACCCATCCCTCCTAACCTTCGGCGCCCTGTTCAGCTTACTCTCCCCGGAGACGCGCAACGCGCCGTACGACCACGCGCGCCAGGCGCACGTGCAGGACTACGCGCTCGCGCCTTCGTACTTTGCGCGCAAGGACAACCTGTTCAACGTCGTCTTTGTCAAGCGCGGCTGGGCGTGGGTGACGGCGGCGTTCTGGGTGTTTGTCTTGACGCATCCGACTGTCAAGCATAATGGGCGGAGGCTGGCGCGAGCTGCGGTGAGGTGGGGCGTGGTGACGGTTTGGTGGGTGTTCGTGACGCAGTGGTTCTTTGGGCCGGCTATTATCGATCGAGGGTTTCGGTGGAGTGGGGGGAAGTGTGAGGTTGTGGAGGAGCAGGTTTTTGGGCAGGGTGAGGGTGGCGTCAGGGAGGTGGTTACTGCTGCTGCGTGTCGGGCTTCGGGTGGGAGTTGGAGGGGCGGGCATGATATTAGTGGGCATGTCTTCTTGTTGGTGCTGGGGAGTTTCTTTTTGGTGCAGGAGGTCGGGTGGGTGGTGGCCAGGCGGGCGAGGCGTTTGAGGGAGGAGAGGTGTGTGGTGATGCCTGATGGGGCGGTCAAAGGGGCGGGCGTGGTCGCCGACAGGGGGGAGCGGCAGGAGGGGGAAGCCGTGCTCACGGTGATGGATGCGCTGGGGCTAGGGGGGCGGCTGGCCGCGGCGGTGGTTGGCCTGTGTGGGTGGATGTTGCTCATGACGGCCATCTATTTCCACACGTGGTTTGAGAAGGTGAGTCAAACCCGATGTCTGAAAAAGGTATCTCCTGTCCGAGAAACTTGTGCTAACGTGACAACTCGACAGCTCACTGGCCTTTTGGTGGCCCTGGCAGGGCTGTACGTCACGTACATTCTTCCGCGGTGGATTCCTGCAATGCGGGAGATTGTTGGACTGCCGGGAATTTGAAGTTACAGAGCAGGACTGGAGGGACTGACGTATCATAGAATGAGGAAATAAACCATACACCTTCTCTCTCAACAGCAGATTTACCACTGTGGGACCCTGCTTGGCAGGGGCATGAGGGGCAACGCACGGGCCCTCTATGACCTCATTGAAGCTATTCGCAGTTCCAATTCTCACTCTCCCCTTCTGCAACACAATTTTGCACGGAGTAGGCTGACCTCAAAAATGTCTGCGATACCTGACGGCATGGCGCCTATCAAAACCCCCGCCAACCTTCCGGAACTCGTACGGTCCACCTTCAACCGCGCGCGCGCCAGCGGGGATGTGCACTTCTTTCCGACCCAAGTCACCCTCGTCAACGTCAACTCAATACCAGTGCGCCCTTCCTCCAATCCCCCTCTTACTGTTTCCTGAGAAGACACTTACGACACTTCCACTGACTGTAGTTCCAACTGCGCTTCTCCCCCGCCCTCGCCTCCAAACCGCGCGCCCCTCAACCACCCCCCCCCTCCACCGACGCCTCGCTTCAAACTCAAAGCTCGACCGAAAAGAAACCCTTCTTCGACCCCTTCGACAACCCGCCCGCCGCCATGCTCATCACCCAGCTACCTCCTTCCCACAACCTCGTCCTCAACAAGTTCGCCATCGTCCCCGAGCACTTCATCCTCGCGACGCAGGCCTTCAAGGAGCAGACACACTTGCTAGAAAAAGCCGACCTAGAGGCGGCGTACGCTTGTATCGAGGCTTACCATCAATACCATACCCGTGCCCCCGATAACGACACCAAGATTGCAGCAAGCGGAGTCGTAAATGATGGGAATGGGTCGGGGGAACTGTTCGTCTTCTTCAACTCGGGCGCGGCGTCCGGGTCGAGCCAGCCGCATCGCCATATCCAGATGCTGCCTGTGGATTGGATGCGGGAGGGGTTGAGTGGGGAGGAGGAGGCTGCGTGGGCGGTGCTGGCGGGCGGGTTGATGGATGATTCGGTCAGAGGGAGAGTGCCGTTTCAGACGTTTGCCGAGAAGATTGGGAAAGGTGTGGACTTGAGTGGGGTGTATGGCAGGCTGTATCGGCGGGCGTGTGAGGCTGTGTTGGGCACTGAAGGGCCCGAAGTGGATGGTCAGACGGGAGAGGAAAGGGAGGCACGGGTGGATTATAATCTTGCTATGACGAGGAATATCATGGTGATCGCGCCGCGGGTGACAGAGGGGGAGGCGGTGACTGCCGTTGGGGATGATGGGGAGAGGAAGGTGTTGGGCAAGCTGGCGTTGAACGGGACGGTGCTGGCGGGTACGGCACTGGTTAAGAGCCAGGCAGAGTGGGATGCGCTGCGGGCCGAGCCGGAGCAGTTGCTGGAGATTTTGGGGCGGATAGGCGTGCCGACGATTCGGGCACCGTCCGCACGGTTTGGTGTGGGAGCGGATGTATAAGCACCGGTAGTTTAAGGGCTCGCTATCAACAGGCATCAAATACCGGACTTCTATCTCAGGCATCCCATTGTCCTTCTTCTAAGTGCAACTCCTGGTTACCTGTATCTCACTCCTGGCACGGAGACTAGTCCCTCCAAGCTAAGGGCCTCCCACACTAACCACACCAAAATCTGCAGCCAACACCTCCGCCATCCCGTCCAATAATCATGAATTATGGCCACCACGTAACTGTATTACATGCAACTCAACATCCCCGACTCCACCGCCCCCCCCCCCCCCAACCTCTCTCGCCCTGAGATGCATTATGTGTTCCAGCCTTGCTCTATACCACTCAGCCCATGGTTTCCAAAGCCCCGGCGCAGGCCCCGATAGCAGGCCCGTGAGACCCGCCCGGTGGCCCGGTCTTTGGCACCGGCTGTGCAAATTGGTCAGTTACGTGATTTGCATCTATGCAGGTTCCTCGGCGAATAAAAAGATGGGCGAGTTTGAAGACTAGACAAGGAGACTGGCCAGTGTTCCTGCCAACAACGGACGGCTAGATGGCAAACATAGAGGGGGCTGTTTTGGGCTGTTATGTTGGACATTCTAGGACTGTCAAGGGTTAGGTCCAGTGTGCTACGGGGTACAGGCAGGACAGCATATCCAGGTCATCCAACATCGATCCAAAACGAGCCCCTCGAAAGCAAAAGCCACCAGGACGTTCCTTCCGACAATGATTCTGTTATTTGTTCGTCATGGCCCACATCGCTCTTCTATGCAGCCGGGCGTCTGCTCCTTTTCCTTCCTTTGAATCAATCATTCCTTCCCCGACCTGAGATTGTACCGTCACAATTGTCGCCAAGCTTTCCATTTTCATGCTCGCGTTTGCCACGGCTGTGTGCGGAGCACCAGTCGAGTCCCACGATCAAGGACAAATCATCGTTGCTGTACAAGACCCTGAAAAGGAACTTGAAGCCCCAGCTAATGCGGGACCTGTCATCATCGACGTCTCGGAAACACCGACGGAACACCGCATCCTACCTGTAAAGATTGGAAAGAGGGTATGTATAAGCTACATGCTCAGAATTCAGCTTGATTGATTCTTCAATGATAGACTATCAGAGGGACGGGGACTGCTGCGGTTCCCTCCATTGCAGGCGTTTCCAGGGAAGGTGTTGGTTGTGTCTGTAATAGATGATAAGGATAAGGGAGTGTGAAGATCTTCTTCAGCCACTTGCAAGGCTTACGATGAGATGTGGCAACTATACCCGAGGTATAGGTCTGGGGAAACTTGAGCAGGATTCTGGAAGCTGAGGTTTGGCATGTATACCAGCTAGGAAAGTCGGTTGTGACTTAGTATAGTTGGATTCCACGGTGCTGCCAGCTTCTATGACCCCTCTTTTGCGTCTTCACAGTTAAGCTTCGCCTTGTGAGTCTCCATTACTGAGCTCCTGGCTGTACGGCCGAGTGATGTGGGTCCGTACGCAGAGCCATAATGTGTACGGCAGTTGGCTAGCCACATGGTGAGGAGTGTGTCGGTGTGGAAAACGGTGAGAACGGGCGGTAAGGAACGGACGGTAAGCGGTAGGGGAAGATGATCATCCCTTGGCCCATCTCGCCGGTGTTTACATTGGTTTCTTCGCCGGCTGAGCTATCTTCTGCTTGTAAGGCACTACGCTAATCGCTTATGGCGTTCAGGGTTATTAGGTTGACAATTCATCTCCTCCTGTCCTCATCCAAGTTTCTCCACGCCACAAAGCGTCGGAAACACCAGACTCCAGTCAACTACGGTGTTCTGAGCCCCTTGGCCGACAAGATCATGAGCAGGCACTTGGAAGATACCATTAGGTCTCCTTTACAGAAAGAAGCGATAGAAGGGCGATATCAAGAAGTGCTTTGATACCCAGGCCCTCGTGTAGGAAGATGATATTGTAATATCAATGGTGTGGTGTAGGCCCCAGGTTAGGGCTGCAGGGAGACAACAGAGAACTGCCGCTCCGTGATGTCAATTAGTTTTGTTATTACTATCTCAGTTTACACACTCTAATTCAGGTCCTATCCCGTGCTCCTCCCAACTCGAGGTTACGATTAACTCCACACCCCATTTTCCAGAACTCCAAACCTTGTCCTGCAAAAGATTTAGGTCGGCGCCTCCCCCTATTGACCTCAGATATGTACGAAACAAACTCCGATCCCCACACCATCCAAACTAGGTACCTACCTGTACCCACAAAACCAACACCCATCCCACCCACGACACAATGCACCTCACTCAACGTCCTAACCGAAACCCAGCATAACCCCCCTTTAAACCTGCATCACCCCCAAGCTCATGCTCATGCTCATACATCTCATGATCCTCAAAAAACCATTCCCGCGCGCTCTTCCCCCGCACCGCCGCCATCTCTCGCACCAAATCGTCCCACCGCTTGCGGCAGGTCGAGTTGCCAAAGTGGTACGACCCGCCGTGCGCGACAATGTACTCGGCCACCTTCTTCCAGGGGACCTTGGAGGTGTTGGTCGGGTTATCCGGGGTCAGGGTCAGGGTGCGGACTGCGCGTTCTAGGAGGCGGAGCTATTCGCGTTTGAAATGAGGGGGTTAGTTAGGTAGGTAGGTAAGGTAGTTAGTTAAGGGAGTGGGTGGGGGTGGGAGTAAAGGTGGCTTATCTGTTTCTGTGTGGAAGGTAGTATTTGTGCTTGGTTGACGCTAGAATATCCGGGGGAATGTAGGAGAAAAAGGGGTTTAGGGGTGGTGAAACTGAAACTGGGGACAAGCGGGGGGGTGGGCTGTGTGCTTAACATGAGAGGTATAAAAGGGGTGAGGATGATTAATGTAATGATGCGGGAAATGGTGTAAGTGGAGGGGGAACGAGAAGATGTGCTGAGGCTGGCGAGCGGGCTGGAACGGTGATCGGTATGCAATTCAGAGGCAGGGCTAAGAGGAGGTACTGGTACCGACAAAGACTTACATCCATCTCAGACCACTCGGGCTTGCGCACCCTCGCCTCGCGGCACTTGGTCAGCGTCCTGTACCGCCCCCGCAGCGTCGACTCGGCCTCGGTGAACCCGCCCATGCGCCGGATCTCCTTGTACGTCATGCCCAGCTGTTTTTGCTTAACAAGAAAATCATCCTTGGACATGCGGTCCGGCAGCTCGACGCGCTGTTGTGTCTTGGCGGGGGCTTGGGAAGAATGCGAAGGCTGGAAAGGAGAAGGCGACGGAGAGAGGGCCGAGGTGAGCCTGGGCTTGGGTCGCAGCCGGGTCAACTTTCTGGGAGGGGACGGCGGGGCCGAGAGAGCCGAGGAGTGTCGTCGAGCCATGTCGTTGACAGATCGCTGACCCCGATCAGGGAGGATCTTGCGGGCTTTCTTGGCGGTGACTGGCTTACCCGCTTGGGACGGCACCGGGTCGATGACAGCCAGCGGCTGGTTCAAATTGGCGTGGGCATCGCCCAGAAATCTCCTGTGGAGAGACTCACAGGACGAGGCCGGACTGGGAGAATGGCGGATCTTCAGCATGTTCGGAGACACGGTCTTGCCGTCGCCGGGCTCGGGTTCGGCCCAGCTGCTGTTGGTGACGTCCGACTCGGAGATCTCGACGCAGCGAGGACCATACCCAGAACAGGCGGACGAATCCCACGGGGACGGACCTGACTCGTCGTCCAGCGCCATGGCCTCCATCATCTCGGACGAGGCAAACAGCTTGGAGCAGGTGCTCGTGTCCTTCTCAGCCATCGATGCCAGCGGCAGGTTATGAAGTGCCCCGCCAGGCCGGAAAACGGTCTGCGGCAGCATGCTGGTGTGGACGCCCAACTCGTAGTGGCCATAGTCGACAAGCGAAGGGTTGACGCCTTGATGTGCATGCTCCCAGTCCGGATCCCCGCCGTGTGCAAACGGAGCGAGCGCAGCAGCCCCGGGTGAGACCACATGCCAATAGGGCGAACCCAGCAGCTCGGGGGTGGCCAAGACGTTTGTGCTCGACGACAAGGAGTATTGCGAGACATACGACGAAGTGGAGGAGTGTGAAGTGCGGTGGCGTGCGGTCGACTGGCCTTCTCCGGTCTTCCCCGCGGGGCCCAAGGGTCAGTTTATTTCATGTCTCGCGTTCAGGATAAAGTGGAAATTGAGTCAACGTACCGAGATATTGTTCGCTGGGGTCTGGGCCTCGGGGTAAAGCCCGGAGGCAGGCATTGGGAGGCCATGTTGGGGCAGCGGCTGTTTGGACGCCGACTGGGGCCAGCAGCCGGCCTTCAGAGACATCTGGTTGCAAGACATGTCGTAGAGCCTCTGCTGGTGAAGGAACAATGCCGTGTTGATCTGACTCAGTTCTAACAGCCAGGGCGCAACGTCGGCCGCTGCAAAGGTGAAGACATTGTCACGAAGTGAGGCCACGTCCGTCTGGGGTTTGGCCGGACTGATAAACATGTTGAGTCCGTCGTCGGCCCGCGGGGCAGCCCAATACTCTCTGATGTCCCAGATCCCGGACAAGTCGCCTTCTGGCTTCTGCTTGGCTGCGATCCCTTCCACCGCTCCCTTCTCTTCTGATCTTCACCGCTGCTTCCACTTACTCTACACTGCAGTGAGCGCGGCAGCGTGTTGACCCCGCCTGTCCGGGGGGACTTGGGATCACCAGGTTTCTGATCCGCCTGTGGTTCGTCGGGGTGTACCGTTGAGCGGTCAAGGCGGATGGTCTTTGGTTCGTATGCAGGTGTGTGTAGGTTCCCGAGGACGGGGAACGCCTGGGGTGAGAGGGGCAGCTTTGCGCAGCAACTGGTTCGATGACTGCAATAATACAAGACGAATTAGTCCGCATGCCCTAAGTCTCCTAGCGGTGACTTCATTCAACTACTCACAAGGGTGGAGACAGGCAGTGACGTGTTCCGGATACGCTCGTGGGGTTTCTCGGTTGTATTTTTTCTTCGAGGGATGAGAACGACTGAAACAGAGAGCAAGTCAAGACAAAGAGATGAGACTGCGGAAAAAAGAGACTGATGTTCCTTTTGGCCAGTGGCAGATTTGAGTCTTCTTCTTCTTCTAATGAGACACAGAATCGAGACACGGGGTGGCGACGGGCCGCTGGCGGCTGGACTCGAAGATCGTCCGGGGTCAAGCCATTGTGTAAGACACTCCCTCGCCCAAGATCCAGCCTGACCATCGACACCATCTCCTATATCCTGTCATTTCTCGCAGGAAATTGGCGAGGAGGCGTTGTGGTGGTTTGGACGGAAACCTTGCTGAAAATGGACAACAGATTTCCCGATTCGGACGGGCTCAGAGCTTGCCTCCCGAGCGGCATCAATCCGGGGCCTGGAGTCTGCTCTGAGAACCCGTCCGCCAACCGTCGGCCCGGTTCCAGTTGTTCTTGGACATGTTGGGCAGCTCAGCCGGCATGTGCCGGCCCAGTGGCCGTTTTGTATCACTTGTCAGTGAGAATGATGGGTGAGCAGCAATCAAGGCTTACGGAGCTACTGCAGCCGGCTGAGCGGGCCGGCTTCTGCCGTCATGACAGACTCAAACCCGACTGACGGAGGTCCCGTGGGTGGCAAGTCTCGAGAGCATGGGTCCGCATGTCCATGGCTGGAAAGCTCTTGCGGTTAGCCACGCAGATGGGAGAACTGTCTCGGCACAACCAAGAATTCCACCCACGTGGGTGGCCAATCATGTCAGTGCTCAGGATGGGGAGTACAGGCTGTAGAGGTGAATGATCAGACTGCAAACAGGACTGCTTTGCTACTTCTGGCTGCATATCTCCGATTCGGCTATCTGATCGGGGCTTGTACCGGTCGATCTTAGGCAAGCCCCAGATGACGGGTGTGGTGCAGAAGCAATCATGGCCTGGCCGTGGGCGACTGGTCGAAATTACAAACGGCTCCGATTGGGGGCCGGCTGTCTGGGCGATGCGTTGCTGCAAAGCGGCGCCGTGCCTTGGGTTCATGCCGTGCATAAGTGCCAAGTACCAGACCAGTTGTAGCAAGGCATGAACAACACTTGAGCATGAGCGACGCCACAAACGCCCAGTTGGCATGACTGCCGACTTTGAACTGACTGAGTGGCAAACAACAGAGGTATCACAAATCCTCTTCGCCGAGATTGAAAAGGTCGACACTTCGAGGCATTCCAGACTTCCCTTCTGGGACTCTCTTGCATGCCGCTACGGGATGGCACCGGTTCGCGGGGGCTGCCGGTGGCTGTGGCAAGGGGGTGGCCCAGGCCACACTCATGACGCCCCCTTCTGGGACATGTGCTTTTCCGTGAGCTCATCTTTCCGGGTGATCTGCCCGAAAATCATATGCACTGACCTCGGCTTCAACGATGGTCATGTGTGGTGTTGACAGCTTCCAGTCATTCCTTCCCCCGCAGATGACCCTTGTCCATTCTGACGGGAATCACACACCGTCCAGTGACAAGAAGCCCGACGAGAAGTAATCTTTGGGCTGGAGCAACGCATAGTACGGTAGAGAGAAGAAGGGAGTGGATGGGAAGGTGGGATTGATCCTTTCAACGTCCTGTTTGGATTGTTCGGATGTACCCCCATGGGCCCCAACCGCGTTTGCAGCATGTATATGCATCATGATTCGAAAATCCATGCACCAGGGACCGTTACACGGTTGTTGAGCATACTTGCTGCAAACTCACTACCGTTGTGTCATCTGGCGTGCAGATGAAGCTACAGGATGAGGAGTTTGAGAAGGCATCATAGCTGCCCAAGGCAGATCTGTGACGAGATATCAAGGTGCTGTTTGGTTAGCCGTGATGGCCATGATTCATAAAGAGAGCGTGTACTCAAGCCTCGAGGGAGGTACCATGCCCTGTTCTTACGGTACCACCCAGCCTCATCCCCTACGTTGACTCATCTACCAGGCTCAGCAATCCCAAAATGCGGAGTCTGAACCATCTGGGCCATTTTCCGTACCACTGGCTACCAGAGGTAAACTGGTGCTTGGTACCTTCACTTCCGAGTCGTTTGTAGGTGGGTCAACCTGCCCACTCTCGGAATGACCGAGATTACCTACTCTGGTGCGGGAAGGGAGGCAATGGAGGGCCTACCTGCGGGATCGCGGGAGGAAGAATGTCATCGAATGCTAGGACATAATTCATGGCCGGCGTGAGAGGCTTGGGATTATGAAGGACGACGTGTGCGTTCATGTCGGCTCACTGTGTGCATTCCTAACATGATGTCGTACCAGAACTCCAGTTCCCTGCATAAGGCTCGCTGCTCAAGGTACTTACCACTTGAGTGCATCTTCCCTTGATCTAGGTATTCTTCTGCGAGTTATTAGACGGGGCCAGCAGGCGTAGTTCACGAAGCCTCATCTTGACAAGTGTCTGTATCATGAATGCTTTCTTTGATTTCGACACTCAACAAGGAGAGGTCCGCGTGGGAAATCATGATGTGCAAGCTACCCCATGTGCTCGCCATTTGTGCCGCACCATGGCTAGTCAAGGGTATGTCTGAAGGCTACTTTTCCGTGGTCATCACTGTGATTAGGACTGTCTGGAGCTTCAAGTTACATCAGACACACAATAAGGTATCTTATTACGCAGCGTCCAGGGTTCTGTTTGAGTCTTGAAACACTCAGGTTTGTTGACCTTTCTCGACCCCAGTTGACGAGAAGCCTGCCAAAACTGTTTACCTTGATTACCTTAGGTACTCTCAGCCCGGAAACCTTCAAACTTCAACCCAGAACCGCCGCCGATGACATTTCTCACGCGATTCCCTGCCAGTTCGCTGATCCTGGCATCATATTTACTTGTTGTCCCCACACATTCTTACGAATTGCTGATTAAAACCTCATGCTGGGCAGGTTTGGCTGTTGGCGACGGGATGTATTGCTGGGCCTGTCCTGGGTACGTTGGGGTCGATTTCATGTTTCAGGGGCCGAATCTGTGATCGAAGGCCTCGCTCAAGGCCAGTACTTGACCAAACTATTATTTAAACAAAGTCAAACAGGGCTTAGAACCGAGTAAGTAACGTGTCTTAAAAGCGAGTCGCGCCCTGGCTAGGACGACACGCTCTCTCTACACTTCACCTCATTTTTCCCACCACCCAATATGCTAGCTACTTCAAAAGGAGCGAGGGTTATTATCTTGGCCACTAGAGCCCTCCGAATTGACAAGCAGTTAAGCGTTAGAGCTGCAGCGAAGCTCTTTAATATCCCACCTTCAACCTTCCGTGATCGACGCGCCGGCAAGCCTGAACGATGCGATCCTACGCCCAACTCGCGCCGGCTCCCTAATTTCGAAGAGAAGGTTATTATTCAATATCCGATTGAGCTATCTGAGCGAGCTTTCCCACCAAGACTTCGTGGTGTGGAAGGTATGGCCAACCAACTACTACGCGTGCGCGACGCGCCCCCTGTAGGCAAGATCTTGACGCACAATTTCGTCAAACACCAGCCAGAGCCCCGTACGCGCGATATACGTAGGTACAACTACTACAGGGCCTAAGTTCGAGGACCCAAAGATCATCAACAAGTGGTTTGACCTCGCATGGAACGTCAAGGCCAAGTATAGTACTATAAATAACGATGTCGACAACTTCGACGAGACTGGGTGTATAATGGGCATCATCTTGGGGGACCATAGTAGTCACAACCTCGGATAGCCGCAATAAAGCAACGCTGACCCGGTCTAGCAACCGAGTATAGGCAACAGTGATTCAGGGAGTCAATACACTTGGTTGGGCGATCCCTTTATTCAATATCGTAGCCATGTAGTACCATCTCGCCAGCAGGTAACCGAGTGCAACCTCCCCACCAACTGGCGTATCGCAACTACCGGCAACGGCTAGACGACTGATGTCGTAGGTCATACTACTACACGGCGCACGGGCAAAGGGCAAGTACCGGCTGTTAATGTTGGATGGATGGATGGAATTTTTTTCGCCCGGAGGCGCGAAGCCTAAAGGGCCTTGGCACGCTAACTACATCCGATTCGTTGACGTTCAACCATCAACTCGTACAAGCCCTCTACTCTCTCCCCTTTTCTCACGCCACCTGTTGCCTCTTGACTTAGTTTAGCAGATCGACTTGGAGGCTGCGTTCTCCAAGTGTTCAGCGTCCTATCTTCAGCAGCTAAAGCGGGATCTGCTGG